CTGTTTTAGCACTATATACCTTTATATATTATTAAGCCATTATTAAAGATTTATGTCGTCAATAAGAACCAATGGGCTTGGGGCTGAGAGCCACAGCTGCCACAGACTACAACATTGTCGGTTTTGGTCATTTTGTAGGATTTCTTAGATTTAAAGACCAAATAAGTACATTTTTGCCCTCATAAATTACACACTTGATGATTCTGAAGCACTAGACAATAAAATTGTCTCAATCTGCTGTGTTTGATTCTGGAACAATATAAACTGAAGCAACAGGAACAGTTTACACAGATACAGATGGGATGTGTGGTCTCCTCTGTTCTGAAATTTTGTTGAGGGGGTGATCCTTTTGTTTGGATCAATGCTTGTGTCTTTTTACAGCCTCAGTACTCTATCATAGAAACACGGTTTCCAGTTTTAATGAGGCCATTGTCTTACAACAAAAACTATATTTCCCTCCAGATCACCACCAGAAGGACCTGTATTCTGTTTGCTTCATCACAAATTCAAATTAGAGAACCAGAACGTAACAGATCGGATCGTTCCATCAGAGTGGAAAATAAAACATGGAGGAGGGCAGGGCAGTTCTCATCCTGCTGCCTGTTTAATCAGGCCTCACTGCATCATAATAAAGTAATTACTCAGTATTTATATATGTCATATTTAATCAGTGGCATGAATTTCAGAGGTGCTGAAATGCAAATGCAGCACTGTTTACTGCGTCAGACTGCTGCTGTGAACCACACTGAACTCATGAACCTGATTCAAGCAGGCAGTGGAACAGTGGACGAGGTGTTGTTTGAACGCAGGAAGTGTCTGCCGAAAACACACTCAGAGGTAGAGCAATGTGACTGTAACTCCAAACTCTGATTACACCCAGGATACTGTAACCGTTCTGGATTTCATTCACAATGAGAATGATTTAATTTGATTTCAAACAATTTTGACGTGTCAATTTCCAGCTCCATTTTAGCTACATCCTCACAGGATGAAGAGCAAGGTCTTATTCCAAAGAAAATCAACTGTGTGGAAAACCTACTGAGTGTGTCACAACCACATGCCTTAATTTTGTTTATATTTTGTTTGATCATTGTTTTTTTGTAAAATAATAGAGCACTTTACCTCTTTGGGCCTCAAATAGTTGTTTAAACTAGGCATGGGACAATATAAAAATTTCCTGTGACAATATCTTGGTCAAAATAATTGCTATATTATTACGATTATCTTGACAATATACGTCATAGCTTTGGATTTTGGAATGACTCTTCAAAATTGATCAGGAAATGCTGTATGACTGTATGCTGGTGAGCTAGACAGCTTTTCAAGTCAAGCCAGGTGAGGATATATACATAATTTTCCTGATTCACAAATATCACAATGTTGGAAATTCAATGTGATAAATTCATTTTTTTATTTGTTTTTATCGCAATACATAATAATATCGTATATCGGCCTATCCCTAGTTTAAACGAAACTATGTAAGAAGTTTAGGGAAATGTTTGTCCGTGCAGAGTTTGACTCTAGAAGGATATTTTCACATTCATCTACTAAAAGTGGAAAGATTCTCTGTGGTCATTGAAAATCTGATTTTAAGGGGCGGGGCCTACCAGCAGGATTTGTGACATCACAATAGTTAGGAGGTCAGTCCTGGTCCAGTATGCAACTTGTACAGTGTGATGTAGAAACTTGAAGCCACCAGTGCACATCCACTGAGAATGGACTTTGGAGACATCTTAAATTAGGTAAAATTTGCATATTCATAGATTCTGGAATTTTTAATGAATGGAGTATATTTAGGAGTAGATGCACTGGTTTTTCACCAATTATAATATATTGCATTTTGAAAGGTGCTGCAGAAGTAAGAGTTCACCTCTGTTTAAATACAGTAGAAATGTGCTGGTTTCAGAGGTGAGGCTTTGATCTTTATACGTGTCAGATCAACAGCGTGTGTGGGAGGCGAGGTCGGCATGTGGTGCCCACTGTGTCTTGCATCTATAGCTGCTGTATACTGCTGAATTACACAGCCTTTAAATAGAACATGTCTCAGCGGAGCTACAGGTGAGCGGTTTCCTGCTGTGCAGGACATTGTGCAAAAGTATCAGCGAATAAAGCTCTGTAACACTACTGATGGTGACAGTGGCATGCATGATGCCGTCAATGCTGATAATCCAGGGGTGTAAAGACACTTATTTAAGTCATTTTAACCAGCTAAAAGTAAGGTAATTGGCCATAAACAGAGGCGATCATGGATAGCTGATTTGTTTGTTCTATCAGCCAACCCTGAATATTACTCCATGACCCTGTCAAATCCTTTCAGAGAATGAAACAAGAACTGACTGAGATGTTAATGATGTTCAGAAAGAGGCTTTGATCACCACTGCAGCACTTTCTCTATTCCTAGCCACACATCATCTAATTTTACATCCAGAATCCATCAGGCAGAGCAATCATCAATAACAGACCCTCTATCCAAATTCATTTACTTTTTTATCAAATCCTTTTCTGGTTGAACTTACATGAAGGCGACAGCTCCAGTTGATCAGACATTTTGATTCAAATAGTATTATATATTACTGTTTCCCTGTTTCCAATCGTTATGCTAGGCTAGGCTAACTGACTCCTGGCTGTAGCTTTATATGTAATGGACAGATATGAGATTGATATTGATCTTCTCGTCTAACCTTCAGCAAGAAAGCAAATACGTCGTTTTTCCAAAATGTCAAACAATTACTCTAATCGGATATCGAAAAAGTCTCAAAAAAACAATAGGCTGCAATATGTGACAAAGGCATCTATTCCAAGTCCAGGTTGCATAAGGTGTGCCCTACTATCTCACCACTATGTAAAAGACGTCAAAGGATAGAGGGCACATTGTCTCATACCTTCTGTCTGCCCTTCACTAACTGCATTTTGGTCAAACATATTTGACTCAAAAGGTCTATAAAAGAGCCATCCAACAGCTGGACTCATTTTCAGATGCAAAAGTCCTTGATGCTGGGGATGATTGACTTCCAGCAGACTGAACAGTCACGCTGTTTAACTGTTCACCCTCTGCACTTGGTTGACAAGTCTTGCTTTAAATGTACAATAACTGCATTTCTTGCTGCTAACACTGCTACCTGCAGACGCATTAGCCACCACGTGATTCCATTCCATCAAGGGCAATTGTTGGATTTAATTACTTTCTGAGACTTCCTCAAGGGGGCTCTCGGTCTGCTGTACCATTCAGTCTGATGGGAACATTTCAGATGGTTGTTGGCTTGAAGATAGTTGATTGTTGAATCTCAATCCCAGGTCATCAAATGGTAAATGGATGGTAAATGGACCTGTGCTTGTATAGTGCCTTTCTAGTCTTCCCACCAACTTAAAATGCTTTTACACTACGTACCACATTCACCCTTTCGCACACATTCACTTAGTGATGGCAAAGCCCATTGAACAGAAACTAACTCATTCATACCATTCAACCTTCCGATTAGTGGACACCCGCTCTACCTCTAAGCCACAGCTGCCCCAGACAGACAATACAGATGCTTTGGGACCCTGGGAATGAGACTCAACAATCAACTATCTTCAAGCCTTTAACTCAAAGAATCTTTCTAGGCTCTGATTGGTTGTTTTCGTTCAGGCCCGATATAATCACAGATTATCTGTCTCATGTTCTACTGTCAGGATGTAGTGAGTTTCAGCAAATTAGACAAAACATTTTCTAAAAATTACCTGCTGCAGCTTTAATGTACCTCATTTCAAATATTTGTTTCAGCCAGTAAACCTTCTTCATCAGAACTGACACTGAAGACTTGCAGTGTCAACGTAGCCTGACCCATCGCGAGGCCTTCTTCGTTATAAGGTGTGTAAGAAAACTTAAAAAATATACACAGTATGCCTATAGCTCAGCATTTTTTTTTATTACTGTGAAGAAAACTAAATGAAATTGTTATTTTTAAAGTTTAGATTATTTAAGGTCTAAACTTTGATGATGTGAACACAAGCTTTATTCAAAGAGCCTTTACTAAATGATAAACAGCCTCGTCCTGCATTAGAAAACAACCAAAGAGCTAATAGAACAACGAATGCAATTTTCCAGCTTGGGATCAATAAAGTATATCTATCTATCTATGAGAAGAAACACCAAATCTGTCAAAAAAGTATTGATTGTTAAAATGTATTAATAAAATACATAATACAGACAGCCATCAACCTGCCAGGAAAATGAGCCTGCATGGCTAAATCTGGCACATTTGCATTGTGAACCTAAATCCTCATGTTGACTAATGTGTAACATCCCTTTATAAATGAATACTTTAAACTTCAGAATTGTATGAAAAGTTGCTAAACATATCAGGAAAACTTTGAATATCCACAAGAAATAATCTGCTCAAAATTCAAACTTCCTGCAGTTCTTGTGTTCACTGTTTGTGTTTATTGTACCGTTTATCAGTTGTTCTCTACTGTTGTTATATTATTAATATGAAATATCCATTAAATATGTCAGTTTACTCAATGATAGAGAGGGGCTCCTTTAAGGAAAAAAGAACCATTCATTTAAGGTTCCTAATATATTCTATAAATTTGTTCTTATACTTACTTATGCTCCTTTGACACCTCCCTGTCACAGCATGGGATCAATAAAAGGTATTCTTTTCTTAAATTACAGCTATTCTGAGAAATGGAAATTGAGCCTCTTTTTTTAACTTGAAACAAACTAACAAATGTGTTGTTGATGTTATTTGCAGTAAAAATGGAGATTCACTTATAAATAAAACCACAGAGCTTACGTTGTACATTTGGCCAATGATTTCTACCATGCATCTCATGAGATTACGCAAGGGTCGCCATTGGCTCCAAATCTTAGGTATGACTGCCCCACTGTGGAAAACAATTGAATTGCATCACAACATGAAAAGTGTGAGCTGAGGACTGAAATTATCTGTCAGACAATGTCATTACCCTTCAACTTTGAATACCTATTTCATAAAAGATAAGTATAAAGCTCAGGATTCTAAACAAAGTGTTTTTTATTGTTAGAAAATAAAGAGTTAAAAACTACAGTATACGTACAAAAACACTGAGTAGAAGTCAGAACTGTAACAGCCTGATAAACAGGAGTGTCATTAGAATAAGAAAAACCAAAAAAGGAATGTTGTAACACTGACGATGGAACCTGATCACTCTTTACAAACAAATCGTGTTTGAACAGAGGAATCATGAATCTAGATGCTGCTGCATTCGACAGGAACTTTGAAAGTAATAAACTGATAGTCACTGGCGTAAATAATGTCATCAAGTTCTACTTAACACTGTTTCTGATACTACAACAGTACTGACAGTTAAGCATCACTTTGCACGCACAGGACAGTAGTCTACAGGTGGTGAACTCTTGGTGAAAAAAGGCAAAAAACACTTAAAGTGTACGTAATTTTCTAATTCTGCCATTTCCATCAGCATTTTCTAATGCGATACTTCGCAATGCACTTTAAAATAACCTGATGGAAACACTGATACAAAATAATCTCAACTCAAGGTTCACTTACTATCTTGTATGCAGCTTTTAACCACAGGTCACAACATCCTGCAAACATCAGCGTTCTGTGAACACCAAAAACCCTCACACAGCGTGCACTGCCAAAAGGTTACTGAAAAGTTACCACCTCCCTCCATATACAACCCCGTTATCATGTGATTGAAGTTTCGTATCTGGGAGGACAACGAGGAAACAATAAGATTCACTGATTTGCATGAAAGTTCTAGATGTGATTGTTAAGATGTGATCATTAAAAAAGTGTGCATGGGATAATTTATTCATATATAATTATTGGATGGGGCCCTGTGCCTTTATTGTGCAGAAATGTGACCAATAATTGCATATCAAATCACACTCTCTGTACCATATTGAATTGTATAGCATCATATTCTTCTGCATCATATTGTATTGTGTTAAATCAAATGGCACTGCATCAGAATAGGGGTGAACAGGGTTCCCACTCTTTTTCACAAATCATTTCCCAAGAGTTCTTCTTGACAAAACAGGACAGCACTTGCATACAAACTGTCCTATAAGCTGCGGTTTCAAGCTAATTGACTGAGAATTTCACTCACAGCTCTGGAAAAATAGACTTGATATGAAAAAGATCGCTGCAACTCACTTCAACTTTGCAGCTGGTGAACCTGTGCAAAAGTTGTCAACACACCAACAATCCAGTTTCAAACTACATATACACCTCGGTTATGCAGGCGATCTTAGTGAGGGGCTCAGTTCCAGGATCCTTTGCAGGATATTTGGTCATTTTAACCAATGCTTGCATGACTGGAAAACTTGTCTTTAAATTCCAGACTCTCTGGGACACGTGGGAACCCTGGGTGAATCGTATCACGCTGGCAGTTGCTTCATGTCTTCGTAATATAACGGATCCTTGGCAATACATATAGCGGTGATGGAGCTCCCTACTGTGATAACCTGAGATACAGTTAAAAGCCAATATGTGTACCTTGAGGTGAGATTATTCTGTGACATTAAACAGCGTGTTGTACTGAAAGTGTAGTGTCAGGCAGGCAGCCACTACGGTTCACACTCCTTGGATACAGAAATGCAAAAGCAACAGTTTGACCAACGTCAAAGGTCACTTTTCATTACATTTGAGTTAAGTCAGTTCCATAAACACTCACTGGTGAAAAGATATTACCAATAAACATGTGGTATCTGCTGCCTGCGGGCTATCGCTAATTAGGGGATTAATCGTTGATGAAAAACCTGTAACATAAAGAAAAGTTATGAGATATATAGTATATGGTACTTATTCATTCACCAAAACAAAATGAAGGCCAAATGTTTACTGTCATTACTTTAAATCTAACCTTCCCAAAAACAAAAGAACAGGGCCAACCTAGACCACCAGCAGAGATTAAACGAAGTCACTGGTATCATCTATTAAATGCAAAGTGCTAAACATCGAACCTGCACTGTTGATGAGTGCAGCGGTTTCATGATTACATCAAAATGCAAGATACCTGATCAATTACCTCTCCTTTAATGATCTGAATAATCTGAAGATAACATTGTCCAAAGGCAGTTCAAGTCTGAGAGTGAACAATAAGCTCTCAAACAGCCGCGAAACAGTTCCTCGGGCGTAGAACCAGAGTGAGTGATAGGGCGGTCTGCTCATGTAGGATCCAGGAGTCCTCTCCCTTAGTGATCTCTGTTCTACTGGTCCTTTATGCTGAGCACTGGGTCCACCAGTTTATTGTGAACATGCATTAAACCTGAAAATGAAACCAAACAGACAAGTAATACATATACATAATTGCATAAATATGTATCACTTACACAGATATAATAGTAGTTTCTCTTGTGCATTCATTGTAAAAATCACATATTTAGTATCACAAAATCCTGTTTTGCTATCATGCAACAAACAAACAAAGGTTTTATTGGCACCACCTAGTTAAAACAAAGTGTGAAACTACTGTGGCATTATGGCCGTTGCCATGACACTTAGAAGGAGCCAGCAGAGGTGACATACTGCAAGTGGAGCTGCTCTCATTGGCTGCAGTTTCGACTCGTCCATAGCAGGAAACAATGGCAACAAATATCTGATCAGCACTGCCTAGTTTGACAGTTTGATCTGAGTTTGGCGCGTTGAGCTGGACGGACTCACTGAGAATGACCTGTCTATCACAAGGTAGCCACACCCTAAAGCATACCCTGCTTTATGGTCTATTTTACTCTAAATGGGACCATCAGTTACTAAATGAACATCATGCTGTATGGAAGAAGACTGAAACTACAGATTGAGACCATACACTCACTAGGAAACTCTTTACTGAGCTCATAAATCAAGAGAGAAGTAGAGTCATTCTCCATTACAGTGAACGGTATTGAGTTTTATTGCAGCCAATGGAGCTGCCCCCTGCTGGGCTTTTCATAGAATGCAGATTTTAGGACACTTTACAGACCCAGAAGTTATATATACTGTCAGTGGTAAAAACTATGCACTGAACTTGAAACTGGTTTACATACAGTAGGGTGTGGATTCAAATGTCATGATAACAGTTCAGTCCATTGTTTGTTGCTGTTAAATTATACTGCAACACACGAGAGTGTTTGGAAAATGTATGTCAGTGAACACTGCTCTCCAGACCACCCTCCACTGAGCAGAATAAGGGCCGCGCTGTTGCTGTTACCTTTAAAGTATTTGACTGTTTTGACTCGTAGCTCCAGGGTGGCATCTTCGTCACAAACAAAGATGGTGCGCGGGTGCTGCTGGAAGGCTGACACAGTCCACATGTGGTTCACTCCCTCCTCTATGGCTTTGTACAGAGCGAATGCTTTGTGTGCTCCTGTGATCAGAATCATCACCTGAGCAGAGAAACACAGTGTTAGACCCAACTGCCTGCTGGGAACCCAGGAAAGTAGGAACATTGAGACTTTGGCAATGTATATTCATTAAATAAAGTGTACAAACAGTACAGAATATCTTAACGTGGTTACATAAGATTAAGGCTGCTCAATTAATCGGAATTTGATCATGATTACGATTTTGGGGCCAAATGATCTCAAAACTAATAAAATCGGGGGAAACTTTTTTTTTTTCATTTTCTGTTGTGCAACGTTGTATAGAAAAATTCAGGGATGCAGCCCCTGAATTGGGACACAGCCACAGTCTGCGTATTTCCGTCCCTCCCCCACAGGCACTGCACATGAGTCAGTCAAGTTGTTTTCGTTGGAACAGGTAGCGCGGCCAGCTACACTTGTCTGAATGGAACATGACAGAAGGAGGATTACAGCGCAGCAATGTTTCTGAAGTTTAAAAAAATAATCGTTTGAATAATCGTGATTTTAATTTTGACCCAATTAATCGTGATTATGATTCTTTCTATAATCGAGCAGCCCTACATAAGATTATGTTTTTTGCAGGACAATGGAAGAATAAATGAACTGCCTTTCAATCTGACCTCCTTGGCATCCATGACAGTTCCTACGCCCACAGTCAGAGCCATGGTGGGAACCTTGGAGAGGTCATTGCCAAAGAATCGAGCATTGGCCACAATGGTGTCTTTAGCCAGGGTTTTCACTCTGGTCCTGGAAACAAGGCTGGAACCTGGCTCATTGAACGCAATGTGACCGTCAGGACCAATACCTACAGACAGACAATGAGAGAAGCAGACAGACACTAACCTTAGCTAACCTTAGCTTGCTTGCTCGCTAAAATACTGTATGAGTGGATATGTTAGTTAGCAAAAGTTGGCTTCCGCAATGTGATCCATGATACTAACTTAAGTATTATGACAAACAGTGCTGATTTCAGGCAACAATAAATGATGTAACGGTACAAAGCTAACAACTTCTTTCTACTAGCCAAGAGTGATCCAAGCCAGGGGCATCCAACTCGCTAACTGTAGCTAAGCTAAGCTGGGGTTAGCTGGCTGTGCGTTGGCTGTGCGGTGTGGGTCTGCCGCTGGTTGCTTCGTCGTGTTGGCTGATGGGGTGCTTTGTAAGTGGTGAGCTGCAGATAGTAAAGTTAATCTACATGCTTGCGCCTACGGACTGCGTACACTGACTGCAGTTCATTTAACGGCCACTGGTGTCATTAATAACATCGGTTTCCTGAAAGTTACACAGAACCTTTAAAATGCACGTGTCTGACCTCCTACAAACAGCTCGATTCCTCCAGCTTCTGCGATCTTCTGCTCGTAAGCCTGACACTCAGCCTCCAGGTCCTCCACGTTTCCATCCAGGATGTGAGCATTGGCCGGATCGATGTCGATGTGCTTGAAGAAGTTGTTCCACATGTAGGAGTGATAGCTCTCTGGATGAGCACGAGGCAGACCTGCAGAAAGAGAGAGGAACCCTTTTTACCAAGGAGCCACGAATACAGCCTTAGGAGCGAAGACAGGTGGTTTTTGTTCTATCTTGTAGGGGCCAGATTGTAGGGGCCTTGGACACGAAATAACCTGGGCCCGAAAATCATTGCACAGTCAAGTCTTGCTCCTAAGTGCCTGCAGTTGGCATTCTGTTTCCCTCTCCGTGTACAGGAGTACAATGTGGCAGTTGCTGTTGCTTCATTCTGGAAGGTCAGTCTATAACTCACCAACGTATTCATCCATGTTGAAGGTTTTCACATATTTAAATGAAATATCTCCACTTCTGTAGTATTCTATTAACTTCTGGTAACAGCCATATGGAGTACTCCCTAAAAGAAATGAGACACATTCATATAGATTCAGCTTATATTGATACAGAGACAAAGAGTTTGCCCACTAGCCCTAGCAGGGCAGTGTGTGTGGGCAGTGTGTGTGTGTGTGTGTGTGTGTGTGTGTGGGCAGTGTGTGTGGGCAGTGTGTGTGGGCAGTGTGTGTGTGGGCAGTGTGTGTGGGCAGTGTGTGTGTGTGTGGGCAGTGTGTGTGTGTGTGGGCAGTGTGTGTGTGTGTGTGTGTGGGCAGTGTTGTGTGTGTGGCAGTGTGTGTGTGTGTGTGGCAGTGTGTGTGGGCAGTGTGTGTGGGCAGTGTGTGTGTTGTGTGGGCAGTGTGTGTGTGTGGGGCAGTGTGTGTTGTGTGTGGGCAGTGTGTGTGTGTGGGCAGTGTGTGTGTGGCAGTGTGTGTGTGTGTGTGGGCAGTGTGTGTGTGGGCAGTGTGTGTGGGCGTGTGTGTGGGCGTGTGTGTGGCGTGTGTTGGGGTGTGTGTGTGTGTGTGGTGTGTGTGGGCAGTGTGTGTTGTGTGGGCAGTGTGTGTGTGTGTGTGTGTTGTGGGCAGTGTGTGTGGGCAGTGTGTGTGTGTGGGCAGTGTGTGTGTGTGTTGTGTGTGGGCAGTGTGTGTGTGGGCAGTGTGTGTGTGTGTGGGCAGTGTGTGTGTGTGTGTGTGTGGGCAGTGTGTGTGTGTGTGTGTGTGTGTGTGTGGGCAGTGTGTGTGTGGGCAGTGTGTGTGTGTGTGGTGTGTGTGTGTGTGTGTGTGTGGGCAGTGTGTGTGTGGGGCAGTGTGTGTGTGTGTGGGCAGTGTGTGTGGGCAGTGTGTGTGGGCAGTGTGTGTGTGTGTGGGCAGTGTGTGTGGGCAGTGTGTGTGTGTGTGTGTGTGTGTGTGGGCAGTGTGTGTGTGGGCAGTGTGTGTGTGTGTGTGTGTGTGCAGTGTGTGTGGGCAGTGTGTGTGTGGGCAGTGTGTGTGTGTGTGAGTGTGTGTGGGCAGTGTGTGTGTGGGCAGTGTGTGTGTGTGTGTGTGTGTGTGTGTGGGCAGTGTGTGTGTGGGCAGTGTGTGTGTGTGTGTGGGCAGTGTGTGTGTGGTGGGCAGTGTGTGTGGGCAGTGTGTGTGGGCAGTGTGTGTGGGCAGTTGTGTGTGTGTGTGGGCAGTGTGTGTGTGTGTGTGTGGGCAGTGTGTGTGGGGCAGTGTGTGTGGGCAGTGTGTGTGTGGGCAGTGTGTGTGTGTGTGGGCAGTGTGTGTGTGGGCAGTGTGTGTGTGGGCAGTGTGTGTGTGGGCAGTGTGTGTGTGGGCAGTGTGTGTGGGCAGTGTGTGTGTGTGTGGGCAGTGTGTGTGTGGGCAGTGTGTGTGTGGGCAGTGTGTGTGTGGGCAGTGTGTGTGTGTGTGTGTGTGTGGGGGCAGTGTGTGTGTGGGGTGCTCACCTGTGGGTAAACCCAGAGTGAAGTATCTCTCAGCACAGGGCTGGAACTGGATGATTCTGTTGCGGATATATTTGGCTGCCCACTCACTGGCCAGGTCATACTCATCCAGAATGACCAGCCTCATTGTATTGGCTAACGACATAAATAAGAAGAATGTAAGTTAATCAAAAGAACAGCTTTAAAAACACCAGATGTTTACTGGCGCCATGATATTCTGAAGGAGAAGCTGTATGAGGAAAACACCAAACTCCATTCAAACACTGCCAGCTGAATGTGTGCTTTGCTAGCCGATTATTAAAAACAATGCGTCACTTATTTAAAATACCGTCTCAAAAGTAGCTTTGCCTCAATAAGTACTCACTACTGAGGTACAAACAGATGGTAAGAGTTAACATTACCCATAAGAGGGTCCCTGCTAAATTGTAAGATTGTTCAATGGAGTTTGGCGAGACGGAAGCTAATGATAGCAAGCGAAGCAACGTGAACATTTACAGCATGTACATTTTACATTTACTGCCGTGAGTCAGTTAATGTCACTCTGCTCATCTGAAACTAGCAATTAGCTCAACAACGTGAAGTACACAATCGAACACTGAGGGTTTTTACCTGTTACAGTACGCTGTCTGTCAGACGAGAAGGTGTCGCAAGACGTCTGTTTGGTCATATGACCTGCCAACTACCGGTCAAGTGATTTCACCGCAGTATGTATGGAAGTCCGTTTGGGCCAAAATAATACAAATAATAATATGACTATGAAATATGTAAGATGTAAAGAAAGTTATTTCAGCATTCATATAGTAGGTCTTTTTGTGCATAACATCTCAAGGAACATTGTAGAACAAAAGTAAACACATACAATAAAAAAGCAAGTAGCTTACTACAAAATTACAGAAAAAATAAATTTCAAATAGAAAATAGAAAAACTTATAATAAAACATATGAAAGAATATTATAAAATGCACAATCTGTCTGTTCTTAAAATGGAAGAGATGTGCAGTTTGTGCAGGAATGTGCAAAATATTGTCCTAGAAATGTGCAAAAGTTCAAAGTATGAAGAATATGTGCAATGTAGATAATAGCTAATAAAAAATATTATATACATATATGTGGAGACTGTATCGTAATGTATAGTGTTAGGGACTTGTTTTTTGGCATTTCATTTTGATGACAGGATAGTAGACAGACAGGTAAGGCAGGGGGGAGAAGGGGAAGGATGTGCAGCAAAGGGCCTCAGGCCAGACTACAACCTGGGTCACTGTGACATTAGCAGGAGTGGCAAAAGTACACACATTCTTTACTCAAGTAGCAGTGCAGATATTTGTATAAAAAAGGACTCAGGTAGAAGTAGTGATTTAACTTTTTTACTCAAGTAAAAGAAAAAAAGGACAGTCTGAAATGTACTCTAAGTAAAAATGACTCTTGATTTCTCTGAAGGACATTTCTACTGTCTGTTTCTGTGTTATATCATCAACATATTTTATGTTGTTTTTGGCATGTTACATCTGTCATGAGTGACATGGAAAGCCTTGATGTTTGGAAGGTGTGCAAGGATCTGTCACTGTAAAGGGTTGACTTTGTAAGTGCGATATTTACTCTGAAGAATCGTCTGTATTTACCGCCATCATCAAATTATGACAAAATGTCTCACTTTCCATTATTTTATTATTAAGGGTTGAGAAATTGAAATGTTTTTTGTATGGAAGCCTATTTCCACTAATGTGACAAAGTCATTATAAGGATAAACAACAAAATATTGACTTAGTATATCAAAATGACTTAGTCTCTCTAACTTAGTGTCTCAAAATAATGAGTTTGTGATACTAGGTCAAAAAATGTATAAAGTTTCACATTATTTTAAGATACTATGTTAATATCTTGAGACTTTCCCATTATAATGACTTAGAGAATCCTTTTTTCTTGTCAAATTGGCAGAAATGGGCTTCCACAGTATGATGTTTTGTTGGGACAGAGATGTGAAGTTGGGTTGTATCAATTAAGCCACTCAGGTTCTTTCTGGCATGCTTGGCCTTTTCTCCAGCTGCCTGACTCTGACATCTAACATCTGTGTCACATCTCAACAGGGAGTGGCAAAAATAACATGGAGAAACACATCCAAAAACTACAGAGAGACAACCCCAAAAGGAAAATTTTACAATTATAATAAGAGGACGCCGGTTAAACTGCAACACCAAATTAGATGTATATACAGTGGGTACGGAAAGTATTCAGGGAGATGGGAGAAAGTTCCACAAAGTCAACTATCACTGCAGCCCTGCACCAGTCGGGGCTTTATGGCAGAGTGGCCCGACGGAAGCCTCTCCTCAGTGCAAGACATATGAAAGCCCGCATAGAGTTTGCCAAAAACACATGAAGGACTCCCAGAAATAAGATTCTCTGGTCTGATGAGACCAAGATTGAACTTTTTGGCGTTAATTCTAAGCGGTATGTGTGGAGAAAACCAGGCACTGCTCATCACCTGCCCAATACAATCCCAACAGTGAAACATGGCGGTGGCAGCATCAGGCTATGGGGATGTTTTTCAGCTGCAGGGACAGGACGACTGGTTGCAACTGAAGGAAAGATGAATGCAGCCAAGTACAGAGATATCCTGGAAGAAAACCTCTTCCAGAGTGCTCAGGACCTCAGACTGGGCCGAAGGTTCACCTTCCAACAAGACAATAACCCTAAGCACACGGCTAAAATAACAAAGGAGTGGCTTCGGAACAACTCTGTGAACATTCTTGACTGGCCCAGCCAGAGCCCTGACCTAAACCCAATTGAGCATCTCTGGAGAGATCTGAAAATGGCTGTCCACCAACGTTCACCATCCAACCTGACAGAACTGGAGAGGATCTGCAAGGAAGAATGGCAGAGGATCCCCAAATCCAGGTGTGAAAAACTTGTTGCATCATTCCCAAGAAGACTCATGGCTGTAGTAGCTCAAAAGGGTGCTTCTACTCAATACTGAGCAAAGGGTCTGAATACTTATGACCATGTGATATTTCAGGTTTTTCTTTTTTAATAAATTTGCAAAAATTTCTACATTTCTGTTTTTTTCTGTCAAGATGGGGTGCTGAGTGTACATTAATGAGAAATAAAATGAACTTTTTTGATTTTAGCAAATGGCTGCAATGAAACAAAGAGTGAAAAATTTAAAGGGGTCTGAATACTTTCCGTACCCACTGTACTTCACTGTTTCTGACAATGAGGAAATGATGTATATGCGATGGTGACACACAAAAAACACATAGGTGGCTGACGGCTGTGGCTCAGAGGAAGAGTGGGTCGTCTACTAATCAAAAGGTTGTTGGTTCGAGCCCCAGCTCCTCCCGCTGCAGGTCGAAGTGTCCCTGAGCAAGATACTGAACCCCAAATTGCAAATTGCTGTGCATCAGTGTGTGAGTGTGTATGAATGAGTTAGTTTCTGTTCGATGGACTTTGCCATCATTGAGTGAATGTGTGTGAAAGGGTGAATGTGGCACGTAGTGTAAAAGCGCTTTGAGTGGTCGGAAGACTAGAAAGGCACTATACAAGTACAGGTCCATTTACCATAAGTATGTTAGAGATAGCTGCAGGTAACATGATATGGTGGCCAACATTTAAAAAAAAGTTTTAATATTCTATCCCTCCTTTCCCTTACAACCGACTCAAGAACCCCAGTTTGAAAACCACTGGTTTAGGCTACAGTACATGTTGTTACTGGCCTCCCCCTTTAAGGAAGGTGGCCTTGTGGGCAACCTGTGTGTGAGGTAGTCTTGCGGTTTTGTCATGTCATGCAAAGATGTTTCTCCCAGTGTTTGAGGACCAGCAAGTAGCTGCAGCCACAGTGAAGAGCATACTGTGTGAGGCATTACGTGTGTAAATAAGCTCAGGTTGCAGAATAATAGTTGCTGAAAGTTATTCTAGCTATTCTTCTATGACTACTTTAGATAATCTTCTACACTGAGGACTTTAAATGCAGGGTTTTTACTTGTAATGGATTATCTCTGTACTGTCATTGCTACTTTTAAGGTATCTGCTTTCGCCACTGCTGATGAGTGTCCTGTTTTATCTACAGAATGTGGTTAACTAGCAACATTGTCAGCAGATCATTGACCTGTATTCCCCTTCCTTTCTATCAGAGGAAATGATTTTGAGATCTCCCGACAGTCAGTGGATCCTGGCTGGTGGCTTGAAGATAGTCATTCCCAGAGTCTGCATTTGACAACCTGGGATCTTTGTAAATACCATTGAGGAGCCAGATGAACCTGATTTTGGTACTACTGTCAGGATATAGTGAAGGTTTCAGCAAATATAACAAGTTATTTTTTAGAAAACTTACCTACTGCAGCTTTAATCTTCCAACCTTTTTAAATATGGGAACATCAAATCCAGCAGACAGTTCAAACTCATTAATCTAAACAATAATCTGTTTATGTTGTACATAAAAAGCCTTCTGCAAAGCAGAAAAAATATGCACATACGCAACGTAGCTGTTTAAAATTTAATCTTGTAACATACTCCTTAAGACATAAGTTGTACAATACAATTTAAATGTATTCAATGTGTAAGAGTCAGTTGGTTTCTGTCTGGGATGCGGAGTGGAATTGTTAAGGAGGTAGAAGAGTGAAGGTAAAACTTGTTCCATATTCTGCAGCAGAATATAATGATGATGGTCCCAGGTTGTCACTGGAGACAGAAAGCTGGATGCACCAGGTATGAGACTGTTAAAATGTCCACTTTATTCTTTCTTCTTGTAGTCCTCCAAGTGGGCCAGGATCCATCCGGATGGTCCCAGGATGGCCAGGGAGAACATGCCCAGTCCAATGGCAGTTTCCTGAACAAGAGACAGAGAGGATTCAGTCAGCCAATCAGCATCTGTCAAACGCTGCATTTACCCTGAAGTCAATGCTCCTATTTGGATTTTTATGGGAGTCCTGTTCAAATTCTCCCATGCAGAGAGTTTACTTGGGCAGCCCACTCAAAACATTCATATTTCTTCTTCAGTGTCATTCAGCCAGGTTTGTGGTCCCATCAGTCTTTTCTGTCATAGTAGAGTAGCTACACCTTTGGCTACAGTTTTATCTAGTAACATACACACGTCATTGGATACAGAGTGGAAACAGAGGATTTTACCTACAGCTGAGCTAGGGCTGTCCCAAATACTGCTGTTTTTTTTACCTTCAATGCTTCAATGACAATAACCCAGGAATATTTGAAGCTCCGACAGGGATGGGCAACCCCGGTCAGTTAAGTTCATATAACAGAAAATATATGCTCTGAGGGGATTGATGAAATATGTATGCATGTAGGCGTGTGTGGAGGCGGCTTGTTGTTAATGACGTAGGCTATAAAAATAATCAAACAAAGTGGTACCGAATGCTTTACCTGCTTGTAAAATAATCACTGTCCCTGTGTTTTGTTTTTTTACACCATCAGTGATGGATTAAGTTCAACCACAGTGAATGTGCAGTGTAGGTTACAGTTTGTCAGTGAGTTAAGGCTGCAGCGTCCCAAGACCAAAGTAAAGCTCCTGTGTGTCTGTGTATGTGCATGTAGAACATGTGACAGGCCACCGCAAATAAATGGTAAACATTGCTTTGATTGGGAGCCAAAATGCATTCATTTTATTTTACCTTCATTTAAGCAGATAACTGAGAGTTCTCATTTACAATGATGACCTGGCCAAGAGGCAGCAGCAAAAAAACAACAACACTGTTTTGAATACAAAGTGATGAGTTTTACCAACGTTAATCATCTCAACTACCCTAAAACTAACAGAGACCCTTTATACGACCACTGCTTATACGCTACCACTGATTCAAACTAATGGTCTAGAGCAGAGGTCTACAGCAACGTGGTGCCAGAGGGCCCTTGGTACCCCGTGGGTAGCCTGTGAACGGCCCCCAGAGCATGTTCTGTACAACTACATTACTGATATGTTTTTACCAAATAAAACAGTATACTAAGCCTTTACTACATGTTCTTACATGCGTCCCCATTCTACCCTTCTGAATTTGGGGTTCATTTTTCCGAGAAACAAACAGCTTTGGGTTGGATGCCTGAAAATAGCTGATTGTTGAGACTCATTCCCAAACTGTCTGTATTTCAGAATCACTGTACACTCTCTCAGCTCTGACTGGTTGTGTTCAGGCCTGTACCATCAGGAGTACTAGCAGCCAGAGCAACCTGACTGTCTCACAGATGACCTGTCTCACGTTCTACCGTCAGGATACAGGGAACGTTTCAGTGAATATAACACAATGGGTAAATAAAGTAACGTTAATATAAAGATTTACTGACTTGGAGTTTTCCTTCGTGTACTTTAACTGTCCCTGAAAATGGCGTTATTACAGTGACGTTATTATTATTATTATTATTATTATTATTATTATTAGTAGTAGTAGTAGTAGTAGTGTGTTAGTATACACATTATTAACCGGACAGAGGGCGGATAGATATTATTGCTAACGCTGGCTAACTCAATGGGTTAGCTTTTGCGTAACTTTCTGATGGAAGCGGAAGTATTATTCTGAAAATATTTAGCGACGAATTAAAATACTGTGGCGGACATACAGCGGTGTACAGTCAGCCACTCCGGTTGTACACGCTGGCTTTAATAAGTAATAACGCGTTGAACACTGCCCGCTGGTTTGACCTCGTCAGCCAAGGGCAGCTAACAGCTAATGGCTGCTAGCTAGCCGTCCACTTATGTTAGCATGAGCCCAGTGTGGCTGTAGTGGAATAACAGCGGACTTACAACGGGCCCGATCTTCTCCTTGGCCGGTCTGGTGTAGACACTAGCCCGCTGGGAGACGGTGTGTCCCCGCAGGGCAGGGACAGCACGGCCGGCGATGGTCCTCAGGAGCAGCGGCATGTTGCTGTGCGGTATAATAGCGGGAGATGTAACTCGGCTGATCAGCTGCTGATGGTGTGAACAGGAAATGGATGCAATGTCACTTCTCTTCTTCTCCTCACCCGAGATCAGCAGCCAGTCGCACAGTGCCACCTACTGGAGGTTGATGCACATTGAAAGTAAATTTACTTAAGAACAGAAACATTTTGATGTACTTGTACTTTACTTTGACATTTTAGTATGCATTTTACGTCAACTTATTCTTTTACTCCACTACATTTTAGAGGAAAGTCCTATATTTTTACAGCACTACATATATTTGACAAATATATTATTATCAGAGGTTCAGTGTGTAACATTTAGAGGATCTATTGGCAGGAACTATGTTCTCATTAGTGTGTAATTACCTCTAAATAAGACTTGTTGTGTTTTCCATGGAGGCCTCCATGTTGAACCGTCATGTTTCTACAGTAGCCCAGAAGAGACAAACCAAACACAGACTCCATGTTTTTCTCACGCTTCATGGCCATCGTAGTTTCTCCTTCACACTTGGAACAGGGAGGGTGAGGCGAGGGCGTTTATATCTGCAACTAACCAGTTAATGCCACTAAATCCTACACACTGGTCCTTTAAAGATCCACTCAAGAGATGGTGGAGGTATTACAGCTGTGTCTGGTTGAACAGAAGGTCTGTCTCTGTCCTGTCAGTGGCAAAAACAACAACTGTTAGTGGACGACTGGCGTATTTGTTTCCAAGGACTAGCTATTCAGCATTAGCATCCTGTTTTACAACTATTTTCTTGTGTACCTCTGTGAATTAAAGGTTTATTTTCACCAAAGTAGCAGTGGTGATTGTTGGAATGACTAACAAAGACAACTTTGGTGAGTTTTATTTTGTTTCTGTCTAGTTTGAGGTGTGTTTTACGGAAGCCCTAAAGGGCCATGTATTCATCCATTTTATTTCCTCCGTTTTCCCGTGATAACGAGTTAATTATCTCGAGATAACGAAACTGTGTTTTCCCGAGATAACGATATAATTAATTTGTGATCGAGATAATGACTGTGATATGATAACTGCGGTCAAGCCAGTTACTCCGATCTCTGTGGTCAAATCAGCGTATTCAATTCCGGTTTTCAAAATAAATGTATTAAGAACAGTAAGCTATAATTCGAACCTACATTTTACATAAACTATGTTACATTAAAACGTTTCTTGCGCCCATGATGAATAAAAAACATACCTTATATCAAGCATTTCTACTGCACCAATGTGGAGAAATGCCAAACCAAAAGTTCCACATTTGTATCTCCAAGTGGCATACAGTAAAAGCAGGTACAAATATGGAATTTTATTGTTGAATTTCTCCAAATTGGTGCAGTAAAAAGGCTTGATATTAAGTATACTTGTAGTCTTAGATGTGTAGAAGTCAAATATACCATCCATAACCAGGAATTATTGAGCAAAGTGTTTTTACAGTAGCTCAAATATGGTCAAATATTGAATCTAGAGATATAAATATAGGACTTTTATTATTGAATTTCTCCAAATTGGTGCAGTAAAAATGCTTGATATTAGGTATACTTGTATTCTTATATGTGTATAAGTCAAATATACCATCCATAGCCAGGAATTGTTTGAGGTTTGAATTATAGCTTACTGTTCTTAATACCTTTATTTTGAAAACCGGAAGTGAATACGCTGTAAATTTAAGTGTGGCTGATTTGACCACGGAGATCGGAGTAACGGCTTGACCGCAGTTATCATATCACAGTCATTATCTTGAGATCTCGAATGAATTAACTCGTTATCACGGGAAAACGGAGGAAATAAAATCTATGAATGCATGGCCCTTTAGGGCTTCCGTAGTGTTAAACCATTATCTCCTAAAAAAGTGCCCACTGTTTTGGCCTGAGATACTGGTGCTCTAGTGCAACATCTAGTGGCAAGTGAATTCCACACAGTGAATCTGGGGCCGGTGCCAGTTGATAATCCAGTGTTGGTTGTACCTGCAGTGTGTACCCTCTGTGAAGTAAATATGCTCTTCAGCCTCAGCATTACAAACCTGTACTCAACTTCAGCTTTGTAATATCAAAGCTTACCGGCCAGAGCCCAACCTGCAAGCAACTCCACGTGAGTGCTAATCCTCTCGTGTGCAGCCCTGCTGCCCATGTATGCAGACTGCCTCCTGCTAATTGGGGACAGGGGAGCAGTGGAATGCATTAATCCCCCCCCACTCTCCACAACAATACCCCACAGCCTTTAGTTAGACGAAGAATTTTGCACTCTCTACATCTCTTTTGTTCAGATTTTGTATTTTCTTATTACCCCTCTGTTTTTCCTTCCAAGGCCATTCGTGAGAAGATTCAATTAAGGGTCGCTTTTGTTTGTCTCTTTCTAACACCTCGGAAGATGGGGATTGACTCTGGAGTCAATGTTTCAGATGATGTCTCACCTTACGGCGGACAGAGTGCTTTTACGCAACTGGAGCACAACATAGTGGCTGCATACCTTATTACTGCAGGTAAGACATAGAAGAGCACCGATGGCATTATAAATAGATGAACATGGTATATAATGAATAATGTGAGTATTGAGTTGTTTCAGTGTGATTTATAGAACTGTAGAACCTTGAGTCAAAGGAATGTCAAGGGCCTGAATGCAAAACAACACGTCTCCCAGCTGATGAATAATGAGCTGGCAGTAAAGAATAATATCAGTACACACAGCAGTGATTGTAAGTGATTTTTAGTTTTAACTACTCTTGTTCTGCCGCAGGTTGTCTTTCCAAAACAGGCTGCCTAGCCAACAGCTTTTCCCAAAAATGTCATAATTGCTGCATGGATTATTTTCTCTGGCAACATTCATGAAGTGTTAAGTTCTTGTAATGTGCAGAAATCACAACAGAAAGGGAGGTGGTCAAAGGATGCAACCACTATCCTGCCTGTGGTTGTAGGATTGGGCTACTAAAACAGTTGGTTAATGGTTCAGGAAAGATGCTGCCTGAGGTTAAATTTTAAATAAAGTAACCACATCCTGTTTTGTATTTCAAGTCACCAAACGACTTTAAAAATGTAGCCAAGACCATCATGATTCCCTAACCCTAAATTACTTTAACATAACCATGAAACTGGCAAAACTCGAGTGGGTATTGTAGGAAAACCAAATACAGTGAACGGCAGATTCATTCAGTATACTGTAACTTTTATAAAGAAAGCAAGAATGATATTTTCTTGGCTCTGATTGGTTGTTTTCATACAGGCCCGGTGGATTCTTACAAATGCCATTAGGAGCACAAGGAGCAGCCAGAGGAACCTGATTTTTTCACAGATTATATGAAAGTAGTACACGTACTACTGTCAGGGTATTGGGAGATTTTCAGCAAAGATGACAAAAAAGTTATGTTTATAAAAGTTACCCACTGCAGCTTTAAAGGTTTTATTTAGTATCTAGTATTAAAAACAATCATTCAGAAGGCATTATGTTTTTTTTTTCAAATGTACTTACCATTGCAAATTAATACTACATAAATTTAATTATCTGGACAAAGGGTGATAGCTAGGGATGAGCAAGTACACCATTATCTGTATCTGTTTAACTAACGAACGGGCAGTGGGCTAAACTACCTTGGAAGTTGTTCATTTAAGTCTGAAACTGATATGGGCTGATCAGAAGTTGCTATACTTATGCGAAAACTATTGACAGAATTTAGCTTCAGAACAATATTTTATTTACAGACTGTTTTAAATTAAATTTGATAGATTTCCGAGTGCCGAAATTGACATTCCCAAATTGACATTTTACTCGTTTGGTATTTGAACTTGAAAAAGTTCCTTATCTGTACTGGATACTCACTGAAGCCGAGTACTCGCTCAACCCTAGTTGTAGAACTGTTGTTGCCTTGTATAACTGCATACAGTATATGTATACATATGTTTGTTTATTATACATGCATTCAAGTCCTATCACACAAGCTGTCAAGTACAGAATTCTTGGATTACACTGACAGTTCCATAGGCACTGATGTTAAAGGTGTGGTTCATCCAATCCGTCAATAGTTTTGGTCATTTTATGTCTCCATTCCAACATAATCGACTTGCATGGATTTTCCAGTGCTCAAAGAATAAAAAAGGAAAAAAAATAAAACATTTAATTAATTACTTTATACTAGAGAAAAACTCCCTATAGTAATGTCGATGCTGACTCTGGAGAGAGGTGTTGCTGTATGATGTCAGTTGGTGGAGCAGTAGCTCTCTGTTAGCATTTTTAAATGAGTTTCGAACGGTGAAACATGGACAAGGAACTGGATGGTAAAGGAAACAAATAAATAGGCGGGCTTAGACTTACCAAGGCCATTAATGCTGAAAAAAAAATGAGTCCATTGTTCTCCTTTGTAAAGCAGTTCTGATAGCATTATGTAACTTACCCGGGATTTGGCACTGTAGCCTGTCTGTTACCTACAGTATGATCTGATGAGCCAATATATTTCCATTTGTTTCTGAAGCCATCATTTTGCATTTCTCTCATGGCAACTTTATTGAAAAGGTGAAACATAAAGCAGGATTAAAAAAGATGTTAGCCGTGGGTTTCAGTTTGATTTGTTCCTCTGAGTCAGTCTAAAAACGTCCCTGTACCGGTTCCAAAAGCTTTTCTATCATGACCCCCTTCGGAAGCCAAAACAATAAAGGCTTCTTCATATTTTGGACTAGACTGATTTTTTGTTTGAGAGACAAAGAACAGCACAACACACAATACCCCCCATCCCAGACAGCCATACAGAATAACACAAAAAAGGAAGAAGAAAAACAATTAAATAATTGAATAAGATTAAATAATGATCATAACAACAAAGAAAAAAATATAAATAATAAAAAAATGAAAGAGAGAGAAATAATAAAACTGACATGTTTTTAGATGAGCTTTACCAGTTGCTTTTTCCACTGATCATTTTGCTTTCTGAATAACTCTACGGAGCCCATCACAGAACTTGTTTGTTTACATTGCCAAAATGGAGTGGACTAATCATAGAAGGAAAAGTACAGTGGGACTAACTCTGTCTCAGCAATTATTACAATGCAGTGCAGAAAATAAGAAGGGCTGAGGGAGTACTCGGCTGAAATGGGTATCCAAGTCATGACCCGCCCTATTCTGGCTCTGATTGTCGAGTAGTGGTTGGCGTCATTGGTTGTTTTGGTGAGGTTTATTTATTTATATCATAAAGGGATACAAAACGGTGTGTTTCTGTGCTTCAAATCTCCTCTGACTGACTGACTTCTGGCCTGGTGCCACAATGCGGATGTAGTGTGAAATTTGATCCAGAATCTGCATGCAGTATTTTATTTTGAAAATTGTTTTGAAACCTTGGTCTGTAAATAGTTCTCGTATTGAGACTGTCACCTCTTGTCGATGATAGTTATAGTCTTTACATTTAAACTGAACTAGTGCAGTGCCCGTAGGAAGTATGTATTGCTATAGAAAATGGGAGGTTAAGTAGCTTTTTCATGGATGGCCAAATGAGGTTGTGTTTGAAGGTGGGACATCAGGGACATTTAGGTTTGTTGTGAAATGTGTAGATTGTTAACTATTGTGTTTTCATATAATTTGTCTTTTAGCAAGGACACTGTAGGGAGTTGAACCCCATTCCACTAATGTGAAAGTACCACACCTCATGGTCAGCGCATATAAATTCTGAAAGAAGAAAGTGAACTACATCTGAAATGGGATGAAACCTGGCAGCATAAACAGACTAACTTGTAGCATAGCCTAGTAAATGAACTGGGGCAGGACATATTATTTAGCCCTGTAATATAGGAGAGAGAGAGAGAGAGAGAGAGAGAGAGAGAGAGAGAGAGAGAGCAATGGCAGTAAGGGTTTCCACATCAAAAATTGTTTTGAAACTACCAAAATAGTGTGAACGGATAAGCCGACAGACAGTCTGATAACTGCACAGGTCTCTCACTCAACCTTATAAAGAGAAATGTCCCACAAAGCAACGTTACAGGACCAAACAACAGTAACGTAGTAACTGTAACTGTCTTTGGAAATTTATGAGGAAAATAAATACCACAGCTATCCAGGATGTTTGGGCTCTGCAGTGATTGGCTCTGGTGCGCACGTGGCTACGGTGGCTGTCGTTGACAATGCTAGCGGACTTCGGAAATAATTTATGAAATAATAATTTATTAACGGTATCTTTATAGTCCAAACAAAGCCGACGTTGCACACCCTTAAACCACACAGCAGCCATGTTGAAACTCTCAGGTCAGTCTGATCCTGATCTGCAGAGATATTTGAACCACACACACACACACACACACACACACACACATACATACAGAGACAGACAGAGATTTCTTGCTTTATAGATAGATAGATACAGTCTCTTTCTCTGAGCCATCAGAGGAAACGCAGCTTAAAGCATTTGTCTATTCTTTACCCCTCAGTGACTTTTGTATAGAATCAATAAAGGGTTAATGGTTTGACTTTTACCTGCCACGCTGTGATACTGCTTCATGTCTTACCTCCAGGTGTCATTAGTTTAGCGAGCAACATTGTGGTGCTGCTGATGTTTGTGAAGTTTAAGGAGCTCCGCACTGCCACCAACTTCATCATAATCAACCTGGCTTTCACTGACATCGGAGTGGCTGGTATCGGCTATCCCTTGTCAGCTGCCTCGGACATCCATGGCAGCTGGAAATTTGGTTACACAGGTTGTCAGGTGGGTGGTATGTAAGCGTTTTCATACGTATGTTATTTCACTGACAGAACAACCTGTCACAATCTATATTGTTTTTAAATATTTAAAAAAAACATTTTTTTAAATTTTCAAATTTAAAGTTAAGATCAGGGGCAGTGTATCTTTATATATTTAGTATATATTTTATATTTGGTTTTTGTTTTGGATTTGACAATTAAATATTCATTATCTGGATGCTCAAAAGGACCTGTCCTATGTCGTTATGCATGGTTTAGACAATTATTAAGAAGACCCAGTCAAGAGTTACACCAGCCCTGTAGTTCTCCATGTTTTCTAAAACCGCTGAAAATGTCACTCTAACTAACGTGACACATTCTGAGCTGGCCATGAGCCTGAACCTGTGAGCGGGCTGACGCATGTTCATGTGCTGCAGCAGGGCGCGTGTTGGATTCTTATGCAGATTATGGGTTTTCTTCTCAGTCCTTGTTATTGCACAGTGATACTGAGCCATGTGATATTAATCTACAGTACTGATCAGGGGGAAACTCAGAACCAAATGTTTTAACTAGGCAGTAGATGTTTCCTATACAGTCACCCAACTATTATGTTTGATTTGTGAAAAACACCATTTTTGTGTTACATGGTTGTGGTTCTTAACCGTTTTAATTAATTAAAACTTAATGGACCCCTTTTCTTTAATTTAGTAAATTGATGACCCCTGAGTAAGAGGAACATTTTATGGCTGTTTCATGATATTCACTGTACACTGTACAACCCAACCCAAACAGTGAACTCCATAACTGCAGGAAGGATTCATTTTGAGAAGATTATTTCCTGTTTGAGGAACTTTTATACATTTATCAGATTTGTTTTATCATTTATAAACAATCGTATGAACTTACTAGCCATCTTTTTTTTAAATAAATTGAGTGTTACTTGTCCCTGATGCATGGGCATTGTTGTATTACATGATAATTTACTTTACATTTACATTTCTTCACAGAAGTAAACCAAATGCTGAGATATAGGCCTACTGTGTATATATGTTTTCTTACACGCCTCAAAATCAAGAAGCCCTCACGACCCCTATTTAGTCAAACTGTTGCCCCTCAGTGAGTCAGGTAGTACTGATGTCAGCTTTCTCTAAAACTAAAAGGACAATACAAGAATTGTATCCATTCACAGAAAATCACACTTACTTTACTGCTGACCATAGGCACCTGAGACTTGTTCGTATTAGGTCTTCCATTGTACTGAATTTGTTAGTGTATAATCACCTGAATATAGTAATTGTTGTTTTGTTACCTTAGAATGAGCTGTTTTTATCTGCAGACGCCAATCCACCATGTTGAACTGCCATGTTTCTACAATCATCCTGTGTGGGGAGGCCTGGTGTACCTCCTTTGAGCTCCTGGCTGCTATATAAATGTATAGACAAAACACCATAACATTTTGGGTGGAACACAAACCAATAAAGTGCTAAATAAAGGTTGTAAACCAAACATGAAGCCTTTTTCAGTTTTGTTTTGTTTTACTAACTTTATGTCACACATATGCAACTAGTTTTAACTACAGAAGCTCAAGGCAACATCAAGAACTATTATCATTGCAGTAAAATCTTCTGCTAAAAAAGTTTACATTTCTGTGCCTTTGTCTCCAGATCTATGCAGCTCTCAACATTTTCTTTGGCATGGCCAGTATCGGCCTGCTGACCGTGGTGGCCATCGACCGCTACCTAACCATCTGCAGACCAGACATAGGTATCTATTTACTGCTCTCCTGATCTCCATACACACATCATTTTCACTTTTTAAAATCCACATACCATAAACATTTTTATATAAACTCACTGATACAGAAAAAAGCTATGCTAGCATGTAGAACTAAACTGACTAAAGTATACAGTTTCCACTTTTAACCTATGACAAGGACTTTTAACCGGTTATGAAACAGTCCCCATTAAATACTGATGCCTCTATAAGGTTTCATAATATTATATAATACATTTTTATTTGTTAATGCATTAACATATAAGCAGCTTTTTAATGTGGTATATGACTGAGGTGGAGCTAGTTTTACTACTTTACTGTATATACTGTTGTAATTTATAACAATGAATTGTATTTCATAAACTGATCATGATTTATATGTAAAATCTTGACATGATAGTGGTACAGTGTTTTTTTTATGAAATCTAAGGAAATAAAGTAGCACAGACTGGAAGTATACAAATGAAATACAAATACTTCCAAAGTGCACTGAAGTGAAGTGCTTGAGTAAATGTAATTGGTTACTTTTCACCTCTGAGTAAAAACTTTTTTTGGGTAGCGTAATGATCCTTTGTGTCATGTTAATGATTTTTTTCTGGTCATGTGTTGTATGCAGTTAACCTAACAAGAATATATTGGAATGAAACCAATGTCTCCACACATGATAAAAAGTTCACTGACTTTCCTGACCTTCATGATGAATATGTGCATGTCTCTCCAGGGCAGAAGATGACGGTGCGCTCATACAACCTTCTTATTCTGGCAGCATGGCTGAATGCTGTATTCTGGTCCTCCATGCCTGTAGTGGGCTGGGCTGGTTATGCCCCTGACCCCACTGGAGCTACATGCACCATCAACTGGAGACAGAATGATGCGTGAGTTATCAATGGACTGGACAGCTATTATCTTAACTCCCTCCATTTATTGCTGTATTCCCTGTTGTCAGTCCTGGTCTGGATGTGCTGTCCACTGAGAGCTCCCAGTTACAGCACTATTGGCTACCACGACAAGTCCCTCCCTAGCAGCCAGTTTTTACAGGAAATACGTAAATATGCAGAAGCTGATTACGTTTCACCTTGACCTGAGTCGATACAATATCACAGAACCAAATATCGCGATACGATATTTTTCTATATCTTCTTACACCCATATCTTTATATAAGATAAAACATAATCCAGTATATATTTGCCTGAGCAGACACTATAACTAACTCTGCTTTTTCTCCAGCTCCTTCATCTCTTACACTATGGCAGTGATTGCTGTGAACTTTGTGGTGCCTCTGTCTGTCATGTTTTACTGCTACTACAACGTGTCCGTCACTGTGAAGAGATACAAATCACGCAACTGCTTGGACAGCATCAACATCGACTGGTCAGATCAGATGGATGTCACCAAGGTGAAAACTGAGCCAGAGACATTTTCAGCCTCACTCTTCTTTCTTCTACTCAGCTGTCATTGGTTTTGTTAAGCTTTGGGGTAGGCCATCAATTTAATGATTAGACAAAGTTGTCCCATTGACTATTAGTCAAGTTAGTGTGCTTTTAACCATTTTCTTCCAGTCACTAAAAGCACATTCATGGCTGTTTGTAAAATGTTCTGTGTGGTACCTGTTTGTAGCTAAGCTTGTGGCTGTGTTGTAGTTTAGCTGGTGGCTCAGAGAGGCTAACTGTCTGGTGTGTGTGTGTGTGTGTGTGTGTGTGTGGGTCCGAACCACTGCACAAAAATTAGGAAAATACTAAGTAGAGGGTAAGCAAAAGCTAGCTCCTGGGGAGGTGCGCATCTGATTATATGGCATTAATACTCATATACACATAATGCCAAGTAGGCCTAAATGGTAGACCTGTTGGCAGTAGACGTAAGAGGTTCTGGGGGATTTTAAACAGTCAAAGGTGTGTTGAATACTCCTTAAAGGTCCAGTGTGTAGGATTTAGTGGCATACAGTGGTGAAGTTGCAGATTGCAACTAACTGAACACCACTCGTGTCTGTATGCAATGACCTAAAACCGGGCGGTGAACTGTGTAGGGGAAAACACGGTGGTCGCGAAAAACGCGAAAGTTTGGTTGGTCCGTTCGGGGCTACTGTAGAAACATGGTGGTTTAACATGGAAAGTGACCCGCTCCCTCTATAGATAAAAACAGCTCATTCTAAGCTACCAAAAACACAATGATTCTTATTTTCAGAATTTTTGATACCTATGAATATTATATTCCATTTCTGCCAATAGATCCTCCTACATGTTACACACTGGACTTTTTATGTGGAAATAAAAAGCCTTTTCCTCATGGTTTTCACCTTAATGTTTGTCTCCTTAATTTAATTCCCTCTGTACAAATATTCTTGTCCATATAATATGAAAGCTGTGTTGCTGTGTTTGTGGCCGGCAGATGTCCATGGTGATGATTGTCATGTTCCTGGTGGCCTGGTCTCCGTACTCTATAGTGTGTCTCTGGGCTTCATTTGGCGACCCCAAGACCATCCCTGCTCCCATGGCTATCATTGCTCCACTTTTTGCCAAGTCCTCCACCTTTTACAACCCCTGCATTTATGTTGTTGCCAACAAAAAGTGAGTGTTGAGTGGGGTATTTTAATGTTTTAATGCAGTACTTTATTTGAACGCATCATCCACTACAACATTTAAATAACACATACACATAAATTGTCCTTTCCTGCAGGTTCAGAAGAGCCATCATAGGGATGATCCGATGTCAAACTAGGCAGCGAATCACCATCAACACCCAGGTTCCCATGACAACCTCCCAACAACCTCTCACCCAGTGAGATGAAATTACAGTATCTCATTGTATTACTAAACGCTGGCATTAAAAGCATGTATAGAAGATTGCTAGGATGAAATAACATGAATCACTGTCAGTGTTCTTCTTTCTACTGTAGCCATTGTTCTGTTGAATATCCCAATGCACTGTGGTGTTTACTGTGTAAATTCCACTTGCTGTGCCGTTGTAGTCTTTATTTGTCTGCCGGTAACATCAATAACAAACTGACAATGAAAATGTGTAGTGTATGGATTGCATTCTTCAACTGAATCATATTCTGTGCAAGAAAGAAACTAAAATGGCAAACAAGAAGACAAACATCCATTATTCCTTGCTCCATGCTTTACAGCAGCTAAAATATTTCCCCCATTCATGACAACTGTACAGGGGGAATTTATGTAACTCAACTGCTGAAATTACATTAACAACAAAGGTCCTCAGCCATAAATGAACGGGGGCCTCCTTATCCTTCATCTGTCATCAGCACAAGCCTTCAGGCATTCGCTGTGCTTGCGAGGGTCAGTGCAGCTCGACAGATGTATGAGCAGATGTCAAAGCAGGACTGTAACAAAAAGAGGAAACAAAAGAACGCCTACACAATAAAGGAGGAGGCCTATAATGTGAGCATGACCTAAGCAGTTCCTAACAGTAGTCTGGCCAAAAATGTAAAACTGGGGTCATCAAATTAAAATCATTCATCCACCTTTCCTGGGAGCATGAAAGGGGTTAGCAAATTCCAAGGCAAACTTACATTATATGATATCTTGGGTCCAATATTGACATTTTGACCATAGTGCATACAAAATTGAAAGAGTTCTTTCTTTGGAGAGTGATCACGTGCTTGTCGAACATGATACTGTGAAATACTTTGTTAAAATGTGTAAGAGTTATAATAATACTATATATAACTTTTTCTGGTGTAGCAGCTCACACTACACACAGAGAGTACTTCTTTTGTGTGCTGCACACCAAGAGCAATCAAGGAAAAAAGGTAAAATTAGGAAGAATGCATAATACAATATATAATAATACGCACAGACGTAATGACAGAAGCCACTGTGCTCATGAAGATTCAAAGTCATTTTAATTCAAATTCATTTGCATTTGTGACTAGTTGAAAACAAAATAATTCAGATTCCCTTTATAAGTTAAATTTTACAAATATATATTGAATAATTTGTAATAAAAATGTTTACAGTACAAGGAAGAGAATCAGTGAAAGAAAAATGGGCAGCTGATGCTTTTCTACCTGCATGATAGAGAACAATGGCAAGGTTGAACTGCAAGGTCACAGTGGAGTGTATATGTATATAAATATACACACATAATATAATATACATAAATAACTTTTAGAGTTCATTTGCATTAAATAGACAACACATCCTTATTCCCAACTCGCTGTGGGTTCCACTCTTATGTCATTTGGTAGTTTGGTTAGGTTTGGACACAAAAACTACTTTGTTAAGATTTGAAAAAAGTTACACCGGGCACCCTGGTGGCTCGCTTGGTAGACCATCGACCACACCTCCTCCAAGCTCTGTGTGATGGCGTGCGCGTCCAAAAATGACGCCAGAGGGATACCTACTGTACAGCATCATATTTTGAAGCAGAGGGCCACTGACAGCAGCAGTATTTGAAGATTTGGTAGTGAGAACGTGTTGAATTAGAAAGGAACTCTATTCGTTTATAACCCATGTCTAACTGTCTTATTGTGTTCATTAATTCCAGGCAGCGCTAGAAAATTTCTACATTACTGATTTGGATACTTTTTAAAGCCCCAAACAACACGATACAGATTTTTGTGGATTAATTGGCAAAATGGGGCTTTCACTCAGAAGATCAGGTTATTAGCATTCTGAGAATGTGGGCATTTGTTTTGATTTTCTGTTTTCCACTGTTGATTCAGATCAGCAGCCCCCTGCTTTGGCCCTAACCCAACCGCACTCTATAGCGCTGACAGGGAAAAAGGCCATATGTACAGTGTCTATGGGACTGTGGATGTTCTGGTTCTGCCTGTATTCCTGCAGTGTGTCGCAGTGATGCTGGTTTTAAGGGACGTTGTTACCCAGCCACTGTTTGATCTCTTCGTTATTCCTCCGGATCCATTCAATGTTGTTCCTCACTGTCTCCAGCGCCTGCTGCCGGGGCATCTCCCCAGCACCAGCATCCGGTGTTTGACTGAAGAAATGCTCCATCTACAAAACCAGCATGGATAAAATGTGTTAATGTGAGAAGTCGGAACACAAACTGTTAATCCCAGTTAGTGATTTAGCACTTCCAGTTCCCTCCATTGTTAATGGGTGTTTTGAATGGGTTTTTTTTGTTAGGTGCCTGAAATAAGGTCTGTCTTAACTTAGCTTAAAAGATTTTCACTTTTTCCTCTACGACATAAAATACGTCAGAAAATACCCCACCTGTGAATCTGGAATTTTTTTACGGAAGGCGGTTGCCAACAAGGGACGTCAGCACGCCGAATACTACTCACTAGTCCACCTTTACAGCCTTGTTGTGTTTATCCCGCATGGGTTCAGTTTGGAGAACCTGCACCCAGAGAGGATGCACAAGCTTGCGACTTTCACAAAATAGGAAAATCCTGGTGGCGGATGAGACTTGAAAATAATTAGCTGATTAAGATGCTAAAATAATCATTTACATTTCTGATTTCACCCAAAAAAAAAGAGATGGAAGATTTTTGTTCTCACCCACTGCCCGTCTCCATTTAGTTGATTTCTACTTGGGCCTTGAATTCATATAAATATTTTTTTTCACCTGTTACACAACATTTTTGCAGGATACCCGGATGGGACCCGTGGGTACCTGACCCGGTGCAGACCCCGGTGTAATTCGAATATAGCCTAACAAATAATAATAACTGTGCACCGGTGTTTGTTGAAGGAGATGCAGCGCTAACCTTCCACAGCTGGAGCTCTGTGTTGTAGGTGGTGGTGATTCGGTTCAGCAGGCGACCAAGGTTCCTGTCATTGATGGTGTACCTGTTAAAGCAGAAAATTCATCACCAAACATGAGTTTTCAAAGCGACATTTGACTATAGGTGAAAAAATGCAAATGTATTGTATGTGCGTAAAGCAACTTTACACAAAGACAACTTTAGATGAGAAGAATGACAGAAGAACTGTATTGAACAAAGACTCTGCCTTTTGTCCTTTCTTATCAACAATTACTTCCTCATTCGACCTTATGTTGAAACAGTTGTGTTGTTTTATTTCCTAAACAACCTTGATCTTTATTAGCAGATACATTATCACATGTGGCATACACGTTACTGTCAGTAATTATCCACTAAACACACCCTGGAGGGATTATACAACAATATAAAGTCATTTTTGTGATTGCTGTATGAGCTCAAATGAGAACGAATGCTGTCTTATATTTATCACGTGGACACAAACATGACTCCAGAATGAATGCTAAAGTAACTGTGTGTCTGCTGGTGTGAAGTGTGAAGAGGCACTTTCCCATAATAACTTTATACGTTAATTGTAAGAGCCAGTTAAGCACAAATTTGTATTTATTTTTATGTTTTAATTATATGTTATATAGCCTATAAGGGACAATGAAAAAAGAGGTGTCCATTATCACATTATTATAGCAAGCAAGATTCAAAGTCAACGTCCAGTCACAGACTAGCTAGCCATCCATCCATGTCATTGTCTCCAAATCAATATCAAGATTTTCAACAACAAATGATATGCCATGTGTACTTTAAGTAGTTTGTGTGTTACAGTCTCCATCCATATATGTGATTAAAACAGAATATATATCTGCCACCCAATTTATGGATTTTTATTCGCCATGGGCATCATAGATAAGGATATACTCATGAAGTGTAAATCCCACTGAATAATCTCAGTATTAAAAGTCCATGTCAATCACACACAGGTTACAATGGTGTGCAGAATGTTAAATTAGCAAGTAGCCTGGTGAATATTTTCTTCCCCACCTCCCCCTGTAATGTTAATCCGTCCAAACGGGGCTTAAAGTGTACCTTTGGTAAGAATTTGCTGAGATGTTGTAATCAACAAATTAGCCCTCATTCAATATGTCTCTGCCTTTCAGAAGTACCTTGGATTTAATCCCATAGAACATCAGTCAAAGTTAAGATATTTTGCAGACCAAGAGGCCTCTGAATAATATGTAAATGTGTTGGGTTGTATTTACTGCTCGTTCTGCCCCTACGTGGGAAAAACAATAATAAAAAGCTTTAAAATTCAGTTTATTCTGCCGGTATGTTTGCTTGTTCCATAAACCTTTTAAGCCTGTTACTGTCAGCGATGGTTGTTGCCCCTTCTGTTTGTCGGGTCATAAACCCTGTTACACAGACCTGTTGACCAGGTAGTCCCAGTTGAGAGTGGTCCAGTCCCAGGCCATGCTCTGCCCCACAGGGTTGTAGGACACATATCGCACCACAGTGAACAGATCCTGACTCCTCACCACACTCTCATCTTTAGTAGCCTCCAGGAGCCTGTTGAACAGATCAAAGACAGCGGTCAAGTCGACATATGGAGGTTGTGGTGGATGGATGGGTGAAACAAACACTGGAGGTTCACCCAGGAGGCCATGAGTCTTGTGGGAAACCAAAAGTCAATTGAAACCAGTCTGTGATCCAAACTGATACAGCTTTTGCTTGTCTATCAGGACAATCATTCTGTGAAGATATGTTTTAATTACTTGTAGAGGAGGGTCACGTTCTCCACAGATGCTAGTCCGTACAGCAGCTTGTCCTTCTCTTGAGCCAAAGAAGAGTCTTTGTACCTCTGGAACATTATGTTCCACTTTTCTTCTGTGCCTGAGTTCTTCATGCCGTATCGATAGACCAACAGCCTCAGGTTCACTGCTACGGTGCTGCAAGTCAAAAGGTTGAAACATTTTAATGTCAGGTTGCCAGAGATGAAAAACTTAATTCTGAAACAGCAACTCTTTTACTGTTTGGTGGGGCTATTTTTCTTCTCATAGAAAACTAATTACACAGTGGAGTTAAAAGCAAAAAAAAAAAAGTTGTGGCTATTTGAAACGTCAATGATAAATATAAGGATTGGATAGCAGTATTAATTCTAAAACTACATCTTGATGTCTATTCTGCTGGTTATACCAACATTAACATGTAGGTTTGTTACTTTAGAATACTTTATTGTCTGGCTGTAAAGAAAGATGACCACAGATTATCCACTGGATTGGTGATACCTTCCAGCAATCCACTGGTCAAAAATGCGAGAAGCTTCATCCAGAGCCTCCTGGTTTCCCATCTGACAAGCGATGCTGAGCACAGTCTCCCTCAGTAACCTGCCAAACAGGACCGAAGAGGATCACCAACTACACAATGGTCAGTAAAATAGTGCATGGGCTAGCAGAAAAGACAGAGTTCAAATTTAATTTCAAGCTGCAGTAGGTAACGATTATAAATACAAATACAGATAGAAAAATAACTTTCTGTCATATTTGCTGAAACTTTCACTATATCCTGATAGTAATACATGAGACAGATAATCTGTGAAAAAATCAGGCTGATTTCTTTATGAAAATGACCTACTGCAGCTTTAACAGCAGTAATTTTGTTTGTGTTATCAGGTTTACTGACTGTCCATTGTAAAGTAGACTAGGAAAAGGTGTTTTCTGAAATGTGAAACGTTAATGGACAGTCTTATTTGTATAATTATACCCTGTTCCAGCTGTACCTCTGTGTTTGTGTCCCTTCATCAGTCCATCCAAGTTGTGCTGAGATTGCTTGAACATGGTTTCGAAACAGTTTCTAGAGAAAAGACAGAATAACATGGTTCTTAATGAACACCGGGGGACTATACAGGATGTCACCGACCAACGTTGTCTCTGTAAAGGAACAAGACATGAGGTTTCTGTTGTACATTGCACAACAATGCACAATATGTGTATGTATAGCTAATGGGTTTTTCATAAATATGATGGTTCAGCAGTTTCTTGGCAAAATGATAAGGGGTCCATTAGGTGCTGGGAACCCTACTGAAATCGTTCATATTTTTATTTTTATTCTTCCGTTGGTAAAGGTGGTACTGCATCCTACACCATAAGATGTATGAAAATTACACATGAACACCAGCATGTGGCTTTATAATTGCGGTAAGTGTATTTTTCATACACGAAACTATGCACATAGAATCTACGGACCAAAACCTTAGCCAAAACTTGTATAAAAAATGTTGATCATTTGAAAAACTTCCTGTAGGCTGAAGTCAAAACAGGAAGTGAAGTCTGTCTGATTAACATGAAACTTGGGCGAGGACTTCAAAGTTAAACAACCTTCGTTCGCCACAGAGCTTATTTTTTGCAACAGTCCAAAATCTGATAGAAAAAGGAACGGGGCGATGCTAACTTCTGGACTGACCTACAAAAATACATCATCCCATCAGCTCCATATGCTACAATATAGTATAGAATTGAGTATTTATAGTATGTAGGTTAAATAATTTTATAAATCCAAGACCAGGGCAGGACGCAATTACAAATCCATTTGCTACACAGTACAGTTAGGCTACTGGTAGTTCAGAGCCATGGTTGGGGCCATGGATTTTAACTTGCACAAACCTCAGTCAGACAAAGGATCAATAAGTCAGGCAGACTAGACTGACATATTTAACTAATACACAAATCCAGAGATGGTTTGTGTGTTCTGCAATCTTGCGGCGTAAAGTGTATGGTCTCAGACAAGGAAGTAAAGGCTTGTGTGTTTCACATTCAGTTTTTTCCAAAGTTGAAGTTTGGCACTACTGTTGGAGCAGCTGCTAACTGCGCAGCTTCTTCCTCATTTCCTTGACATCATTTTAAAAGTAACATTACGTAAGTATACAGTATACAAGTAAAGGGGCAAAAAGAATATTGTGCACTTCTTAGGACAGCTTCCATTCAAACCTGTGCATACTTTACCATACTTCAGGTAATATCCCAGATTTGTGTATAACCCCTCTGCGCTCTCTCTGATACTAGGGGATGGTCGGGGGGGTGGCAGGTTAACAAGGGGGAGGCTTTTTTGTAATTTTGCTAACAAGGGGGATGGCATCTCCCCTCAAATCGCCTACTGGTTTAATCCAATACTGATGTTTCCTCTTAAAGCTGGTCATTGTATTATTGAAAAATCACTTTGAATGTTACAGAGAGCAGTTCGTTAGTGGTCTGCAGATAACATTGATAAACTATGCTTGAAATTTGAGAGCTCAACACATGAATGGATTAGCCTTTACCTGGAACTCTGGGTAGAGTGCATCATCGCCTGAGAGCATGTTCCGAACATAGGCGATAGAGGAGGCCACGCGGTCCCAGACTATGTAGTCGGTCTCATTTGTCAGGTACATGGTAAGGTTGAAGGCGTAGCCATAATCTATAATGTCTGCCCTGAACAGTGAAATCAAACAGTGTTACAGGCATTGTGCTCAATCAGTGATGTGACATTAACTGTGTTATGGGGAAATCTCACCTTGCAAGAGCAAAAACGTCGTCAATGTAGCTTGATCGATCAGCTGCATCAAACTCCTGTTTAAGAAAGAGTCAAACAAAAGAGTAACAGTGAGTTCTTGAAAGACTGTGATTTCAGTAAAGCTCCCCACGAAATGACAGCAAAGAATTTATGTGTATTTTAAGAACAAAACTTAACATATGTCGCCCATTCTCGCCACCGTTTCCATCACCTGACCTTCCTGGTGCACTCGCTCAGCCCATTTACTGGTTCACTTCCACCAGTGCTCCTCCAGGTGGTCTACTTTGTATCTGCCCTAGCAGTCCAGATTTCATTGTTTCTGACTGTCTCAACCTCAAGCCTGTTTCCGTTTTGATGATTCTTTGCCTGTCCCCTGTCTGGTTGGATTTGCCAGTCTGATCTGTTGGTTTTTTATCCACGCTTAGCTTTCAATTAAAACTCTTGAGAACTCTTCGGTGCTCTGACTGTGTTCTGTGCCACAAGCCTTGAGTTATTACAGTTTTGTATTTTTCATTAGTATTAATTTTTTATTTAGTTTCAGGGAGTTTCCAGAGTGGGTTTGCTTGTTTCAGATGAGTTTTTATTGGTGAAAAATGTTACTTGTTATTAGTTTCAGTGTTTCTCATTTTTCATTATAATATGGGGGTTTCTTTTAGAAATGTTTTCTCCTAAAATTCAGATTTTTTATTCTCATACTTTAATATTGTAAACCCAAGTTATAAAAAAAAAGTAATCTGGTGATCCATTTTTAAGTCTGATCTAAATTGTTATTTCTCCAGTGTTTCTGACTTAAGAACAGTTGAAAAAAGAGCTTTTGCCAGGACAAGTGTTTGTTGTTGTAATACTCATTTCAGCCACAAGAGGCTGGCATGCACCACTACAGAACATTCTAAATAGTACTAAAATCATTCAGGTTTTCTTACAGGTGAGTTTTACTTTCTCCATGCACTCTAAACACAAGGTTCATACTGTGCATATTGTGTGTTAGCATGTTATATTAGTTTTCACCTGACCAAAACATTTTCTCTCACCTTTTTTCACAGATTAATAAAAAATGTATGGAAAGATTCTCCTGGCAAAACCTTTTTTTTAACCCATTCTTAAGTCATAAACACAGGAGAGAAACAATTTAGATCACCAGAATTATTTTCTCACCTGTCTCTCAGGGCTTCTATAATATTGTTATTTTCATCTCAGTATTAGTTGAGTCTCTTAAGTTAAACATACTGACACATAATATAAATACTACAAAAACTAAATTACAGCTACATTTGAAACTAGAAAGTGTGTCCATGTGCAGTGTGCGTAGATCACAGACGACAGCTTTACCAAGTGGTTTGTCCGAAGCTGTTGACTGATGGCGTTCCACATGTGGTTGTCATGGTTGACTCTGTAGAATCCAATGTGATCATTGTTCACCTTCAGCAGCCCGTCCGCCGAGGACGAGTAGTTAGTGATGACCTGCACTGAAAATCAATACAGTCAATGTGAGTGGAAGTGTGGAAGTGAGGCAAGTCATTTCTGCAATAAATAGTTTTTCATTAAAAGTCCAGATTTTTATTTAAATATACAATTTCATTGTTTTTTCATCTGTTTGGTCTCATCTATTTTCTCATCCTCATTGTGAGGACATGTTTGACATACGTCACTGGAAGGCTTAAAAGCAGTTCAGATCATATTTTTCTGATTATTTTGAATGTTTTGAAGATGATCACACAATACTTGAGTGGAGCATACTACCTGGGCTGCTCTTGTCAAACATTGTCAACTCGTTCTTGTTGCTATTCACAGAGTGCCATTTGATGGGAATTGTCCACTTGTAGCTGTGACAGAAACACATTCATTGTTATTAATGTGCTGGCATACAAAACCTGTACATTTTATCATCTTTAAAAAATCTGTGAAAGGTGAAATCTGTGAAAAGTGCTAATCTGTAGAGTTCAGTGGAACTGCAGATTTGGTCATAACTGAGAAACCTGATTTTTCTCACAGATTATCTGTCTCATGTAATATTGTAAGGATATAGAGAACCTTTCAGAAAATATGACAATAAATTATTTTTATAAAAATTATGATTCAGTGCTTCAGTTTAAATCTGATATTTAACATGTCAAATTATTATTAAACTTGTTTTAGGGATTTTGCATTTTTAGGTTAAAATTTTGTCCACCAATTAAGGCATGATAAATATATGAAATTAGAAATTTGGACTTGATCGTTATCTGTAGCAATGTCCTGTTTCTCCAGCAGATTTTGTAGTCACTTCTAACAGAAAACATTCTATGTGGCTTTTCCTTAACATACTGAATATAATCATTAGTCATTAATGGGTTAAACACTCTATAGACTTCTGTACTTCATGGTCCATCCATGCTTTTATCATGAAAGAGTTGAAGTAGTTGGCAGTCTTAACCCTAACTTAACCCTTAACGCTTAATGATGCCACAATCTTCCAGCCTGATCCTGTGTAGACAGTTCTTTGTGTCACTGACCCAAGAGGTGTAGGAGGCTGGCTAGCATCAGCGTTAGGGTCCAGGAGGAAACGCTTTTGTCTCAGCTCTGCATTCGAAGCTGAGACAGACAAATCCAGCACAGGATAACCCATCTGTTTGGTCCATGTATCCATTACGTCCGCAACCGGCAACCCACTCACCTGGGCACAGAGAGGAGGAAATGACTATTGTTCAGAGAATGACAGACAAAGCTTAAAGCTATTTCAACCATTTGGTAAATGTGCTTCGTTGTTTTCTTCCTGACAGTGAGATCTTCAGATGGATATCAACCTCATTTCAGTGTGTTGAGCTGGAGTCAGGATGTGGTTAGTAGCCTAGCTCAGTGGTTCCCAGTGAGTGATCTGGATGAATTTTAAGAATTTTTGATTATTTCCTGCTTAGGAAATACTTTTTATACAATTCTCTGACTGTGTTGTGTGTTTTTATTTATCTTTTCAAAGTATTTTTTTGGCCTTTTATTGCCTTTATGATAGTGACAGCTGAAGACAGACAGGAAAGGGGGGCAGAGAGAGGGGATGACATGCAGCAAAGGGGTGCAGGTCGGATTCAGACCCTGGGCCCCTGCAGCAAGGACTCAGCCTCAGTACATGGGTCGCCAGCTCTACCCACTGAGCTAACCGGGCGCCCGTATTGTGTATTTTTAAAATAATTTTTAACAAACTTAATAGGCTTCTGAATTTCCTGAACCAAATGCTGAGATATAAGCCTACTGTGTGTACGTTTTCTAGCACAGTTTAAAATCAAGATGGCTTTGGCGACTCCTTGCAGTGGCCCTGACACCCAGTTTGGGAACAATTGGCCTAGCTTAGCATTAAGACCGGCCTCGCTCTGTCCAAAGTTGAAAAATATACCAACACCTCCAAAGCTCACTAATTAACACGGTTTATCATGCTTGGTTTTATTCCAGAGACAAAGAGAGATGTTTATTACAGAGATTCATCTTTATCTGTTCATCTTTATCCATGTACAGAACTCGTCACTGGTGTAATTTCATTTATAAATCCATCCTTGGACTGTTGCCCACTTATTTATCCACTTACTTGACCCTTAAACATTGTTGCCTCAACCTATGCTTCCAGGGCCTCATCACTCCCTTCATCCTCTCAGTCCATACAGAATCTGGTCAGAGGGACAATTTGGCACTATATTGTCTCTGTACTGAACATCCCGTCTGTAACTTTATATTGGCTAAATAAAGGTTGAATAAAATAAAGCAATAAATAAAAACGACAATTTGTGGTTGAAGGAAGGGTTATGTGCTGGAACTATTTCTTGTAGACAATAATGTGCAGTGACTGAGTGCAGTTTTCTGGCATGTAAAGGTTGCCAGATTTGGTATCATTGTGTATGTACAAAGACCAAGACCTGAGACAAACTGATGTTCACAGACCATTTCTGTCATCCCTGGAGACACTGCACAGAAGTACTTAGCAGATGGATACACTGTTCCGTTTTCTAAGAGATAGTTCCAGCTCATAACTCCTCCTAAAACCACAAATTGACATTTTTATCTCTGTGTAAAGATTGAACTTGCTTTAGAGGTGTACTTTTGAACTTTGGACAGACATAGGCTTGTTTTACCCCTACTGCTGTAAATGGTAATTGGACCTGTAGTGCCTTTCTAGTCTTCTGACCACTCAAAGCCCTTTTACACTACATGCTACAGTCACCCTTTCACACACAGTGATGGCAAAGCCCATTGAACAGAAACTATACACATTCACACACCGATGTACAGCATCAGTAGCAATTCAAGGTTCAGTATTTTGCTCAAGTATCTTCGACATGTGGCGGGAGGAGCCGGGGATCGAACCAACAACCTTCCGTTTAGTGGACGACCCGCTCTTCCTCTGAGCCACAGCTGCCCTGCTGGCTTTACGCCAAGCTTGGCTAACCACATCCTGACTCCGGTTCCGTAACACACAGAGATGACACATGATATCCATCTGCTCACATTAGAAAGCAAATAGGTATTTTTTTCCTGCAAAATATTAAACTTTTCCTTTAATAATTGCGTATTAATCAGCCCTAAAAACATACTTCAGCAAGTGATGCCCAGAAGTTGGCTGTCTTGGCGTTCTTGAAGTAGTAGTCTTTCAGATATTTCTGGTTTAAAAAAGAACAGAAGAAAGAAAAAAAACAGGTTTCCATCAATGAGCTGCTGGAACACTTGAAAGCTCAAATCAAAAATGTTACATCCATTGGTAAATATCTGTCATGGAGCTGCAACACTTACTCGACAGCCATCCCTGAACTTGTCTTTACCCATCCAGTCCTCCAGCATCCTGAGAATGGACGCTCCCTAGAGAAAGTTGGATCATTTTCATTACAAATAATATTATGTTGCTTGATACATTTTCTGGTATGTTATTGCTCCCATGGGAAGCATCTGATTTTCTGAACCTTAGACTGAAACCTTTACTGTGTGAGGTTTTCCAGCAGCTGTACCTTGCTGTACGAGATGGCATCAAACACAGAGGTGATCTCTGCCGGGGTCGACACATTCACGATGATGGGGTGAGAGGAGAGGAGGGCGTCGTCCACCATGACAGGAAGCACATCACTGATGATCATGATGTCTCGCTGTACACCACAGGAGGACATAAGGTAGGTTTTAGGCTACTAAGGTCCTCAGAATGACTGTTCTGTTGTCAGTGGGACTGATAGTTTCATCTTTGTTGTGTCTTTAAAGGAGAACTCACCATGCCCCAGTCTGGCTCAGCCTTCTCCACACCGATATACTCAAAGAAACTGGCAAAGCCCTCATTAAGCCAGAGATCATCCCACCAGTCCATAGTCACAATGTTCCCAAACCACTAGAAGAACACAACTGACATGAGTTCTGAGGATCCAAACAAAGGAAATAGCATAGGGAATGTGCAGGGACTAATTAACCTGCTAGGAGTAAAATATTGCTATGGGCACCTTTTCTCTCCCTATTCTTATTACTGACTGCAGAGAGAATCAGTTGTTGTTTCAGTAATAATGGTGCAAATCAATTTTGATACAGGGCAATTACAGGGCAATTACGTGGCTCTATGGCTCTCTAGCCTGTGGAAAAGCAAACCGGATCTTAAAAGGTTCTTGGTTGAACCAAATCTGAACTGACAATAGCACGAGCACCAGTCCAGAACCAGCACTGTGTTTTGCTTTGTCAGTATTTCACTCTATGCTGTAAAGATTTATTGTTCAGTACATGTGAGAAGAGGACCTCATAAAAGTTTGCCACCCAGAAAACTGTTTGTACATCTGAATGTTCAAAATGAGCCATTATTTCTGTAACATCTGAACAGTTCATAAAACTTTATTGACTGCCTTAACGCTTCTTATCTCCCATCATAGTAAAACAGCTTATATCTTGGAAAGAAATGTTCCCGGATGTGTATCATAAAAAGCTTAAACAATAGAACATGCAGGATAAACATTTACAATTCTGAACTCTGATCTCTTGATGATATTTAATTTTCATTTACAAATCTTTCCATCCGTAAGGGAAATAAAAATAAAAGCCATGGCTTTGTTAAAACACTCCTGGCTGTGGCAACATGGTCTCACTCCCAACTCATCAAATACTGTCCCATTGTCCTTGGCCCTAAGCTTAAAAATATGACTTTGTAGGTTCCCCTCTCGCATAATTTCTGGATGCTCTGCAGTCAAGTTAGTAAGAAAAAATATGCCATGTTTGATTAGACTTTCAAAATAAAGCTTGCGTAATAATATTGTCCCAGTTTGGTTAAGATTATACAGAAAAATTACTTGGTTAGGTTTAGGAAAATATCATACTAGGTTATGTACCTGATGTAACTTAATTACATGAATAAAACATATTTTACTTACTTACTTAGGTGTTTTACTTAAAAGAAATGGGGGTTATGTACAGATTAATTTGAAGGTATAAAGGTTGGGTTTTTTAAGTTTACACTGAAAGAAATGTGCTGGTAGACCGAATTTCCTGATTTTAAACCTAATTTCTGCACTTTTCTTCTCTGGCATCCCCTATTCTACTCTAAAAGAGTGGCATCATTTGGCCCTGAATTACAATCAAGTAGAAGTAAAAAGTAGGATGAAATGGATGTACTCAAGTACAAGTACTTGAAAAAAGTCTAGCCTATATGTTTTTTTCACCACTGCATTTAAGTTCGCAACAAATTGAACAAAATGACCAGCAGATACCTGGTGAACCAGCTCGTGGGCGATTACACTGGCCACTCGCTGCTTGTTGTAGGAGGACGACTGTGTCTCATCATAAAGCAGGTTGGTCTCCCGGTAGGTGATGAGGCCCCAGTTCTCCATGGCACCAGTACCAAAGTCAGGGATGGCTATCTTATCTGGATCAAAACCGCACAGAGAATCCAATAAAGTAACCATTTATCATCTGCTTTATTGCATTACTGCTTTCTTAATTCTTGTGAGACACTGAGATTGTATCTTTACTACTAAATATTGCTATCAAAGTTGGAATGGGCATTCCTAAATCCCAGAGTATTCCTAACTAAACTAAAAATGGGTTTAGACAATCACCTTATCTTTCCTCTAGCTCCACCATTAGACCAAACTTGACACACAAGGAAGATGAAAGTCTACTCTAGGTAGATTACCACATAGTTGACTGATCACATAAATGCATGTTTATTTCCTCTAATGGTTTATCTGGGTGCTCACAAGACACTGTGCCACCATCAGTTATTTCCATGACGCCAACCTGGGCAGATTTTTTTCCACTGGATTGTGTTCTAATTTACAGCTGCTGTTGCTTTCAGTAAACTCAAAGACTGCTGATACCACTACTGATAAGCCTCCTGTTTTCAGTGGAATCACCTTGAACTTTATTCTCACATTTTTGCGTCAGTTACTGCTCACCATTTTCCCTTCCTCAATTTGTTATTGACACCATGTTTCATTTCCCATCTGGTCAACATATTTATAGGCACAGAAGATTGTCATTGAAAAACGCATTAGAAAGTTCTTAAAAAGTTAAAAATAAAATTACATATTTTATAATGTCTGTGTTTTTTAGTGGAACTTTCAGTTCTCAATGCCCATAGAACTTTTTGTTCAATACAAGAGTTTGAATGTCAATGTTTCCTTTCATCAGTTCAGGTTTAGTTTTCAATGCCAAATTTTATTTTCATTGTTCTAGCTTCATAAGTGGTCAGGAACTTACAGAAGGACTTAAATAGTAGCCAGACACCCCACTCACTGCAGAGGTAACGTGGTAGTTTTGTGTAATGGTAAATTGACTGTACTTTTATATCGCCTTTCTAGTCTTTCTCAATGCGCTGTACACTACATGCCACACTCACCACTTCACACACATTCATACACTGATGGCAGTGGCTGCCATGCAAGGTACCAACTGCTGTAAATAATATCGAATCATAGCAGTTCTTGGGTGGTGTTCTAACAAAATGGCTGTTTTGACTGTAGGTGGGTGCTGGTGGGGACATATGGGTATCAAATAATAGGATCACAAAACAAAATGTTTTTATTTTATGTCAGAGTCTAAACATACCCAGTTTTTTGATGGAGTATGTCATGTTGAAATAATCCTCAAAGTAGTCAAAGATGACCTTGGTTGTGTTGGCTGCGTATATTGCGGTTCCTAGCTGACTTGGCTGGGCATAGATTCTCAACTGTAAAGGTGGAGAAGGACAAAACACAAGTATTGTAAGTATGTGACTGACATTGTAAATATAAGTATAAATTCACTTTTCATCAATACTTGTTGTATGTCATTGATAGTGATGCATGATGGTAAACTCACAGGAATTCCTCGGGCAGAAGTTCTTTCCACATAGTCAAACTGGTGCACAGCAAAACATACCAAATAGGTGCTCATTGGAATGGACCTCTGGAAGGAGGACTTCATTTTATTACCAGGCAGTTGTTCGGTGCCCTGGAGAGGCAGAGGAAAAGGCAAATAGGTTAATGTGGATGTCACTCAGACTATGGAGCTGGGTGGATCCCCTGGCCCACAAACAGAGGCACAAGATGGATTCCTCTGCTTTTAGTATTCAAAGTGTTCACTCTAAGTCTGGCTTCCTCTTTCTTTGTTTTTGTTTTTTTCCCTCGACCATGGGAAAGTTTGAGGAATGATGCTCTTTCCACCTACAGCAACCATTCTCCACTCCAACTGGATTGTGAACAGTTTTACTGGCAAGCAGGGGCGTTTCCAGACTTTTCATACCAGGACGGCACAAGAGGGGCACTGATTTATGCAGGGGTGGCATGAAGAATGTGTCTTAGCTTTCCAGTTATTCCCAATTTATCCTATTCCAACACTGTTTAGGGACCGGTATTCAGAAATATTCACACACACATTCACATACTCAAAAGCTGCATGGGATTAGCATGAAGTGGGCTGTCTGCAAAGGGGAGACTCGTACCCATATAACCTTTTTTCATTCAGAGATCTTTGGGTTCAGAGGTCAAGGGATCCCTTTGAAAATGGCCAAGCCAGTTTTTAATGGATGGTAACAATTGATGTGGTACGTCATCTGGTTACATATGATGAAAGTATATTAGCCTGTTACAGCCTCTGAAACACAATGTGGAGTGGAAGAGGGAAGAATAATGGGGTAGCTCTTAGGTTGGCCAGTTGCTAGCCACATTTATTTCAATTCAATTCAATTCCATTTTATTTGTATAGCGCCAATTCATAACAGAAGTTATCTCAGACACTTTTCAAATAGAGCAGGTCTAGACCGAACTCCTTATAACATTATTTACAGAGACCCAACAGTACCACCATGAGCAAGACCTTGGCGACAGCGGCAAGGAAAAACTTCCTGTTGAGGGGAATAAACCTTGGACAGACCCCAGCTCTAGGTGTAGAGAGAGAGGGGTAAAGACAGAAGAACAGAGACAGAGGTAAAGACAGAAGGACAGAGACAGAGGTAAGGACAGAAGGACAGAGATAGAGACAAAGGTGCATAGCAGCAACAGTGGCAACAACTACACTAATAGTAATGACTGATCAATTATCAGCTTTGAAGTTTTAAGTATTTTTCACTTTTGCATGCCCAAAACCTCTAACCTTTAATGTAACTATATATACTAAACTGAGTAGGACATTTTATGATTTGACTTTCTTGGTTAACTTTACATATAAAGACAAATTAGTAATTCATATGCATGTTTGAATTGTTTATGTTTTTATATTGGGTTAGGTAATAATGAGAAGGGGACCACATGATTAACATCTGTTTAAGGGCTGAGAAGGTTACAATTTGCTAGTGAATGTTGAAAACCAGGACATTTGTTGATGATTGTCCAGACTTGGGACACACAGCTTGAATCTGGGACAATTCTGGACTAACCAGGGAGTCAGGTGATATTTCTTGGCTTTCTTTCTTTCTTTCTTTCTTTCTTTCTTTCTTTCTTAGCATTTTGAATTGGAAAAGCAAAATGTTGATGTTTAGTGTTTAGCTGACTTGAGTCCTACCTCTAGTGGCATGTTGGACAGAGCTCGATATCTAGCATCATGAGTGATGGAGACTTTGTAGGTTGCCTTCTTGTTTGGTTCATCAAAGCAGGGAAAGGACTTGCGAGCATCTGTTGGCTCATGATCAGTCGCAGCAATCTTTCTGGTGATCAAATGGAGAACATATCATTGCAGAAAGTGTTTGCTTTACATCCTTTTCCCCATTAGCTGCAACTAAGATAGCAGCTACTCTTCCTGGAGTCCACATACAACAAAATATACATATAAAACAAGACATATACCACATGTAAAAAGTCTCATTCATATTTTGAGGCCAAGACCTTCTCTGCCATCTGATTAGTAACTTGATAGGTGAGAATGATATATTTTAGCTAATTTATATAGACTTTTTACAAAAGATAATAAAAAGCTATGTTGTCGTCAGATGAAATGCAAGATTGCATTTTGGCCGATACTTTCTGCCTCTTTTGCTCTCCACATGGACTGTTTACCTGCACGCAACCAAAGCCCGCTCAAACATGACTGGACAACAAACAGAAACCATAACACTTCCGATGTCAAACTCTTGCCTACATATTGGGCATTCATATGTTTAAAGAGATGACCCTGACCAAGCCTGATCCCTGAGGAACTTCTTTCCTTAGCTACCCTTACCAAAAACTTTTTAAGGGAAAATCTGTCTTTTGAGTAACTGAATAGGACATATCCCCCAAAGACTTGAAATGTGGCTCGAATTAATATAGTTTTCATGCTGGCAAAAAGATATCAAAGGGCCCATAGAAACTTCTGTTGCGTAATCCACATCTCTGGTGTCCATCAACATGCTCAGTATGAGGCAGTATATTTACCCAATGAAACAATGATTGTTTGGAACGTACAGGAATGAAGTGGATTGTGTCTCTGGAGGGGTTTCTAAAAGTCTCTATGTAAGTTATGGTCATTTTTTTCTGCAGTCTAAACATGTGTCACCATTGCAATCAATTGTAACTGACATGTATCTAAGCTGAGCCCAGCTGCTCTCCATGAAGGAGCAAACTACAGCTACAGCTTAAGAATGTTTGTTTCTGGATGGAGTATCAATTCAGCTAAATGCATATCTTAGTATTAAATCCCCAAAAAATTTATCAACTTATCTAAGATCAGCAAGGTTCACTGATAACTTTTCTTGGAGTTTTTCCACCACATCGCAGTCTTTGTCAGGAGGATGGGAGGGTGGATGGAGTTTGCTCATGGAAATGGATCATTTAACAGCTTAGTAGCATTTATGACTTCATCCCTATCATCTGTATGACAACTGGGCAAAGTCCATCCACTGATGAAGAACATGTGATTCAGTTGAAGCTCCAGAAAAACCTGGACCTAGAGTTTGATTTGATTCATCAAATTATATTTCCAAGCTCAAAAATGAACCTTCAAGCATGTAAAGTACCATAATGTCACTTTTTGTTAAATATGTTATGAAAATGTGTGAAATGTGTCTTGTGAGATATATCAACCAACTTAAATGATCGTGGTGCTGCAGGGATGAGATATTTTTGTCAGCTAGAACAGAAGTTGGCATTGTCCTGGTCCCTTCAGCAAAAAAACAATGGGATTTTTTCTCACATGTTTTGTTCAGCAAGATAATCTTCTAAATTAACTTTTATGATTTTTAAAGCGTAAATGCGATAACTAGAAGTAAAAAGCTAATGTTAGGCTATAAAATAACCATATTACAGTCGCATGACTTCAATGTCACCACCACTAAACTTCCAACTTGATTAAATCTTGTAATTAAAATCTACAAGTTGTAAAGTTTGTGTGAATAGTTTGCAAGAGTGCGAGTATAAACAAAAGGAGGTAAATGTGGACTAGTGAGTAGAAGTAGAGGTCTCTGTGTTTAGCATGCTGGCATTGAATGTCACATTCAATAATGTTGACAACCTCTGTAGAATAATTTAGCCTTGTAAATAACTGCCTTTTTTAAGACACGTAAATTTACTGACGCTTGTGTTGACTTTGAGACAAGAAAATCGGAAGTGCTAAAATGCTAACTCATTAGGACTCATTCCTGCAGCACTATACTAGAATGATTTATTAATATGTTAACTGGAAGTTAATGATTGCTGTTATGAGAGACTGACTCTACAGTCTCACTGTCTCACAGAGATCACTGAGAATTATCAACTGCCTTCCAAAGATTCCTCTGACCTGAGCAACTTTAGTATAAATATTAGAATATCATGATATATCTGAACTTTGCCGAGGCTTTGTTTGATAACTACCTCAATGAAATGTACTGGAGAGAGAGACCAAATGGGGAAAGAGAGGGAAAATATAGAGAGAGTGGGACTCAACCCTTAGATACTGAAAAGACCTCAGTAAACACAGTCACAAAGCTTAATGCTTTTGAAGTGCTGCCAAGCTGATGTTTTCCATTAATGTGATGTACAACAGACATTATTAACTGAAATCTGATATACAGTTAAATTCCCTGGAACATCTGTAGGAGACAGAGTATTACACCAATGCTTACTGGTTGCTTATAAATTTTAGAACTTTGATTTGACCTGTTTTAGAAAGCTTTGTATTGGTTGCCTACACTTCTGATAAGTCAATCTCCAACATGCTTGATCTCCTAAGATCCTCCAATAGCCACGACTAGCTCTTCCAATACCAATGATTGTGTTTTTTGCTGTCCAGGCTCCTCAGTTGATGGACCCCAACAGCATGTCATCATTGTCACTGTCAAGTGAATCAAGTGAATCAAAATATAGTGATTTTAAGGATATCCAGGGTAATTTGCTCCTAAATGATTTTAAATTCCCTCACCACTACTCAGGTTGGCAAAAAGAATTAAAACCCATTGGACTATGTGTAACAACATTGTCATTAAGCATTTTTTTTATAGGACAGTGACAAAGATTTACAGCCAATTGAATCCCACAAAACTTTATTTCACATGCAAAGATGTCAATTTTCCAAATGCAACACATCCATCAGGGGAATGTGCCTAAAATTATGCAAAAGAGATCCAGCATATTCTATTTGATGGTGCAACCCGAAAATTACAAAAGGGTAATTCAATCACATGAAGCATCACAAGGATTCAGTGGATTGTTGGAAATAGCAAATACACAATATGTGAAATTGAAATTATTTCTATATTCAGGTGATTATACACCAATGAAAACATACCTATGAATATTATACTCCATTTCTGACAATAGATCCTCCTAAATGTTACAAACTGGACCTTTAACAGCCTTTTCCATTAACTTTATTTTGAGTTAGGATTTCTAGTCAGATTATTTTAGTAATTTTACTGTATTGTTTTGGGGTTTTTTTTACCTCTATAATTTTTACATTACCTTATACACTGTAAAACCAGATAAGTTAAATTCACTTGAATGTTGAAATCTGAAATTGTTTGAAACTGATTACAAGGAAAATTTTAAGTGACACTGACTTTATTTTGTCATTTTTATTTTTTCTGTGAAAACAAAATACCTAGTAAGAAGTACTTAATCAGGATTGTTTGTGTAACTTTCAAAACCAAGTGTCACTTAAAATGAATAGTATAAGCAGCTTAATCAAGAACCTTTTTTAACTTCCATTGCGTTTTTGACACAATCTGTTTCGACAATTTTTTCTAATTAAAATAACTTAAATTAACTTAATTGAACATAATCCAACTTAACAGTTATTTTGTGTTCAACAAAACATACCACACATTATAACTAACTCCTTATATATTTATTATCCAGTTATGGATGAACAAATACATTGATACATAAATGTATCAATCTGTTCATTACTACATTGTAGGTTTTTTTTCCTACGTTGCTTATAATGCTGAATAGTGTGAGTCAAAATAAGTGTTACTAGCATTTTTCTTAAAAGAGTGAAATTGTGTCTATATGCCACTTTCTTTTCTTTTTGTTTGTCAATAAACAAGTGGGTTATGTGTTTGTTGTATTTATGACGGAATCATATCAAATCAGAACTTACTTGGTGACCCCACCCTCGGTGTAGATGACCCTGTAGAATCCCACCACTGAGCCGTTGAGCCAGCCCTGGAAGTCCAGGCTGAGCTCATATACCTCTCCCGGGCCGGTGACGGGCAGCTCCTGTGAGGCCTCTACCACCACGTACTGCTGAGGTTTGTATTCAAAACAGCTCTTCACTGCCACCTCCTTCTGCCCCCCTTGGCTGTCCAGCATCCTCAGCCTGGGCATGGCGCTGACAAACGTCTCCCTAATGTGGAGCCACAGGTGGCGGGTGGGTTTGCTGACCTCCATGTGGATGTCCACGGTGCCGCTGTAGGTGTCGTCACCGAGGTCCGGCTCCAGGTGCAGGTTATAGTGGACCGGGTTCACATAGCCAGGCAGACGGAAATTACTCCAGTCGCCGCTGGAGTCGGTGGAAGGCATGCAGGGCCCCCTGCTAGGCGGAGGGGGCTCTGTTGGGGGGGCTGGCGTGGAGGGGGTGTTGTCTGACCTGGACAGGCCCACCCCAAGGCCCACAGCCAAGGAGCACACCACCACCATTACACAGATGATGATTACATGCTTACCACGGATGCAGTAACGCTTCTGTTGTTTTTCCAGGTCCATGCTTTCCACCATGACTTCCAAACCTGAAAACCTCACTGGACTAAAAGAAGACTTTCTCCACGTAAACTGCTCTAGCGCTGACCTGAAGTCAGAGCTGCAGGCTTTGGCTCCTACACTATTTAGATTAGCTGTGTGAGCTGATCCAAAGCTGGCCTCTGCGGTGCTGAGGGGTGGAGAGAAGAAAGAGGAGGAGAAGTGAGGAGAGGGAATCTGTCAGACAGCGGAGAGAATCTCACACATTGAGCGAGAGATTTATTCTGTCCCCGGTGCTGTTAACACGCCTCCTCCTATTAAACATCTACAATCTGCCTGTAAATCAACAGCTCAAGTTCAACTTGTATGTGTGTTGCTACATGTTGTTCTCTATGCATATGCATGTAAATAGAGCATAAGCCAAAGCCTGCAACTAACTTTGTGTGTGTGTGTGTGTGTGTGTGTGTGTGTGTGTGTGTGTGTGTGTGTGTGTGTGTGTGTGTGTGTGTGTGTGTGATTGTGTGTTTGGTTGGAATCCCTATCAGGGTGATTTAAATTTCAAAGTGAGTTGGATGCAGTAGAAACTGCCCTGCTGACAGCGGGTTCATATGGGGGAAGGGTCTATTGTTTGGACATGACTGCGGCTGCTATTGCATTTGCTCTTTGGTCAACATAATAATGATTGCAACAGAGTAACGTGGGAACAGAAAAGCAAAACAATGTCTGTATTGTGTTGCACCACAGTTGTAGGATTAACTCTGTAGAAATATTCAATTTTTCTTCGTCTTCCGAGGCCTGATAATGATTTTGGCCGTGCAGGTGGTTAGCTTGTCCAACAAGTTGGTCCAAAGCAAGATATATCAGTATGACTATGACATATTCATGATCTCCAGAGGATGATCCCAAATTACTTTGCTAACGCCATGACCTTTCATCTAGCCAGCCATCAGGCCCAAATTCCCAATTTTATATAAAAATATTAAAATCTTTCAGACATAGAATTTACTGATGCTCCCTAAAGGATGAACCACTGATTTTGGACAATATTTCAGGCTCCTGTACTAAAAGTCTTGTTAATGTTTCCCACCAACAATGTTCTATAAGTGATAGTTGGAGCACTTAAAGACTTGGATGTACATGAAACTCACCCGGTTAAAGCTGCAATAGGTAACTTTTATAAAAACTGTTTGTCATACTTGCTGACATTTTCACTATATCCTGACAGTAGTAAATAAGATGCTTTGGGTTGGAAGCTTCATTCTTGCCTCTCATTCTCAGGGTCCCAAAGCATCTGTATTTGACTATCTGGGAAAAAGACTCAACAATCAACTGTCTTTCTTGACTCTGATTGGTTGTTTTCATTCAGGCCCGGTGGATTCTTGTAAATGCTATTTGGAGCACTGGGAGGAGCCAGAGGAACTTTTCACAGATAATCTGTCTCAATAACTACTGTCAGGAGAAAGCAACCCTAACCCTAACCCTAACCCTATTCAGCAAATATATATAAATATAATCTGGATCATAAGTGCAAGCCAGGGTATATTAAGCATAAGCAACCCTGTCTCCTAGGAATTATTTGTAGCTATTGAATATATATTCAATGGCAATAGCAAATATGTTTTGAGGGAAACATAATGCTGACTGTATTATACAATAATCAATATGAAGTTGTCTTGCATGCAGTATCCTTGACCTGCCTCCATCATCACCACCACTGTCAGTATACTCCAATCACACATGGTCAAAAAGCATCTGAAACCACCTCCACCACACTTTTCTCAATAAGGGGTGAGGGCCAAAATGATGCCAGGTTTTCTGCTATGGTGTGGGTTGTTCTGTAAGTATAAACACTTTCAACCTGGCCTTAAAGGCTCCAGATACAAAGTCCAGACATGTGAAGACCATTTTCTTTTCTTGAGAATTGAGAGTGTGAGACTAGCTTTTTTTTCTCTCTCGTACAGATGTTTAGTGGAGGTCAAGCATGAGGAGCCATAATATTTATGAGTGTCTTATCTCTGTGAAAAACCAAAGACAATAAGAACACAATAAAAGGCCCACACAGTCAGCACGTTTCTGGGCATGCTGCAGTCGCGTGCCAACAAAGTTGATCAGATATATTCCCAAGGAGGGGTTTACATGTAAATTGCCATAGCGCTCCTGCTGGCAAAAATCGCCACAAATGACGACTAAATTCAAAAAATGGCCAACAATCTGTTGGGCTTGGGGTACGGCCAAGAGGCTTGACATAATCTATGTGTATCTCAGGGGCTGCAATTAAGGGGGGTGCTGTTTAGCCATTTTGACACAGCCATGTTTGAGGCCCATATGTACATTTCCACCACCGCTGAATTTTGCGCCGAGTTTCAGAGCATGTTGCAGCCGCCAAAAATGCTATTCAGTGGTCGCTGCTCGGGCCCTAATTACTCAAACTGACATTCCTGGAGAGTATGCCCTCATCTCACTTTTCCACCCACTATGTGCATTTTCAATTTGTGCAGAAAATTGGAAAGGCTTGAAGTACAGCAAACAGATTTTTTTGCTTGGCTGAAGTGGATAAAAAAGAAAAGTGATGCACGTGACTCAAGCTTTCAGCACAGGGACAAAAAATAGCTGCAGATGAAAACTGTGAGACCAGTGTAGAAATGAAGAACTTTTACCCTTCCTCAAATTAATACATGAAACAAGACAAATACCATATTCTGATCATGTTTTCCACATGGTTTTCCACTGTTTAATTGACCAGTGAGTAGGATTTAGTGGCAAAAAAAAAAAAAAAACCCACAATGATTCTTATTTTCAGGTGATTATACACTAATGAAAACATACCTATGAATATCATATTAATTTTCTGCCAATAGATAAATGTTACACACTGAGTGAAGTGAGTTTCGGCAGACCAGCTTATGCAACCAGCCTGACCCTGAGCTTAATCTTCATATTGTATCTTTATTGTTTTGCAGGTTTCAAAGATAAAGCACTCACAACTTTTATGGCTCCTCATGCTTGACCTCCACTAAACGTCTGCATGACACAAGGAATAAAACGTAGTTAATTTGTTCTAATGTCTTACCCCATAATGCAGATCTTGCCAGCACACCCGCTAAAGGTAGGCTGATGGGGAAACTTTTCCATGGTGGAAGTTGGTCCTGAGACACATGAAGTCAGTCAGTTACATTTTATGTCAGTGTATTTTAACAATGGAAATCAAAATAATGCTGCTGCTGGAAACAAAACAGAGCAGTAAGACTGAACCAAAACCATTTTTAGGCCAATAAACCATAGCAAGCTGAATAAGGGTAAAACAGAACTGCAGGGTTGGTGCTAATACTCTTTGGGTAATTGTTGGAAAATATTTGTGTAGTGTAGCTTTAACATGTTGTATCTGCTCTGTTTAAGCACACAATGTAAAAACTAAAATCTGTGGTTTCAGGAATAGTTAAGTACCGGACATCAGAACCACAGAAGTGCTGACAAAACATAACTCACCTCAAAATCACAAGGTGTATTTGTTACATTTCTGTTTTCTGGTGATTTAAACACACGAGATACAACGTGTTAATTGAGTGAGCCTGTGGCGTGTCAATCTCCTGGACCCGGTAACCGTACATCTGCATTGATGATTCAAATCCTCCTCCTCACACACAAAGCCCTCAATAACCAGGCCCCTTCCTACCCCACTGACCTGCTCCATCGCCACAACCCATCCCGTAGCCTCTGCTCATCTGACGCAAACTTCCTGACTCCACCACCGAGGACCAAGCCTGGGGCGACAGAGCCTTCTCTGTAGCTGCCCCCTCCCTCTGGAACTCTCTCCCCAAACAAATCTGTGACTGCACCGACCTTCCAACGTTCAAATCAACGACATAAACTCACCTTTTTAAAATTGCTTTTAATGTTTACCTTAGTCCGATGTGTTTTTTAGTGTTTTACTATTTTATGTTGTTTTGCTGTTTGTATGTTGTCTTTATGTAAGTTAAGTGTCTTTGAGTATCCAGAAAAGCGCATATAAATAGAACTGTAAACAGTATTATTATTATTATTATTATTATGATAAATAATCCTTTGCTATCACCACCCAATGCTGGTACACATTTACAACAGCAGATGGCCTAGTTGTCTCATTTAGATGTAACCTGAACCTTTTAAACTGTGAAGGCCAACACATTTTCCAGACTATAATTGATTATAATTATATAAAATGTCTACCATGTTAAGACATCAGCTTAAAATCCTGTGTGGACACCACTATTTAAGCTTACCTGAGGAGCCAATCTCCAGAGTCAGGCAATGTCTTTTTTATTTTGCCAGTTATGTAAACTGAGGGCTATGATGGATGGTACAGGCTGTGATAAATACAAATGCAGATCCCACTGTTCTGGTTGCATAAAAAAGGAAACTAACCCTAACTTTTTAACTGCATATTGTGGTTCTTTATACTAGGGTTAGGTTAGTTTTGGTAAAAAAAAAAAAAAAACAATATATCGGCATGCTTACACTATCGCAATATAACACAATATATTGAATGGTAACCCCTGTATCGTGATAGGTATCGTATGACAGCCCTCGTTGTTAAGTGTATTTTTTTAACTCTAGAGAGAGCCAGGCTTGCTGTTTGACCGTGCCTCCAGTCTTTATGCTAAGCTAGGCTAAGCACATCCTTACTCCAGCTCTTTGACACACAGACATGACACAATGTTGATATTCTCGTTTTACTCTGAAGCAAGTAAGCGCATTCAGCAAACTGTTTCTTTACAGGTTAAACTCACCTTCTAAATCTGCAGTGAAGAGACACTACTGAAAGCCACCTCAGACAAACGCTTGGAGATTTACTTTTCGACCTTTAATTTATTAAGACTCTGGGCATCTTATTGAGATACTGCAGAAACGTGGAGTGGCCAGGACATTGTGCTGAGCTATCTGTTCAATGAAAGCTAGTGCATTTTCTGCACTAAGTTAAGCACGTTCTGGGTCGGTGTTGGACTCCACTGAGGTTGTCACAGACTTTAGGTGCTGGAGGGGGTGGTGGCATCCTGTTTGACAGTCAGGGTTGCAGCTCTGGCTTTTCCTGACAGTCTTCTTCTGCTGTGACCTCCCAGCATGCACTGGAGTGGTTTCTCTTAGGCTGAGGTAGCGACATAAATGAACATCATGACAGCTGTCCAAAAGTCAAAACATCTCTATCTCCCCCTGGTGGCTGACTGCACTATAGGTCATACAGCCCACTGCCTCTATGTTAGCAGATGGTACAAACTGAAAAATGAATGTAGAAACATAATGAGTGTAGATGCTTTCTCACGCCAAGAGGACTTGTCAAACACATTTTTCCCAAAGATAGTTTCTGTCATTCTTGGAAGTTCTTATTGATGTATGTTGATGTAAGTGTTAATTTTTCTGATAAATTTGATTCCAATTAGTTATTTGATGCTATAAAAAGGGGGTTTCATGTCATGATAGAAAGCTGAGCCCTGTTTGCGGCATCTATATTGATGGTCTGAGGTGATGGAACTCTTCTGACGGTCTCCCTGAGGTTAGGAGTAGGTCCAGCTTAGCACCTTGTTCAAACATTGTTGGTTGGTTTAGATAGCATTAGGGTCCTATGTGTCTTCCTAACCGTGCGTTAAGAGATTTATTTACCTATTAATTGCAACTTTTTTCCCTAAATAACTGCATTATTGGGTTTTGAAATACGCTATTCCAATTCAATAGAAACAAATGGCAGTGTATCTGGAGGGTGGGAGGGACTGTTTAAGGCTGTGGGACGAAAAGGTCTTTTTGTTGATGGGTTTAGATTTAAAGCAATATGTATCATTAATGTTTTTCTGTACTCACTGTCGATTTGACTTTGTTCAATGAAAACATTTTGCAAAAACAAATATAGTAAGTACAATATACTTGTTATAAAGCCCAGTGACAGTGCCACAGTGAGTGAACATATTGTTTCTTAGGGGAGTGCTTGAACATTTATCATGTCTGTTAGTTAGAATTGATACTCCAACTTGTACTCTATTACGACTTATGATTGGTTCAACCTGTAAATTCACATTACTCATGTTATTCTTATTTAAAGAGTCCAAATTTGTATCTCTGTATCTTTTCCAGATTAGTGGATATGTGTAAACAGTTCAGTTTATCTTGTTCTCGCATCAAAGCTTCATACTCTTCCTACTGTGTTAACTAAGCATATATAAATTATAGCATACATTCGCTTTGGCATTACATGATCAGTTCTGTTGTTCTTAGTTTCCTGTGGAGCAGTCCCTGATGGACCACAGGCCGCACCCTGGAATGTGGGGGTATATTGGCCCTGCGCAAGGCCCATCCTGTCGTAAACTGCAGATTCGGGATTGGGCTCATCACCAGTTGGCACAGGGGTCTTGTAAACAGGAAGGTTAGGGAAAGTCTACTCAATTCTCCGTGGAAGGAATGAATTTCTGATCATCACGTTACAATGGTAGCTCTACAATGAATGGGAAAAAATTTGAATGAAAAAAAAATGTGGTTCACATTTAACAATAAGTTGTAAACATTATCCTGTGGGCTGGATCTGACCCACAGGGCTGGTAATTTGAGGCCGCTACTGCAGGTTTCAAAAAATGCTTTTATAAAAGTGTAGGTCACATCACAGACACTACATCCACGATCCTATGTCACACATTTTATTTTTTACAAACAAGTTAAATTCACAACAAACTCTGCACAATGACCCAAAAAAGCTTGGAAACACTAAAACTAGAGGTTCACAAATTCACAATCCAATCCCCTTGTTGTAAACCAAGGAACTGAGTGACCAACTTCAGTGTATCTCATACAAGTGTTTCTGACAACAGAGCAGTTGTAGAGTTGCTTAGGGGCTCGGCTGTAGACATGATGGATGTCTGTTTTTTTTTCTTTGCATCTGGTAAGTTCATTTTGCGCCTTTTGTCTATGGGGAACACTTTGGACACAAGATTAGGGGCAGTCCGGGTCTTGTTAATGGAAGGCGGTGTGATGTTTTGTAGTATCTGATTCTCCTTCGCTGAGGGGGTGTTGGCAGAAGTTGTCGCCTGGTTTGGCTTTCTGTATTTTGATGAATATTTAGGTGTCTTAGTAGTCTTTTGGGACTTCCTCTTTGGAGGACGGGATACTCTTGTGATTCCCACCACCTTCAGTTTGATTGGGGCTTCAGATATTCCTGCCATGTTCCGTGCCTGGCAGCGATATTCACCAGCATCCTTGTATGATAACCCGTTCAGGCTGATTATTGACCAGCGGACCCCCACTCGAGGAGATTCCTGTATAACTGGAACATAAAAAGGTGCACAATCTTAGCTCTATAGTCACTCAAGTATAGCTGAGAGTTTTATACAGGAAAAATATGTCTGGCTGAAGGATAACAGTAAACACCGAATTACACCAAAAAGGTTTCAATGTACTTTTCCCTATTTGGAATAGAAATTGTGAGTGAATTTAAATATCTAATATATAATGTCATTTTGGATTCTCACCTTAAAGGTCCTAGGAGGATCTATTGTCAGAAATTAAATATAATATATATAGGTATGTTTTCATTCATGTATAATCACCTGAAAATAAGAATTGTTACCTTAGAATAGGCTGTTTTTTAAGAGGTAACAGGTTGGCTGGCTTCTGCGGTACCAGCTCTGACTGTTTTCTCATAAATCCAGAATCTTTTAGGCTAATAAAATAACTTCAACTTTGTGTCATTTAACCAAAACCATGATCTTAACCTGACTTTTACCTTACCTAACCACAGACAACCATGACCAAAGTGCTGGACCTAACCACAGACAACCTTAACCAAAGTGCTTTTGGTGCAGGAGTCTAGACGGAAACCCTGGTCTGACGGTCTTGCAATTTGTATGTCTGCAATCCACCCCAAGCACCTCTATGTGACTCCACTGCATTACATAATCCAGGCAGGTATAACATTGTCACTACAACATAATTATAAAAACAGGTTTTAGGTAAGCTTTGATTATTTTCTTGTTGATCGACAACCAAGGCATTCAGGTATGTTGTGGTCAGTTAGTAGCTACAACCATAAGGCTCAGTGGTAATTAAATCACCTAGACCATTTCTGGTGGTGAAATTATCAGAATATCAGATTTGTCAAAAAGAAAGACAAGATAGCACCACTTACAACTCTCCAAATTCGTAGGCAGCTGGTCAGAGTTCTCAAGGATGTCTTTTCGGCAACAATCTGTACAGAGAACCAAATCACAACATGACTTGATTGATGCTGAGACGTTAGCAACATCATTTCATAAGCTGAGAGTGACCCTGGATTGCTTACCAGTGTACGTTGAGGTTTTGATCCAGGTCAGGGTTGGGGTTGGGTAGCCAGTGGCATCACAGCGGAGGATTACATTGCTGCCCAGCGTAGAGACAACTCTTGTGGCTGCAGGCTGGACTGAAGGCCTCATACAGCGGGACAGCTCAACCTGGGTCAGCAGCACCCCTGGCTGACCCAGAGACCTGCTACATATAAGCAGCTGGTCCATGAGAACTACAGGACTCCCCAGGGACATAGACAAGGACATCACCATGGAGATCTGGCAGTCACACAACCAGGGGTTGTCATGGAGACCTAGGTATCCAGGATAATTTTGCTTGTTTACAACATTCTCAGGTTTGTGTCATAAATTGGGAGGAAAAACCTTTTCTGAAGACAATGAGGTGGCTGTAATGGCAGGTTTTTAATTGTACACATTAATTTATTTCACTATTGTTCAGTAGTGCTTTTCTTTTAAACATTTAAAGAAATACATTTTCATAACTGAAACAGTAATTTCTTTTCATTATCCATATGGGGCATCTAGCTGCAAATATCAGAGCCCAAAAAAAGGATGAAATTTGGTGGCCTGGCAGGTTATTAATTTAATATTTTTTTAAATGTCATTTAACCCAGTGGCTTTCAAACTGACCAACAGGGGTCCTCCAAAAAAAGGAGGAATCGACTATTTTAACTTTCTTCTGTGTTGGAATAAGAAGGAAAGAAATAAGGTTGGCTGTTCTGATTGACTTTAATTTATAGTAATCACAGTTTGATGATAGATTGACATTAAAGACTATAGATTCCTCCAAATCTTGCTTTTTAAGTAAAGCTCTATTTGTCTGAAAGATATTAACACACTGGGTGTCTTCGTATCTTTGCGGATCTAAATGTGTAGTTGCTTTAGCTGGCAATAGAATATAATTGCACTATTGCTCCAAAACATACTGTACCCAAAATTCTTCTTTGCACTGGTCCCCCCTGTTGTCCTAGGAGTGGAAACCAAAGGTCCAGCAGCTCAGCAGGTAATATAGTCAGCCTGAGGACAGAGGAGAAAACATATCTATTGCAGGCTGACAGCTACATACATCAGCAGGCCACATGGTTCTGCGTATCTAGTCACCTGTTGCTGGACAGGTCAAGGTAGGTGATGTTGGGAAGAAAGAGAGAAGCGTGGGCAGGAAGGCTGGACAGACGGTTGTTGTGGAGACCCAGAGTCTGGAGGCGCGGCATGTCCCTCAGCCCCTCCCAGGGGAAGGACGTCAAGAGGTTTCCATCTAGACGCAACTCTCGCAGGGCCTTCAGGTTGACAAAGCTGCTGGGGTGAATGGAAGTGATGGAATTGTAAGTCAGCCACAGGAACCGCAGCTCCGACAAGTTGTAGAAGGCTGCACGGGGCACCCTGGAGATCAAGGTCTTCTCTAGACGCAGTTTGACGGTGTCAGCTGGTACATTAATGGGAACCGCTGAGATTCCAGGGTCACTGCACTGCACCGACCTGCCATGTTAAACACAAACCAGTAAGGGCTGAGGTTTGGGCAGAGAAACAATGCAGTCATTCACTCTAAATGATAATTTCTTTAGTTTCAAGATGACACAAAATGATGCAAATACCATCAGTAAATACTCAAAGCACCATTCTTTTATATGGAGTGTGCTGCACTCTGTGGTCCAGAGGCAGAGCGGGTTGTCCCCTAATCAGAACTCGATCCCCGGCTCCTGCACACATGTCGAAGTATCCTTGAGCAAGATACTGAACCCCAAATTGTGAATGTGTATGAATGCATTAGGTTCTGTTTGATGGGCTTTGCCATCACTGTGTGAATGTGTGTGAAAGGGTGAATGTGGCACGTAGTATAAAAGCGCTTTGAGTGGTCGGAAGACTAGAAAGGCGCTATACAGGTCCATTTACCATTTACAAAGCAGTAGTAACGGCTACGTAATAAAAGTTCCAGCTGTTGCTCTTGAGATTAGACCTTCATTTTTAGGGGGTACAGTGCTGGCATATGAGAGCAGTGTTTAAATGATAGTTATCAAAATGAGAATTATAAACAGTAAAGCATGAAATGGTATCAAAAAGTTGAAAAAAATGATTTTAAAGCATTATCAAATTATTACAATGAAATTTAGAATGATTTTCATGTTGAATGATGAATAAATTAATTACATTTACATTTAGGAATTTACAATTAACCTTTTATTATTCAATTTACTGTTTAATTACTAATTTGAAAGTCACAACAGGCTATATACGTATACGTTTTATCTTATGAACTTCTACAATATTTTTGGTGGCTCCCTCCAGCCTCTGGTGATTGTCTGCAGCATGTAAACGTTAAGTCAATGTCAATCTAAGTATAAGATGCAACATTGTCCACTGTTCAACATATGTGTCTTTGTCAGAATGATCATTTTTCGCTAGCCTGCATACATTTGGTTGCAACAAGACTACTGCAATCCTCTCATGCATGTTATGCACTATTATCTGAACACTGTTCAGATATGCACTAATATGCATGGGGAGACCATATGATTGCACTTTTATTTTACAATCCGGGATAATATTCAGGGACAAAATGTTTAGTTATAACCAAATTTGTCAAAAATGACACCATCAAATATAACATTTGTTGCATTAGCATATGCTGGTTCCAATAGAGCTTCAATGATAATTCTCAAAATATAATAGGCTGTATAATGAGTGATGTTCATGTAGAAACAAACCACATGCACACACAAATGCACAAAGATAAGAATGAAGTCTCACTCTACCTGAGCTCTGCTATTCCACTGTTTCCATACATGCAGGTACATAAAGCTGGACAGGAGTGGACCGCCAACAGAGTGGACTGCAAGATTTGAACGAGGATCAGCAGATACATCCTTCATCAGACAAACCCTGCACTCAGACAGGCCCTCTGTATCTCCATATTCCCAGTCCTCTCCAGTCTGTGGTTGTGACCACAGAGCAGAGTGAAACTGAATCCCAGATTAGCTGGGATTACACTGCTTACAAGTGGCATGTAATCCCACGCCTCACTGTCAGAATAACAAATCACAACATCAGGGCCAGCCCATGCCTTTTTTGGGCCTTGATAATAATTTGACCCCACTTTGTGGTGTACGTCACATGTGAATTTTAAAATGCACACGTAAAATCAAAATGTGAAATTGAGGTTCAAATGTGACAACTTCATGTGAAATGTTTATAACAAAAGACAAATTATTAATATAAATTCACCCTGAGTCCAGTTGGATTCGTCATTAGCCAGAGAATGGAATCAGCTGGAAGAGCTGTGGAAATTTTAGCCCCATTTCTTCCAGTACCAGACCTCACACAATGGGAGAAAGTGGTGACCCTCTCTTGTGTACTCCACTGCAGCCACCTCATCAGTATGCTGGATGCATCTCGTCACCTGCTCGGTTTAGGGAAAGCACTGCAGAAGTCAATCCAACACCGTTTTCTGAGGAACTTTGGAAATGTCACAATGGAGGCACAGCTCAACCCGCCGTAGAGCTTCCATTTGGACATATGGTCTACATCAGTGATAACCCAACCTGGGGGTCGGTACCCCTAGTGGGGCTCGTAAGCCTTCATGATTTGAAGGTGTGAAGAAAACATAAAAAATATACAAAGTTTGCCTATATCTCAGCATTAGGTAAACTTCTGTGAAGAAAAGTGTAAAGTTAAATAAATTGTGTAATTGAAAAATAGCCAAGCAAAAGGGACAAGAAAACACAGAATTTGTCAAAAAAGAAGCCTTTTAAGTCTGTGAGATATGAGAAATGATAAAAACAAAAAAAAATAGAGAATTGTCTCAAAAGTTTCTTAAACAGGAAATAATCTGCTCAAAATCCATCCAAATCACTCATTTTAAACAAACTTCCTCCGGTCCTGAGTTCACTGTTTGGGTTCATTGTACAGTTTTGAATAAAATTTGTCACTTAGTCAGGGGTCGATAGAAAAGAGGTCGGAACCCTCAGGTCCCATAGTCACACAGACCACTGCAGCCAAAGCAGCAACAATCCTATCTACTGTTTTGTATTTATTCTGTTTATTTAGTTAGTTAGTGAGCTCTGCTTTAGGTAAACTTTAAGTATAACTTATATTGCCAAAGACAAACGCTAAGACAGCAACAACCTCCTCCTCCTCCTCCTCCTCCTCCTCCTGGCTTGTAGTTGCCTCCTCAGCTCAGCAGCCTCCTCTTCTGCTTCTCAGTAAATACGGTAGCTGTTAATACTTCCCCCTCCATCTCTGATATTTAACTAATAATATTTTGTCACACAAAGAAAAGTGCAAATTTTCATAAGTGGTAGATATTTTAACATCATTTGGCAGCAATGGTGTTTTTCATTTAGCTACAATGTGATGCTTTGCACTAATTGGGAGGATGTTAATTATAATATCTCTGACAGTGCACCAGGGGGTGAAGGCTAGGGGGCACAGAGCCCTGCAAAGGCCTGCTGGAGAGCCAGTGTTTGGGATTTGGGTAAGGCTTAAAGGGCTGTCTTTATTTAACCCTGGGCATGTTGCCCACAGAGGGGCGGGGCCTGCAACTGGGAGTGAGCCTTGCTGGTGACACAAGGGATGGGGACTTTGACTGTGACTTTTTGTTAGTTCTTGTATTTTGCTGCATCATGTAAAACAAAAGACAAAAACAGAATTAGTGAAGCCAAAAGAAACACAGGGGCACGGCGGGGTCTGAAGTGCCACTGGTGGCAGGGCTCTCTGGGGCAGAAAGAGGGGTAAGGATTGCTGATGACATAAGGGATGGGGCAACCATATTACTTCATTCATCGCTTTCATACCTCAAAGTTATTTTTACAGATATAAAAAGGAGATTGATGTATGCTCACTTTGTCAACTGGCTCCATATGATTTATGTCATCCTTGTCCATCCTTCCCCATCCTTTTTCTTTTTGCAAAGATATCTGTGCTTTTATTTTCCAGTACATAGTTTCTGATTTCATCAACCATCACTATTAAGTTTTGAAAATTAAGTCAAACAATGTTACATTACTCTCATACTCATACTATGATTTCTGTGTCCCCTGGCAGTGTTCGTTCATGTACTGTTTGTGATTGTGTTTGTGTTCAGATTGACACTGACAGTATATATAATGGACCGAGCTTCCGGATCTGTAAAGTGAAGCCAACGCTGAAGTCTCTTAAACCTGCATTCTATGTAAAGCCCAGCAGGGGGAGCTCCATTGGCTGCAATAACACAGCGATCCCATTCACTCTAATGGAGAATGAGCCGACTTGTCACTTCATTTATGAGCTCAGTGAACAGTTTCCTGATGAGTTTATGCTCTCAGTCACTAGTTTAACATCTTCTTCCATACAGCATGATGTTCATTTAGTGAATGATAGTCTTATTTAATTTTAAAATAGACAATAAAGCCACTTGTGCTTTTGGACGGGGCTACCTTTTGATTGACAGGTCATTCTCAGTGAGTCTGTCCAGCTCAACACACCAAACTCAGATCAAACTGTCAAACTAGGCAGTGCTGATCAGATATGGATCCAGATTCTGTTACTGTGTTGACTATTTCTCTCCTCAAATCTGTTCAAACATATTTTGGTGTACTGTTTAGCCGTTATACGAGATCATGTGTGACCAGGCGAGCCGCCATTGTTTCCTGTTACAGATGAGTCAAAACTGCACAACCAATGAGAGCAGATCGTCCCCTGGCTCGCGCTGGATCCGTCTTACTGTCATAGCGGCGGGCAAAAAGCTGAACTCCAGGCTTCAAAGCGGTTCTCCACAAACCAATGGGTGATGTCACGATAGGTTCACACTTGGTTAAGATGACAAAAGATGACATTGTTTACCGTCCCAGCCATCGACATGTATAAACTGATAATCTGAAAATAAAATAGGATGGATCGTAATATATCCCGATATAAATATCTGTGCCAAAGACTCCGTATACATAAATTCACATAGCAGAAATAAAAACATGTATCTTGCACATTTAAATAACAGCTGTAGACTACTAATATCAGCACACTTTCACGAGCTACAACCCTAATCCAAATAAACTACCAGGCAGTTCACAGTATATACATATGCCAACTGTAATCAGAGGGAAAATGAGGGATTATATTGTAATGTGTTAATGGTGTGATTTTAATGTAAAGGAGAGTAAGACAATTAGTACTGATATATAGACTGAGATAACAACAACCAGTCATTTAAATAAGTTCAGCCTGAGTGCGGTTGGATTTGTGGGTGCAACACATGTCTTCAAAACTATTACACTGATCAACTTAAATAATTGATTTGATATTAATAAAATGTTTTTTTGTTAGCTGCTAGCTCATTAGCTAGCTAGCAAGTCATAGCAACCAAGCTAACAGCAGATTAAACCACACTATCATAATATTCTTTACTTGCAGTAATGATTGCTTTGACTTTGTGTTTCGGTGGGTGTCGGTCATAGACATTAGCAGATGTAAGCTATTGTTAGTTGTTCCACACTGTTTACACTGTAGTAAAGAGGAGACAGAAGTCACACAGGAACATGAATGAAAGTCACTCCCTTTGGATTACCCCATACCTGCACAGAGAAACAGCCTACACATTAGGTGACAGGCTGCAGTTTTTGCCAGCTTTTTACTATTTTCGTGTTGATTTTTGTTTTTGTTCTGTTTTGCTTTTTCTTTGTTTTATATGTAGATAAAATGAATGAAGTCCTGCATATGTCAGTATGGCTTAACATGGTACGTGCCTATGATTACATGTTTCGGAGAGAGTGTGTACGTATTGATCCAGGCCACTGCCTGTTTGCTTTAATGTTATTAAGTTATTTATTTCAAATCTATCCTAAATTACACCAGGCTGTCAGAAAATATACCTAGTTACCTAAAAAGACACCTAACTCCATAACTGCTATGTATCAACCCATCACTCCTTATCCATACTAGGCGGCAGTAGCAATGGAAGGTGTCCATAATCCTCCTGATGAGGCGCCTTAACCTGCCACCGCTCACAGCATTGCTCTCAGGCTGCGTCCACCTCAGATGTCAGCAGGGACGTTTTGGGGGAAGGACGGCTGCTGATTGACATCAAGTGTTTTACAGAGGCTCTACAGGATGTTGCTGTTCATTGTCTTTCACCATCTTCTTCTTAAAGTCATCGAGAGACTTATGCCTGAAAGATCTTGTTTCTGTTGGTAAATGATAAATGGACCTGTAGTTGTATAGCGCCTTTCGAGTCGTCCGACCACGCAAAGCGCTTTTACACTACATGCCACATCCACCAAAGCCCATGGAACATTAACTAACTTATTCATTCACATTCACACACCGATGACGCAGCATCAGGGGCAATTTGGGGTTCAGTATCATGCTCAAGGACACTTCAACATGCAGCCGGAGGAGCCGTGGAACAAACCAACAGCCTCGGATTGGTGGACGACCCACTCTATCTGTCTTCTAATGGCTGCTGCTTGCGGTCCACAACCATCACATTGTCAGGTTTGAGGTCCACATGTACATTTTCCATGGACCTCAGGTGGCACAGGGCTATGGCCAGTTGACAAATAATAGGCCACAGCTATGCCATGGGAAGACCCTTGAATTTTCTGTCCTCCATATAGACTATGATCCAGGAGTTCAAACCTAAGGCGTTAGTGGTCTTTATTGAAGAAATAGCCATTCCACTTAACAGTGTTGCACGTGTCTGGATCTAGAAACCGGAGCTTTTTCAGAATGGCAATTTGTTCTCTTGCCTGGTGCACAATTTTGGGGCCGCTCTTGACCTTGACTGCCTTCATTGTGTCCATCTTTAATACAGATGAGATCATATCTCACTTTTGGGTGAAACAAGCACTGTAAAAGTGCTTTGTGGTACTATGCCAGAAGCTGCTGCATCACATTTTGCCAATAAAACAATAAACAATAAAAGCCAATTTACAATTTTCTTTACTTTCCTAATAAATGAAAGACAGTAAAAGATCTGTGGCTTTAGGCAGTCTACAAAGAGGATAAACTGGTAAACAGATAAATGGCTACATCAGTTGAAACATGCTGGCCCATAACTTGGGACATTTCTGGTCTATGATTATTGTGCAGGCTACAGGGCTTCTGGGGGGAAAGAGCGGGGGTTAAACGACGGAAGAAGTGCAACGTGAGATCTCTGAGCAACAAGATGGCAAGAGGTCAGAGGGAATACTGTGAAAGCCGTCTCATGTGTTTCATAAAGACATGGCTGCAGGAGGTTATTCCCGACGCAATCGATACCATCGAGGGCTTCCAGACTGTGCGGGCGGACAGGATTCGCCTTCAGCGAGGCAGAACGCGAGGCAGTGGAGTTGCTGTATTTGTCAACAACAGATAGTGTAATCCTGATCATCTTCATGTCAAGTGTCTGTAACCCAGACATTGAACTTTTGGCTGTCAGACTTCGCCCACTACTATTTACATTATACTATAGTGTTTTTCCCCAGTGCACGATCAATAAAGTCTATGTTATCTATTTGTCATGTGAGTTCTCACATGTTATTGTTGTGGTCGTACATATCCCACACAGAGGCAGCGTGTGAGACTCATACTACATACTGTCATTGTCAGACTACACCCCAGCACATTCATTTCAATCTCTGGTGATTTTAATCATGTCACCCTGACAAAAACACTGGCAATGTGCTCCCAGTTTGTAAAGTGCCCCACCAGGGAGAACAAAACTCTGGACCTGTTGTATGCTAATATATATGATAAGGTTTTAGGAGAACTGGGCCCTCCCTGTCTTTTATTTCCATACAAGGAGAGGACATGGAGGTAGTCCAGAGCTACAAGTACCTGGGGGTGCACTTGGACAATAAACTAGACTGGACTGGTAACAGATGTCCCGTAAAGAAGGGCCAGAGCTGTCTTTATTTCCTGAGGAGGCTCAGGTCTTTTGGTCTGTGCAGGACTCTGTTAAACATGGTCTATCAGTCAGTGGTGGCCAGTGCAAACTTACTCAGTAGGCATATATATCAGCTTTTTGTTCATTTCTGTGAAGAAAATGAATTCGTTATTTTTGAAGTTTAGATTATTATTTAAGATAATAATTGTAGCACCTGAATATTTTTGGCAGAAAAGAGAGACAGTTTAATCCAGCCAGCTACAACATAAGGTAACTGCAGTTGCTGCCACTGTACAGTGACACATAGGCCCATAGACACATAGGCAGACCTCGCTACTGGCCTGTACACCAGTGCTTCCCAATCTGGGGGTCGTCAAAGCTTCATGGGCAGTCATGAGGCCTTCTTGATTTTGAGGGGTGTAAAAAAACGTACGTCTCACATGTACTGTAATAGGTTTATATTGCAGCATTTTGTTCATTTCTAAAGTGTAGACCTGAACACAAACGTTCACAGAGCCTTCACTCTCTGATAAACAGTCTCATCCTGCATTAGAGTTAAAAAATGTATCAGGGAGGAGAAAGCACTAAATTAGTCAAAAAAGACTATAAAAAAACACATAATACAGACAGAAGATTGTTTAAAAAGTTACTAAAAATATCCGAAAATATTGAATATAATACTATAATACCATAATACTCAAATTTAATGTAAATTGCTTGTTTTACACAAACATTCTGCACTTATTGCATTAATATTATATATTATATATATATATTCATTGTACAGTTTATCCCTTGTTCTGTTTGTGTTGAATATAATATATTCAATTTTCAATTCAATTCAATTCAATTTTATTTGTATAGCGCCAATTCATAACAGAAGTTATCTCAGGACACTTTTCAAATAGAGCAGGTCTAGACCGAACTCTTTATAACATTATTTACAGAGACCCAACAGTACCACCATGAGCAAGACCTTGGAGACAAGGGCAAGGAAAAACTGCCTGTTAAAAGGCAGAAACCTAGGACAGATCCTTCGGCTCTAGGTGGGTGGTCGTCTGTCTCAACCAGTTGGGGTGAGAGAGAGAGAGAGAGAGAGAGAGACAGACAGACAGACAGACAGACAGACAGACAGGTGCACAGCAACAACAGTAGCAACAACTACACTAATAGTAGTGACTGATGATGATGAACATGACAACAGCAACGATGGGGGACAATGAGCAGTGACAACAGCAACAACAGTAACCATAGCTATAATAATACTTATAATAATAACAACAATAATATCCGTGATATTAGCAATGGCAGTCAAGCAGGACCATGGCAGGAGGCTCCACCAGGATCCATGAGAACCTGCGAGACGAGAAAGCACAAGAACTCCGGGGAAGAAGTGAAGTTAGTAACATGCATTAATGGGACATGAATGAGTGCAGAAAGAGAGAGGAAGAGAGGAGCTCAGTGCACCATGGGAAATCCCCCGATAGTCTAGGCCTATAGCAGCATAACTAAGGGATGGTTCAGGACTCACCTGATCCAGCCCTAACTATAAGCTTTATCAAAGAGAAATGTCTTAAGCCTACTCTTGAATGTGGTGAGGGTGTCTGCCTCCCGAACCACAACTGGAAGCTGGTTCCACAGGAGAGGAGCTTGGTAACTGAAGGCTCTGGCTCCTGTTCTACTTTTAGAGACTATAGGAACCACAAGTAGCCCAGCATTCAGAGAACGTAGTGTTCTAGTGGGGTAATAGGGTACTATGAGCTCTTTAAGATATGAAGGGGCCTGACCATGAAGAGCTTTATAGGTGAGGAGGAGGATTTTAAATTCAATTCTACATTTTACAGGGAGCCAGTGCAGAGAAGCTAGTACAGGAGAGATGTGATCTCTTTTTCTAGTTCCTGTCAGTACTCGTGCTGCAGCGTTCTGTAATAATTGGAGCGTTTTAATGGACTTATTGGGGCAACCTGATAATAAAGAGTTTCAGTAATCCAGCCGAGAAGTAACAAATATATATGTCACTGAGTGGCGGGGTCGTCAGTTTACTTTATGATAGAAAAGGGGTCTTTTAAGGAAAAAGGTTGGGAACCACTGCTGTACACGCTGGACCTTGAAGTACATTGGACATTGACAAGCACCCAAAGTTCCCACTCGTCATGAACGCAGCACCGTCATATTAGATGTGGGCGGGTCTAAACATTCTGCAGTGAGATCTCGCGAACTTGAAGCGGGACTCACCAGCGGGAACGCGCGCGCGCGCCTCCAAGGGTGGACTTTGGTACCGGGCTGTCAATCACTTCTCGCATGTTTTGATTCCTGAAAGTTAGTGTCAGTGGACTAGCTGGAAAATGTCCGCTGCGGCGCCGCCTGTAAATGACCAGTATGTGTTTCGTCGACGTGAATTTGAAGAGCTGTCGTCAGAGAACCAGAGAAGATGGCATACTCCCCCTCAACCTGTCCAAGGCAGGCAGACCGCACTACATCAGCAGCGACACAGGGTAAAGCAAAAGTACATTAACAAGCTAGTTGTAGCCTTTAATTACATCCCATGCTAACCGGGAGTGGTGCCGCTGTGTCGGTGCTAAGCTCAGTGAGGTCTTATGGCAGTGACAGAGCCTTTCAGTGTCTGTTAACCTCAGTTTGAACTGTTTTAAGTTAGCAATTACCCCATGTAATGAGCCATAATAACACCAGCGCTCGAACCAAACCCCATTCAAAAATCTGATACTTTAATGTGTCTTTTCAAAGGCTGGTGATACAAACCGGGAGAATATGACGTATGAGTGCTAACAATTAAGAGGACCAAGCATTTAACTCGGGTATATGTGAGCCCGCATCGTTATTAACAGACTTTAAAAACCGACTGGTGTAATAAATAGAATATAATACATTAATATACACACACCGACGTGAGGGACGGCTTTTCATCGTTTAAGCCCCCCAAGCCATCGGTGTTAATGTATGTATTTGTCCTGTGTCGCAGGGGCAGGACAGCAACTTTAACCGCGAGTCGGGACGCTTCTTCAGTGTGGGTTGGTGGCACGTTCTCTTCACAAGAACAGAGACCACGTGACAGGGCAAGGCCTTATCTCCAGTTCACTGATGATTTGTCAGTTTAATAACAAAGTAGGAAGTAACCTATCTAATGACAGGCTATTATCAGGTTTAATCAAAGTGTGTTCAGTGTGTTCAGTTTGTGCAGTAGGGCTTTAGGGCACAATAATTGGCAGTAAGTTCCTAAAGTGCTCAGGTTTGCCATTGTTCAACCATTTTTGCTAGCTGTAGCCTGTGTCGCATGGATTATTACTTAAACATGATACAAATGTTTTGAGGTGTTTTTATTCCCTAAAGGTCCAGTGTGTAACATTTAGGAGAATCTATTTGATATAAATGAAATATAATATTCATAGGTATGTTTTCATTGTGTTTATGTTACCTTAGAATTTGGGTGGTTTGCGGCGGTTTTCTCCTACACGCTTGGAAGGCTGAGCTGTATTCAAATGGTTGCAGTGTGCAACTTCACCACTAGATGCCATTACATCACTACACACTGGTCCTTTAAAATTGTCTAAACAATAAAACTGAAATTAAAAGTAGCTGGTAAATTATGTGGCAACAATGCACAATTGTGGAAAGTACCATAAAATCTGAATATTCTCTAAAAACATCATTTTAATGTAAACAGAACTACCAAATCCAACTTATACTTGAAATGTTAAACCCAATGTTTAAATACTTAAAATGGTATTAGTGCAGTTCAGAATCAGAAATACTTTATTGATCCCCGGGGGGAAAGTTGTTGTTGTTTGTTAAATGTATGCTAATAATAACACCATAATACACCTGTAATAAGACAGGGACGTCATACCTTGAGCAAAAATCTATCTATTTTACATTCATTTAATCATTGTCATTAAGTGTCTTACATTACACACCTATTATACCTGTTTCCTCTGGTTCTGCTTGTGGTTCAGTATCTGTGCCTGACTTATTTCTAGCTCAAACTAAAACTAAAGGCTGGGACAAGGTGCCACACTCTCTGATACATGTTGTGTTCTTTGTATTGCACAAAAGTAAAGTCTTCCTGGAATGAAGGTCATAAGTTTTCTCCATTGTCTCTATTTTCCTTTCAAATGTGGGTGTAGCCTGTGGTGTGCTGCTTCCTAGTGGTCAATATGTTTTCTTACCTGCGGTGACTTCTTTATGGAATGTGAGCTGTTCACAAAGTCAGCAGGTGGGCTGTATTAGAGCGAGTGCAGTGTGTGCCACTGCACACATGATTGTCTGTGTTTTAGAAGGCTCTCTAGTCCAGTAAGGAAAGGAAGGAACCATTATACAGTGAATGGAATTACAGGCCTTGAACTGGATTGCATTATAACAATGTCACATGAACAATCTGTCTGCCCAGAGTGAGGAAGATAGAGTTTAGTGTCATGAAAGTAAGTAATAAACTGTGCAGGCTGTTGGTGGTTGCATCCACATTTACCAATGCCATTCACATTCCACAGAGGCTACAGTTAATAAAGTGAACAATGGGTTAGATAAGGTAAGCAATCATTAACAGGGTTCCCATGCGTTGAAAAACTGGAAATTTAGGGAGTAGTTTTCCGGTCATGGAAACACTTGGAGATTGATAAAAATGACCAAATATCGGGAAATATTTTATGACTTTATTTTATTAATTAATTGTATTTTATTGAAAGAGCTTTCATGAGCGAGTGCTGCCCTATATTGTCAAGAAAAACTCCTTTAAAATATATATTTTTTAAAGAGTGGGAACCCTGCAGGGTTGGATGTCCATCATATTGTGATGGTGCAGTCAGTGTGAGGTATTGCTGTTCCTGACATCACATCAGTGTGAGCTTTCCCATCCCTGACACCTGTTAGAGGCTAGTGGGAAGGCACCTAAGACCCAGAGATACCACGACTGGAGGTAGAACATAGTGTTTTATATTCTCCAAAGTCTCCCATATGTGAAATGGATTTAAATTGTATTTTTTCCTTTTTTTTTAATACTGCAAAAGTGGTTGAAATGACAGATATTGTGACATACCCCATAAATAAAATAAGAGCAAAATAAAGCCAGGCTGAATGGGAGATGATACACCGGATTTTTCATAATGCAAGCTCTGAAGGATTTCAGATTTGGTGAAAAACAGAATGTAAATATATTGATGCACTGAGGAGATTCAGTTCTACAATCACAGAAGTGCAATAGGCAGAAATATCAAATATGAGGACCTGTGATGAGTGTATACATTTACTATAAGGTAGCCTTGGCTGGGATAGTCCCACAAATACCAACCAGGGTTTGTTAGAAAGGTCTGTGCTGAATCCAGCAATATATATGTAACTGTAGCAGGTACGGTCAGCGGTCTACATTAAGAAATGAATGACGTGTGCCAAGTTATTATTTTTTTTTTTTATTATTAGTGGGGTCAGACCAAATAGTTCTCCTCATTTTAGAGCTGCAACAGTTAGCCAATTAATCGATTGACGGATAATTAATTGTCAATAATTTTGCTAATTGATTCCTAGTTTTGGAACCCTTTAAGCAAAAATGTTAGAGGATAGGTAATGTCAGAAGACCTCAGCTCCAACGCTCCGTTCAGATTTTGCTCCCCTTCCTATGTAAGAAGCTGATTCATTTGCATAGCACCACCTCCCCGCTGACTAACCACCTCCCACAGACAAGAGCTGCCTTTGCTGCTGTATGCCATGTTTGCCCTGCAAGCCCTGGCTGTTACTGAAAGCCTGGAGCTAAGTGCCACAGCTGCCCTGATGTTTGCTGCACGGACCAGCACAAAAGTCTGCACGTCCTCCCATCATCAGAGGAATTATTTATTTATTTTTGAATTGTGACTGAAATGTTCCCACAAGGACTGCAACTGCTTTCTCAGAGGAGTACCAGCTCATGGACCGATACGGACCGTCTGTCACCCAACTTCACACTCAGAAGCTGTAAGTTTTTCTCTATTTAATGTTGTTTTACTGTTTATTGTGTAGGCATTAACATGCTGTGCAGCTAATGTGGCTAACACTGTTGGACTTTCTGTTGTAATATGAGGGACAGTCAGAAGCTGTGTGGCCGTTAAGCTTTGTGGTAAGCCAACAAAATAACCGGGAGTAAGTTACTGTAGTAGGTTGGAATAGTTCAGTAATATTGTGTAACTTTGATTAGCACTGAGCAGCAGGGGTTGCTCGCTAGGCTATAATAATAATAAGGTTTTCTGATCCATTTATTTAGCATTACTGCAGTACTGGTATTACTGACGATATGAGTGCAGGTCCAGTGTAACATCTACTCATATCTCCTACTGTATTATAAACAACACTGAGGCTCACTGCTAAATGTCTGTTTTTGCACCGGGAACTTTTACTGTATTTATGAGCCTTTGGTTTGTCACAACATCAGTTACAGGCATAGTAAATGTGATAAGGGACCCACCAGAGACACTGCTTTATTATTTTATTTTATAACGTAGGACTACTTAGAGCCACAATGTATGATGGAGTATTAGGACCAGACTAAGAGAAACATTTTTTTGTTTGTTTGTTTGTTGGAAATTACCAGAATAAAGTCGTAATAATACAAGAATAAAGTCGTAATAATACGAGAATAATGTAATAATAATACAAGAACAAAAGTTGTTTTAATGAGAAAAAAGCTTCGATAGAGTTATCAAGATCTGACATGACCAGCTCAACCAATCAGCAGCCTCAGCCTTAGCCCAGCGGCCGCTGTTTGTCTCAGTCGTACCGTACAGTCAACAGGTAAGCTAACGTATTGATAATTTCGTCGTTAAACAGTTTTGATGGCTGAGCCAACAGGCTGACAGTTCTCATAAAATTACTACTTTATTCTCGTTATATTATGACTTTATTCTCGTTATATTACGACTTTATTCTCAGAATATTACGACTTTATTCTCAGAATATTACAACTTTATTCTCGTAATTTTACAACTTTATTCTCGTAATGTTACGACTTTATTCTCGTAATATTATGACTTTATTCTGGTAATATTACGACTTTATTCTCGTAGACCAAATATTATGACTTTATTTTCGTAATTCCCCCCCCCAAATTTTTTTTTCTTAGTCTGGCCCTAATACTCCGTCGTAACAATGAGCTATTGTACTTGTACTGTATTGTATTATACTGTATCAGTGAATCTGCCATGTTTAACAGGTGATTTGAGTGAGCTGATGAAGCTCAGGTGTTCCTGGACCCATCAGAGGACAGAGACAGCTGCAGCATCAGGACAGTCTGGGTATCCAAAGGAAGACTGATGAAGATGAACACTGACTGCAGAGCTCCATTACCAGCTCACACTTCAATATACTAGAAACCATAAACCTTGATGGAGAACATGATCTGCAGAGTTTACATAAAAGTTCTAGCTTTGTTACTTACAATATGTGTAACTGGAATATGAGTGAAACAAATAAAGTGTTTTATTTTTAAGAAGAGCTTTGGTCATTTTTAAATTCAGTAATAAGTGTGGTTTTATATAAATAACATGTTATTTCACAGAGGTTTTATGAAGATTTCCTGGATGTACAAGAGTTAAAAACCTGGTTTGTGTAACATCTATCAATATGAAAATGTGAAATTTAAACCTGTATTAATGACTGTAAGCAACACAATACATTACTGTCTCACATTCAAACTTTATTATGTTGGAAGATAAATGACATAATATATAATATAAATGATACAATATTCAGTATACAGTATTTTAAAAGTGGTGAAAATATAATTGCAGCTTTTACAAATATTTTAAGGTTAACTTTGGTAATTATTGTCAGTTAAAATATCAGGCTATGAAATATGGATACAGTACAGTACAGTTACTGAGCAGTTTTTAAACCACATAACAAGGTACTTTATTAGATGAGTAATTCCTTCAGTTATATTGACAAGTTGTACAGGATAAAGTATTGCAGGCAGGTTTCTGACTCATTATGGTAACTTTCCAGAAGAATATAACAGATGGGAGGTTACAGTAATCGTTATACTATTACTCTGATTACTTTGGTACATTTACTGGCTGTTTCTTCACTAGAAACAACTGCTTGACTAATGTTTCACTTTGTCTGTTTCGTATGGTAACATCCCCACATCAGGGTAATTACAGTTTACATTATATACTATGCTACATGCACATGCTAACACGTTACCTCTTTAGCTGCTCACAACAAATATGTTTAAGTTCACTGGGCTGTGTAGACTGTAGGTCACTGCTCACTGCTGTACCGGTAAAGACAAGCATAAAACACAGTGTTGGTTTTCATAGTTAAGGTATAAACACTAACATTATGTGATAGAGAGAGAGACTAATAGCGTTAGCAGTATTTACCTGAGGAAAATGTCACAGAAAGCTGTAATTTGATTGTTGATGTTGTTCATTTCAGTGATTTCAGGTCAGACTCCCGCTCTAACATGTCCGGTGGGGAAGTTTTTGGTTTAGAAGCAGTTATTGAATTAATATTGACGGTAGAAATGCAGATAAACTCAGTAGCAGTGAGGAGCTACCTGCTTAAACACCTGCAACGCTGAGGCAGAAGAGGGAGGGTGGAAGCTGCGGCCGTGTAATAATGCTGACCAATTAGAGCAGACTGGGCTTTTTGGCAGGGGGGCCTTAAAGAGACAGGGGCTATAAGAGAGCGTTTCAGACACAGGCTGAAAAGAGGTGCTTCAGCTATAGGCAGTATGAGAACTGTCACTCTTGTGCTCATGTGTAACCTGTCTTGAACGTTGCCTCCGCAGGTTGATGGCAGCCGGACCCGACCCCGACCTCCCAGCGACCCCAGCGCCAGGTGGCCCCATGTGGACGACCCCACCACCAGAGAGCCTCAGCTTGATGACTGCGAGCGGATGGGGACCCTGTTTGGGATGCTCAACAAGTGTCTGCGGGGGGTGGGCTTCAGCCAGATGTACTTTGGGGACAAGATAGTGGAGCCGGTGGTGATTGTCTTCTTCTGGCTGTTGCTCTGGTTCCTGGGGATCCAGGCCCTGGGATTGGTGGGAACTCTGTGCATCATCATCATCTACATCCAGAAGTAATGAGAGCTGGCGGTCAGAGCGGCGCCGGCTGTTTTCTTTGGTTAATGCTTACACACGCGGGACTCATGCTGCTGGATGTTTGGATTGGAGTCTGCAGTGGATCTGTGCTTTTAGGGAGGGGGGATAAGGGTGGGGGGATAAGGGAGGGGGGAAAAGGGAGGGGGGGAGGGGCAGCTGTAGACAGGGTTGCACCGCTCTGTAGTGATGGTGGCTTTGCAGGTTTCTAGAAATGGTTTGAAGCTCGCTCAGTTGGAGTACCTCCGAAGCTGGGTCCAGTGTTCAGGGTGGGACTGGTGCTCCTCCTGCCTCAGCAGCAGGAGTGGGGCTGTCCTGTTGCTGTTAGAACTTTATGCTGTTGGACAGGAAGACATTTTGGGAAGTGGCTTGTTTCTGTTTGACTTAGAGGCTACATAGTGAAGGCCAGGACTCATAAAACACAACTGCACTCTTCCCTGTGCAGTGTTTCACTGATAAAGAAACTAACATACAGTATGTTTATGTGACGTTCAAGTGCAGCAGTGATATGAGTCCAGTAATCAATCATAAGGAGCAGTGTCTGCATGTAGAGCTGACATACAGCACTTGTGATGTTCTTGTGATGTTCTTGCAGTAAAATGTACTTTGGGATTGATACTAGCCATGCACAATGTACTGATGGCTGATAAAATGGAATTATTGTTACTGTTCCAACTATGGAAGACCTTTTTCACAGCAGCCATTTTGACAAACAATAAGTAGTAAGTAAGCTGGGTATGTTGCTATGCTAAATGGAACTACATGTTAAGCCCCTGAGCGTTTTTGCAATGTTTCTGTCAATATCTGTGCAGTCTGTATTCCTGTGAGAGCGTACACCATTCACACAGCGTGCTAGGAGCATTCCTTATTGGTGGGTTCATGTGTCCATCTACATTTTATGTGAAACTGACTTCACTAATTTATCATACATTTATATTCCATTTTATTCATATACTCCACTGTGAACCTAAGACTTTCATAAACCCATTTCAAGCACCAAAACAACTGGTCCACATTAGTAAAGGTGTGTTTTCACAACACATTGGAAGAATTTCAAAATGCTGAGATGTAGGCCACACTGTGCATATTCTGAAAGTTTTTAAAAATCAAGAAGGCATCGTGAACCCTGTAAAGCTTTGGCAACCCCTAGTTCAGAAATGAGCTTTAGGGTCAGATGATGTGTTTACACAGTGCTCTAGGACAATTGGTGCTTATTATACAGATAGCTGAGGTTATTGTGCACATTCTGATATCAAAGTCCCTTTAAAGGGGAATTTAACAAGATATGTAAACATCAAGAAAATGTCATTAGACCCCAAAGGGATCATCAGTATTATTTGTAACTCCTCTGTTTACCCTACTGTTTCATGTCAGATGGCTGCTGTGAAAAAGGTCTATTACATCCAGTACTGCAGAGGCTTTTTACAGTAGCTGTGGAGGGTGGTTCTAAATGGGGATCAGTTCTAGACGTCAGTTAGCCTCTCTCCCGCGCTCTGCGTCTTGGTGCCCGCGCTTGCCTGATTCACTTCCTCCCTCTACCAGATAACAGATGATTATCAGTTATTGGTGCAGGTGGAAGCGCTCTTCATTTCAGGGGATCTGACAGAAAAATGTGTGTGATATTAATTACTTCTCACATTGACAGAAAGATATGACCCATTCTGTACTGGAAACTGTGTTCAGATACAGTAGTGTTCTCGTGCCGTCAAAACTCAACCTTTCTACTGGATGCAAACGTACAGTCTTCCAGTTTGTCTGCTACTGTGGCAGAGGACATGGGAACTGGAGTGTTCATGCACAGAGCTGCTCAGTGTACTGATTTTTGCTTATATCATGAAATGTTGACTTGTCTTAACCTATCAAACTGTTGTAGTTGAGTGCAATTAACGCAAAACTCTTTTTATTCATCATATCTGTCATACTGAAAATCCCCTGAGGTTTCTATATCTTGTGAAAGCCTTCTCAGGCTCAGGTGTTGTTAGTCTTTAAATAAGGAATATGTACGCAAGGGCTGCAACAGCGATTCTTTTCAGTATCACTTTAACACTTTTCCTATTCATTGATTCAAGCTCAGATGTCTTGTTTTGTCCACAACCCAAAGATATTCACTTTACTGTCATAGAGGACGAGAGAAAGCAGAAATATTCACATCTGAGAATTTAGACATTTTTCTTAATGACTCAGAAGCATTCATTCATTATCAGTTAGCGATTGAACAGATTCATTTAACAGTCCTTAATGAAGTACGAAGTCTCTTTGAATCACCCAAAACTTCTTGAGTACAGGAAGTAGTGGATGCTGTAGAGTAACCTGACAGCGCCGGATGGTTTGTTACACAGAACCATCTGGGACGTCGTCATTGGAAACTGTTGAAAAATACTCAGCTTGTGACTGGATGAACCACCTGTCTATCACAGACAAACTTCAACCAATCAGATTGAGTGAACCATATAACGTAGTCAGCTCTTACTGAAGCCAGTCGGGAGAAGAGAGTAAACCTCTCTTCCACTGAGAAAAGCCTTCAGCCTTCAGCTAGCAGCATCTACGCTAACAGCCACTTCTCACACACACCTGGCGATAACACCTGTAGCTCCTGTAGCTCCTGCAGCAGCTGCCAGTAGTTCCTCATTGAACGCTGACTGCTCCGTCACTGCTGTGGTTGGACACAAGTGCAGAGCTCCAAGCCTGACAAGAGGATCTTAGGAGTGCAGCTGCCTTGCTAGGTTACCTGTAGAGGAAACAACAAAGGCTAACAGTCAACGTTTTGCAGACAGTGGCAGAATAAACATATACAGGATGTTTACCGTTTGCATATCTCAATCATCCAAAAGTGTTCAATCTAATGCAGAATAGTTCCATATGAATATAAGTCAATGTTGGGAGATGTGTCTGAAAAGGGAGGTACAAAAGGTAAAAGAGACAGTATGTAACAGTATGGGAGGGTTATTGAATTGTTCTGGTAGTCTCAGGTAGCTTTGAACATATTTAACTCTTGTGTTGTTGTTGTTGTACATTCTGCTGACACTAGTGGAATGTGCACATTAACTGACCACACACTGTTGTAGAGCAGTGGTTCCCAACCTTGGGGTCAGGACCCCCACTAGGAAAGTAAGAAAACTTTAAAAGTATACACAGTTTGGCCTATATCTCAGCATTTGGTTCATTTCTGTGAAGAAAATGAATTTATAAAGTTCAGATTATTATTGAAGATGTCCTGCATTGGAAAATAACCAAAGAGCTAATAGAACAATGGCCAAGCATGTGACAGAACAAAACACTGAATTTGTCTAAAACTAAATAAAGTAGTAGTTAAGATTGTTAAAAATAAAAATAAATATGTATTTATGTATAAAAAGCTCCATAAAATATTAGGAAAACTAATTTCTACTCAGTATTTAATAATCTGCTTTAAATTCATCCAAATCTCTGGTTTTACACAAACGTCAGGTTCATTGTACAGTTTATCTATTTTTCTTGTTATTGTTAGACATTGAATATGCGATATCCATTAAATACATCAGTTTACTCAGTGACAGAGAGGGGCTCCCTTAAGGAACAAGGTTGGGAACCACTGCAGAGGAACAGAACTGCAGTCGTTACACTGGTTTTAATGTTTACTACTGAGTATAAATGGTTTCCAGGGGAAACATCATCACTGATGATGACGACTTACTGTAGCCATGCTGTATTTGTCCTTTTTTAAAAGAAACTAATCAGTTCTTCTGAACAGAAGTTATTGTTTATAAGGTGTTTGCACTGAGAGTTTTATGCATACCTACAGGAGAACTATTGAATCAGAATGTACTGCAATGTCTATGATTAAAGTGAGCGTTCCTAACACTGTGCTTTGGCTCTCATTGACTTGAGACTCTTCAGTGTCTGCAGGAACTGACACGTGTGAGGTCATTTTTCACAGTCTGCACTGTTGCTAAGATTTAACACCATACTAGTGAGCACAAAGGAAATAACAAATGCTTCACATCACTTCCGACCTTTCTCCATTCAACGTTATTAAATTACAGCACAGGGTTGTATGACATTCAGATTGTAGATCCCTTTAGTTCCCTTTATGCTACAAAAAATCTAAACAAAACATTTAAAATACATTTTATTAAGAAATAAATACTACCTTGCACGATGAAGTCCTGAGGAAGAACTTCACAGTCTCACAGCCTGAGGGAAGAGTCTGGTGGCACAGCAGCAGAAGCTTCTGTACCTCTTCCCAGATGGCAGCAGGGCCAAAAGTATTCAGTTTGGCACAAAAGAATCAAAGACGCCCACAGACGCGTGCAAAGAGAGCAGGTTACAGGCCTTTACTTGTTGTTTGGCTGTGAACAACAAAAGACGATATAAAAATGTACACAAAAACAAACAAAAAGTATGTTGTTAGTTCCAGGCCGACCCATAAGGGATAAAAAACTATTTATTTTAGAGGGAAAATTCACTGATTATTGATAAAGCTGCTGATATAGTGTTTAAGAAATTAAAATATAGGCAAAATTGTCAACCAATTCTAGAAATGAAGTGAGAAAATAAAAAGAAATAGAAATACATCAGTACTGTAAAAACTACAAGCCCTTCTACATGATCAGAAATATCGGTGCATATCAGAGGACATGTACACTGACACTGATACAATAGCCACACATCCAACCTCTGATCAATACTGAGCTTCTTGGAGTGGCAGAACACTGAACAGCAGTGGTTAGCGACTGAGACCCCTGCTTCGGGTCAGCCTATTCAGAAACATTGTGTGTAATCATATGGCAAAAAAAGTTCTTTATTTCTTGCATTTATATTTGGAACAGACTCAACATTAACAATGGATACAAAAAACAAATCACTTACACATTCCGTCAAGAGCATTTTCTTAAATATTGTTTTTGGTTCCATAAGTACATAAATGAATGAGCAAGGAGAGAACAAAGGCAGGTACAGACCGACAGTGGATTAAATGTCCAGCAATGTACTGTACAGGAGAAATGTTTTCAATCCAGCAAACATTTGGCACATATCATTTATTATATATATATAAATATATAAAACACACAAAGTGCTGGAAACCCACACCATATGATTGTGTTTACACAAGCAAAAGCTTCCAGTGTTTCAAGAAGCAGGTTTACTGAGTTACGTGGTTATCTTTGCTGAATGCAACAATCGGGATGGGACAGACAGGTTCAGCCTTTCACTACAACTGAATAAAGCTGCCTCTGGGAAACAGGCTGCTGCAGGTGTGGTAGTGTGTGCTGTGTGCTGGCTGGAGCTGGATTACAACCAGTAAGTCTTTCCTCAGTGACCTCAGCATGCTCTTTACCTCAGGAGGTGTATGCTTAAGAGACTCATAAAGGTGACTCATAAATACTTGAGGTTTGAGCTCATGCTGATATTGTTCACTACACACATTCAATAACAGACAGAGCACATGTATTGTCAGCAATTACACTCAAATTATATAGCTAGGTACACTGAACTTTAAAGCTGCAGTAGGTCACTTATAAAATAACATTTTGTCATATTCACTTAAACTTTCACTATATCCTGACAGTAGAACATGAGACAGATAATCTGTGAAAATCATCTTCACTCACCATCATTGTAGTTTCCCCAATCATAACAGTCCCCCACGCAAAACGTTGAGCCAACGTATGGCACCAAACTACTAGCTACTATGACTTAATTGTCACTGGAAGAAATTGCCTTCCATTTTTTATGTTTTCTTTCGCAATTTCATTGTAAAACTATGTCTAAAAACATAAAACGTGCATTGCAAATTTTAGAAAATATGCCGTGAAGTCACTTTAGGCCACAACAACCACAGAACAAGCCAGGGAAATCAATGCTCATTCCTGCAAATACCATTACGAGCCCTAGGAGGAGCTCTTGTGCACAGATTATCTGTCTCATGTAGAACTCTCAGGATAAATCAGTTTTAGCAAATATGACAAATTGTATGCAGCTTTAAATATTGTTCATTTGTAATTGGAGCTTGTGTGCATGTCGCAAATCCACTATTTACAGGGATACATGTATTTACAACAATATACACAGACAGTGCATTAGCAGCTTCAACTCAACAACCACTGAAGGCCATTGGAAGGATCGGACACGGAGAACAAAACAGCATCCCAGAAGCACCAAAATAAGACGGCTGCTTCTGTACATTTCACTGTTATTTTATCTGTACAACAAACACAATTAAGGTCAGTAAAATACACAGCAGTCTCTGGGTTCATGTCAGGTACATATAGAACAAAATGGGAACAGTGAATTTAGGATTTGATTTTCCAAATCTGAACTGAACCGAATCAGATGTAGAACCAGAAAAATAATAATCAATGAATTGTTATTTATCAAATTAAAATACCAAACAGTGTGGAGCTGCAACCTCCCCACATTCTGACTGTAAACTGAATCTATTGGATTGGATTTTAGGACTGCTGCTCAAACTAAAGGAGTCATTTAAAGACGTAACTTGTCATTTGTCATCATCTTCTTGGACTGTAGCAGAATTAATAAAAAAATGATCGATAGCTTTATTTGTTTAAAGTGAACAGACACATTGGTTGCAACTGTGCTAACATGAAATGTAAACAGTTATGTGAGCACTCAGCAGCCAGGTTTTCCATCCAGATGGAATCCTTGCTTCAATCTAATACCGTTACATAATTATTAGGAGTCAGTTCATAGAGATAAGCAGTAGGTGGCACCAATTCTCCAGTTGGAAAACCAGCAGCAGAGGGCGCAACAAGATGACGCCATTAAAAGAGCGCCAGCGTATTAATGTGAGGACGGTTCCTTCAGAGCTGTGTGCAGAGATCATGGATGTATTACAGAGCCGTCGGAGCGATGAGGAGACTGCCGGAGCAGAAACAGCTCATCGTCATGTGACTTAAACGTTCACTATGTCAGAACTTATTCAGAGAAAGTGTCTCCATCTCCCATTAAGAGCATCAACTCTTTTTCCTAAAAGACAAAAACCATCTCAAGCAAACACAAAAACTTTAGAGCGTAAGTGAGCAAAGTTTTTTTCTAATTTTGCCGTTTCCATTAAACTTTCAAAATACGCTGATGGAAACACAACCAGTGAGCAGTTCTCAGCTTGGAAAAACAAAGAGTGAACACTTCGTTTGCATGAAGTCATTCTGCCATGGAAAGATCTGAATGTTATTTAAATAAGGATAAGGTGGCATTCAGCTGTGTGAACTGACCATTCGTCCTGTTTGCAAATCATGAATGGAATTACACAAAAACACTTAATGGTTATCACTTACTGTGCAACTCTACCTTTAATGTACCTGCACACTAGCAGTTCAACAGCGTGCCCACGATGTCATCACTCTATGGTCATCAGCCCTGAAACTGAACCCCAGTCAACCCCACTGGATTACCCACTACATACTGCTGTCAGTCTGATGGCTCACTACTGGAAGCTGCAGCACTTTATGAAAAGTGTTCAGTGTCAGTATCAGTGTTGGATTTGTCAGCAGAGGAGCTCAGTGTCCGTTGCCGCCCTCAGACAGGATGCGGCTGGGCTCCGTGAACTTGGCCGTGGCTATGTAGAACAGGGCGGGGCCGGGCACAAGGGCCAGTAGCGGCAGGTCCTGCTCCAGCTTGTCCAACCGGGAGATGGAGATGATGCCGTACGCGTGGAGCAGCCAGTGGCTGAACAGGACTACCAGACGCTTCTTCTTAGCAACCAGGTTCTTGAACGACTGTGGCAGCAGAGGGTGAGCACACAGAGAGAGGAAACAGGTTAGAATGAATATTACGAGAACAGATCAATGACATCAAAATAAAATAATATATATATTATATAAATAATATAATAAAAGAATGGTTTGTTTTTTTTATCTGCTACATACTACACACAGTGTAGTGTGTGCTGTTACCTGTATCTCAGAGGCAGACATGTAGACAGCCAGTGTGACCAGAGACAGGACCAGTATGATGTAGGGGAATGCATAGTCTGAAACATACAAATAGTGACTCACAGCTGCACAATTAAACATTATTATAAACACAACAAACTCTTAACAACAAGTTGCAGTAGGATGTGAAGTCAGCAGCAGAGGCCACGAATACTCACAGAGCAGCCCTCCGCCCACGGCCTGCAGCACAGTGAGGATGGGGAAGAAGTACAGAGCGGCGTAGATGCTCTTGAAGCGGTCAGATTTGCCCAGGCCGCATGCTATCTTCTTCACCAACAGGGGGCGCAGCAGCATCATCAGCACCAGGCAGAAGGCGTAGTAGATTAACACAATGGTGTAGCTGAGGAGGACAATGACAAGACAGGAGTCTGCTTAAGACAATAAGCTCTAACAATACACAGCAAATCACAATGGACCTGTGTTTACAGAAAGAGTGACAACTTTTATGTAACAATAAAATCTACTCACGACTGGATTCAACTCACCATACTGGTAAATGGTAAATGGTAAATGGACTGTACTTATATAGCGTCTTTCTAGTCTTTCGAACACACATTCATACACTGATGGCTGTGGCTGCCATGCAACGTGCCAACTGCTCACCAGAACAGAAACTCATCATTCACACACACTCATACACTGATGCACAGCATCAGGAGCAACTTGGGGTTCAGTGTGTTGCTCAAGGACAAAAATCTATAAAATACATTTTCTCTTCCATTTTCTTTATCCACTTATAGAATCCTTGTTTTATTTCTGAGGTATAAACTGTGCAAAACTGTGTTTATCACAGTTCTTGGAACGTGTTGTCAAGCAGTTGTAGGGCTGCAATAACATTTAAATCATAATATGGCCATGTGATATATCAGAGAAGCTGCAATTTTTTGACAAAGGTAAAATGTGTGACAAATAATGAAATATTGTAGTTCTGAAGAGATGTCCTGGCCTGGTTCTCCAGGATTTAGGAAAAACACACACACACACAACACAAATTGAACCCCTCCCACAAATCTCTGTCTCTGTGTTTTTGAATCGATCGATACAGTATCACAAAACAGTAGTGCAATACAGAAGTGTATCAATATCTTCTTACACCCCCTAGTACGAGCACAGTTCCCCAATGTTTGAATGAACACTGCTTGGACATGTGTCATATGTCAGATAATACAAGACCTCATATCAGCGAGGATTTCAAATGCTGCAGTCTGTACTCACAGCGGGTAGACGGCCTCCTGGGTGCAGTGTAACGTGTTGACATAGTCTGGACTGGGGTTGTACAGCATGGTGTACCAGTCCGACAGCATCTGGACTCGGCAGGAAAGGATGCTGAGCTTTCCCACCGGCTCTGTGACCAGCAGGGTGACCACGGCCGACACACTGCACTCCAACATGGCTGTGATGTGCTGCAGCAGAGCACTGGAGCTGAACACACAACACCAGATCAGACAGCAGATACACGAGAACTGAATTTCTTCATCATGTCCCATCCAAACACACTGAACACATCTCAAATATAAAATATTACAGCAGAAAATAAACAAAACCAATGGCAGAAATAAAGCACATTCAGAGTTGGCAGGATGTTATAGAGCAGCAGTAAGGTCAGACATGGACCCTGTTGGACCTGACATCAAAGTACAGGTACACTCAAACACACTGTCTGGTTTCCATTTGCTTCACTGTAATATTAGTACAATGATGTGTTTGCTGTTGTTGTTCTGTTTGCTGCCATGTAAGCAGCAGATGTTTGTGAATACTGCATGTTCCAACTTATTTCACCATTCAACTAGTAATCATAATTAAATAAAAATAAAAATACAGTTGTGGCCCCTGCAGTGGTGTGTTGAGATGTGAAAGCATCAGAATTCTACACAGTCAGAGAAAGCTACAGCGATCGCTCTGCTAATACAGTTCAGTTTCAGTTCAGGAGTATTTTCTGCAGGGCTGCTGACAGTGCAGGTAACACATGAGGGATCAGGCTGACACCGGCATTTAGGCTACGTTCACACTGCAAACCTTAACACTCAATTCTGATGTATTGCTCACATCTGATTATTTTTGTGTGGCATGTAGAGAGGAGAAGTGAGATCTGACCACAAGTGGTGACTGGTGACTCATGTGGAGATGCATTTTAATGCCAGATGTGAACTGCTGTGCTTACAGCTCTCCACTTGTGATCAGATCACCCATGTTAATACCAGGCGTAAACAAGGCCTCTGACACAAGCAGAAATGAATTCAGCCCCACTGAAGTCAGCTCGCTCTGTAGCAGCGCTCTGCTGTCATTATGTGGGTTTAAGTCCCATGTCAGTAAAGTGAATGTTCTTTGTGTTGCGCTTCTGAAAATTGCTGTACGAGACATATGAGATGCAACATGACATTAGACAACTGAATCGACAAATATAACCAGTAGTTGGCTGTTGGTTCCTATAGTAATTGTGAGTGTCTGTTTCATTTCTGTAATTTGATTTATATGACATTTAAAATGAAAACGAATGGTGAAAATGTGACACTCACTTTGAGTCTGCAGCAACGGGACAAATCCATTTGTTCTACTTAATTCATCAAAATACTCCCAACAGCCTCAACCGGCTTCATTAAACACAGTTCCTGCCATAAGCCTGGTTTACTGAAGGGGGTCTGAATGACTGCTTTATGAAATACTCTAACACGATAAGGACGGACAATACCGAAATCCGATATCATGTGACACATTTACACTGGGGTCTGTTTCACCCAGTGTAGGCTCATTTTGTGATAATGACTGGGTTTTCAATTACCTAGAGAGACAGAGTGTGAGTGTGTGTGTGTGTGTGTCCCAACCTCTTCTTCCCAGAGTACCACTCGATGAAGAACCAGTGCAGCACTAGTGGTAACATGGCCATGAAGCCCAGATAGAGCCAGTCGTAGAGCTCGGGGGACTCGGTGCAGCGCTCACACACCTTCTGGAGGTTGGTCCGCTCTCCGCGAGGACAAACCTGGCAGGACAGACAAACCACAATGTAATCTAGACCATGACGATGCATTTCACTGCCATTCACAGGTGGCAGGTAGGCAATGGCCAACAGTCCCACACACACAGCCACCAGTGAGACACAACTGTGACGTTTAGTACTCACGCCACACTCTCCCTCCACTGATCCGTTCACCATCACCCTGCCACAGTACAGGCCTGGACACGTTGAGCTCATGGCCACAGCTGCAAGGACATACAGAGACACCATACTGCAGTCAACAGTCTGGTAGCACAGTCACAGGAGACAGAGGACAGCGCTTTGGAAAATATTAATACAGTGTTGGTCTTGCTTTGGAACAATGTGATGTTTGGCCTCTTTTGAACACTTGTGAGTACATGACTGGTTGTTTTACTTGCCAGATTCCATACTTGGAAATGTACATTTACTGGTAGGAAAACGAGCTTTGTGGCCTTCATCAGGGAGAGCACGGAACCCACAGAACAGCAGCACTACCGGACCGTTAACGTTAACGTTGGGGTTTACATATTCAGCTCATATTCAACTGTGCTATAACGTGAAGTATGTTCTTCGTTCTCCTGTATTCTGTCTGAAAGAGGGCCCATTTCATCTAGCCATTTTAGTTCATTTAGATATGGCAGTTATTATGGGACTAAGCACAACGTTAGCTGACGGGCCGGTTTTGAAGAACGCTATTTTCCCGGCCATGAAGACCGTTCTCCGTTAAAAGAGAGACCTCTCCTTCAGGCTGCTAACTCACAGCTAGTTAGCTAACGTTAGCTAGTGAAAGCACACTGTTAACGTTAGCTCGGTCACACACACACACACACACAGCTGTCAGCAGGTGAAAAGTAAAAATGAAAGACAGCTTTAACTTACCCATGGTGAGACAAATAATGAGGAAAAACAAGGTGTTCTCGCCTCAGTGCTACCGTATTTTCATTCGCTACCGAAACCGGATGCGGACGACAAAAACGTAGCACAAACAGGAAGTACAACACCTCTTTTTTTTTTTTTTTTACAGGAAGACAGCTGCTCTGTCCCCTCTGCTCTTACTTTTTACAATCTCTTTGTTTCTCTTCATGTTTTCCTGTACCTGTCCCTACTGAAGTTTATTTGTTACTTTATATTTTGTCCACAGACTGGACAGTGCTCATGAATGGCATGCAGTAGCTAAGAGACCTTTAAACTTTAAACTTTTTTATTCTATTTTCTACACAGTGTCAAACATTTCAGCATACCCTGTCTGTTGTTGATTTGTTTTTGTCAAAAAATTAAAAAAATAAAGTTAAAGTTTAAATGTTGTGTAAAGGGTAATGTCTCTGTAAAGTGTGTTTAAATGTTAGTGTGAAATACATAGAGGACAGTAATGTTTGCCACCCAGTAACCTGCATCCTTCTTATTGCGAGGCTGCCATCTACTGGAGATTCTTGGTACTGTCCATGTTTTGTCCATATACATAAATAAACAACCTCTTCTGCTCCCTTCAGTTTGCTTTATGTATCTGCTTTCCTCTAACCTCAAAGAACGACCAAGGTCAAAACCGCTCAGTTTCTAATACATTGTCCCCTCAGCGACACACCCGAGGAACCAACGTTATGGCAGCTCCATAGTCAGAAACGTGAATAGCGAAGCCAGCGGCCATAGTTAAATGCATCCCGGGCCAGAGCGGGCGACATTGAATCAAATTTAAAACTGCTGGCTAAAGATAAACGTAAATACAGTAAGATATCCAGTGGCGGTAAGAACCGTTACGCCAATCGGAGGTCACTAAGATTAATGTGGAGTGGTGTGTAACTATGCTAAGACAATGTCGGACACCGTAGTTTTCTCTGGACCCCCCCCAGGACCAGTGACGACATGTATAGCCGCATGTCGTCATTCCACCCGGCTGTCGAGGTGGTGTCCAGCAAACGATGTGGGCCATATAACGGAAGCCTTTTGGGAAAACCGGTCTGATTAGGACGGCATCCATCCCACTTGGATGGAGCGGCTCTCTTATCTAGAAATATGGCGAAGTTTATTTCTAAAACCGACAGTCCAGAGTTAGGACCAGGAAGCAGAGCTGATTCTTACACACTCCCGCGCTTTCTTTAGAACAGTCACCCACCCAAAACCCCATAGAGACTGTGCGTCCCCCACCACCTAAACTATTTAAAAAATAAAAACAAGAGGAGTTCAACATAAAAATCTAATAAAAATTAAAACTAACTCCTCAGTAGCACAAAAAAGAGAATGAAATGTGGGTTGTTAAATATCAGGTCTCTGTCCTCTAAAGCGTTCTAGTGAATGAATTAATATCAGATTATGATATTGATTTACTGTCTTACGAGACCTGGTTGTCCCACGAGGAGTATGTTAGCCTAAATGAATCCACCCCCCAGTCATATTAATACTCACATTCCGAGGCACAGGCCAGGAGGTGGAGTAGCAGCTATATAATCGAGCGTTTTAATGGACCCTAAACCTAAACTAATTATAATTCATTTGAAAGCCTTGTTCTTAGTCTTTCACCCAAACTGGAAAACACTGCAGCCAGTTCTATTTGTTATAGTGTACCGCGCCCAGGACCGTACTGATTTTATATCTGAATTTTCAGAGTTTCTATCAAGCTTAGTCCTTAAATCAGATAAAGTAATTATTGTAGGTGATTTTAATATTCATGTGGATGTTGACAATGACAGCCTTAGTAATGCATTTATATCATTAATAGACTCAATTGGCTTCTGTCAGAGTGTAAATAAACCAACTCATTGTTTTAATCACACTCTTGACCTTGTTTTATCATATGGCATTGATATTGAACATTTAATAGTCTTCCCACATAATCCTTTCCTATCTGACCATTATTTAGTAACTTTTGAATTCATACTATTAGATTATAAGCCATTAGGCAAAACTTCCTACAGCAGATGTTTATCTGACAGTGCTGTAGCTAAATTTAAGGAGGAGATTCCTTCAGTGTTTAATTCAATGCCATGTCTGAATTTAACAGAGTCCTATAACAACTTTAGTCCCTCTGAAATTGATAATCTTGTCGATAGTGCTACAGGCTCACTACGATCAACATTAGACTCTATCGCTCCTATAAAAGGAAATTATTAAAACATAGGAGACTAGCACCTGGTATAACCACCAAACCCGCCAGTTAAAGCAAATAGCTAGGAAATCTGAAAGGAAATGGCGCTCTTCCAAATTATCAGAATATCGCTCAAATTGGCAAGATGATCTTAAGATTTATAGAAAGGCCCTCCGTAATGCCAGAGGAGCCTATTACTCAGCACTAATAGAAAAAATAAGAACAACCCTAGGTTCCTCTTCAGCACTGTAGCCAGGCTGACAGAGAGTCACAGCTCTATCGAGCCACATATCCCCATAAACTTAAGTAGCAATGACTCATGAGCTTCTTCTATAATAAAATTATTACTATTAGAGAAAAAATTAATCACCAACTGCCATCAACAGTTATCAGTGGCTCTCCAAGTTCAGGGACTTCTGTCAATGTAAACTTAGATGTATATTTAGACTGTTTTTCTGCTATCGATCTTCATCAGTTAACTTCAATCATTTCTTCATCGAAGCCATCAACCTGTCTGTTAGACCCGATCCCAACTAGGCTGCTTAAAGAAGTTGTTCCCTTAATTGGCACTTCTTTACTGGATATGATTAATCTTTCTTTATTATCAGGATATGTACCACAGTCCTTTAAAGTAGCTGTAATTAAACCCCTTCTTAAAAAGTCTACTCTTGACCCAGGGGTTTTAGCCAACTATAGACCGATTTCTAACCTCCCGTTCCTCTCTAAGATTCTGGAAAAGTAGTCGCCAAAGAGTTGTGTGACTTTCACATAACAATAGTTTATTTGAGGATTTTCAGTCAGGATTTAGAGTTCATCATAGCACAGAGACAGCTCTGGTTAAAGTTAATAATGACCTTCGACTGCTTCGACAATGGACTTGTCTCTGTACTTGTATTATTAGATCTTAGTGCTGCATTTGACACCATTGACCATGATATTCTTTTACAGAGACTTGAGCATCAAATTGGCATTAAAGGAACTGCCCTAACCGGTTTAAGTCATACTTATCAGATCGTACTCAGTTTGTACATGTTAACGATGAATCCTCCATAAATACTAAAGTTAGTCATGGAGTTCCACAAGGTTCTGTACTTGGACCAATACTATTTACTTTATATATGCTCCCTTTAGGCAACATTATTAGGAATCACTCCATTAACTTTCACTGTTATGCAGATGATACGCAGTTATATCTATCAATCAAACCCAATGAAATTAATCAATTATCTAAATTACAAACATGTCTTAAGGACATAAAATCCTGGATGACCTGCAATTTTCTGATTTAAACTCAGAAAAACCGAAATTCTTGTTCTTGGCCCCAAAAACCTTAGAGACTCATTGTCTAAAGATATAGTCACTCTAGATGGCATTAACTTGGCCTCTAGCACCACTGTCAGGAATCTTGGAGTTCTCTTTGATCAGGATTTGTCATTTAACTCCCACATAAAGCAGACCTCTAGGACTGCCTTCTTCATTACGTAATATTAGAAAAATTAGACACATACTATCACAGACAGATGCAGAAAAACTAATCCATGCATTTGTTACTTCAAGGCTGGATTACTGCAACTCTTTATTATCAGGTTGCCCCAATAAGTCCATTAAAACGCTCCAATTAATTCAGAACGCTGCAGCACAGTACTACAGGAACTAGAAAAAGAGATCACATCTCTCCTGTACTAGCTACTCTGCATTGGCTCCCTATAAAATGTAGAATTGAATTTAAAATACTCCTCCTCACCTATAAAGCTCTTCATGGTCAGGCCCCTTCATATCTTAAAGAGCTCATAGTACCCTATTACCCCACTAGAACACTACGTTCTCTGAATGCTGGGCTACTTGTGGTTCCTATAGTCTCTAAAAGTAGAACAGGAGCCAGAGCCTTCAGTTACCAAGCTCCTCTCCTGTGGAACCGGCTTCAGTTGTGGTTCGGGAGGCAGACACCCTCACCACTTTCAAGAGTAGGCTTAAGACATTCCTCTTGATAAAGCTTATAGTTAGGGCTGGATCAGGTGAGTCCTGAACCATCCCTTAGTTATGCTGCTATAGGCCTAGACTATCGGGGATTTCCCATGGTGCACGAGCTACTCTCTCCTCTCTCTTTCTGCACTCATTCATGTCCCTTTAATGCATGTTACTAACTCCACTTCTTCCCCGGAGTTCTTGTGCTTTCTCGTCTCGCAGGTTCTCATGGATCCTGGTGGAGCCTCCTGCCATGGTCCTGCTTGACTGCCATTGCCAATACTGTTGTTGCTGTGCACCTGTCTGTCTGTCTGTCGCTCTCTCTCTCTCTCTCTCTCTCTCTCTCTCTCTCTCTCTCTCACCCCCAACTGGTAGACAGACGACCACCCACCTAGAGCCGGAGGATCTGTCCTAGGTTTCTGCCTTTTAACAGGCAGTTTTTCCTTGCCCTTGTCGCCAAGTGCTTGCTCATGGTGGTACTGTTGGGTCTCTGTAATTAATGTTAAAGAGTTCGGTCTAGACCTGCTCTATTTGAAAAGTGTCCTGAGATAACTTCTGTTATGAATTGGCGCTATACAAATAAAATTGAATTAATTGAATTAACCCTCATTCCATTCAGCTCAGTTCTTCTCCTTTCTCACACACAGTTGGATGCTTTCGAATAACGTGTAGTGTGTTATTCAAATAACTGCGTTGTAATCTCAAAGTCCCTGCACACTCACGGCCCACCTACACAAGTCTGTTCACTTATTTTGCCTGAGTAGACTGTGTGGGCGTGAACAGGCTGTGCTTCGGTGACATTTGTCTGATCGTCTTATCAGGTTCACATTACACCTTTATATGTATAATTCCAGCATAGCCTCACCTTCAGGTGATTCAGTGGAGTTTCAGTGTGGGGACAGCTGATAGAGGTAGCAGACTGATCACTCTGTTATGTCTTTCATTTTTCAAAGACAAAAGAAACCAAACCAGAAAGACACAGATTATTATCAGTGAGGATCTGCCTGTACATACGCTGCATCGGGTGGAGCTCAGGATGTAGAGCGGGTCATTCACTAATCAGAACGATGGTGGTTCGATCCCTGGTTCATCGTGCTGCATGCTGAAGTCTTTCTGAGCAAGATACTGAACCCCAAATTGCTCCTGTATAAATGTATTTGTATGCGTATGTGTGTGAATAAATTAGTTTCTGTTTCTGATGACTAGTTGGCACCTTGCAACACACATCAGTGTATGAATAGGTGAATGTAACATAGTGTAAAGTGCTTTGAGTGGTTGGAAGTTAGAAAGGTGCTCAACTCATTTACCTTTTACCTCTATGGTGCCCTTCCAATGGAGAAAATGTGAGGGGGCAGTCCAGAGTCTAGTGGAGAAAATCGAATGAAGTGTCCTCTAGGGTGCTAATCCTAACCCTGACTAAGCTTTCACCATAAATGCATCACAACATTCTGAGCATTGGTGCCCTTTTACACCCTTGCCCCTTAAACAGCCTGAGTCCACCAATGCAGTACACAGTGCTCTTATGAAGGAGTGGTGTAAGGGGAGCGTTTGTGCTCTTTACCTATGTAACCTTTGATGTTTGGGGACACACAGTGGTCACGTGGAGATACATTCTGCACTTGTTCATGACAAAAATAAATAAATAAATCACTCAAGTAATCAACATTGTACAGGATTCTTTGGTTCTTTTACAATGAACACATGTCCAAAATACTACATTCAAATATGAATGTTCTGAAAAACAAAACAACATATATTTATATATATCAGAAAACAGAACACTGACTAATATCTTGTTACTGAACCATGTATGTGTGCTCACGCCCTGAGTGTCTGCTGTAAAGCTCAAGAGGATAATAACTTCAGGTTAAGGGCTTCTTATTGATTAGTTTGTGTAATCAATCAATAGAACCATGCTAATCAACTCCCTACTTAGAATCCATCAGAGAGCAGCAGAGGATGGTGGCTGTTTGATAGTAAGCTGGTTTTCTATTGTTATATATGGTTATGGAGGTCTCTGTCTGCATAAGTATTAAAGGTCCAGTGTGTAGGATTTAGTGGTAAATGCTGGACTCCATGGAAGGCAGACATTTCATTTTTAAAACTGCAGACAACATGCAACCTGAAGGTGAAGACTGAATTGCAAACTGGACTTTTGCAGTTCAATTTCAAGTATGTCCTGATTTGAGCTAAAAAGTGTCTTTTTCATGGGCATTTACTCAATGTTCAGTTTAATCAGAAACCAGCTTAAAAAGATTGTGTGAAATTTTGGAAATGTCATTGTTACTTTGGCAGTGTTATGTTTAGGAGTACTCTGAAAATCATTAATCAGTGGAGTTTTTACTTTGATATTAATTTTGGCAATAATTTAGCATTTTCAAATTTGAAACTGGATTTACATTTCACTTGATTTTGTCATAATTGGCATGTGGAAAATGAATAAAATCATCTGTATATTGGCAGCCATAGACTTCCAAACATGGTGAATAAAAACACAGCACTGTAGAATGGGCACTTTATGCTGCTCACTCTCTGATCATAGCTGCTGCTGACCAGCTCAGGACTTTTATTGTAGCACATGCTGATCTTGTCTAAGTCCACTAACATCAGCAATCCGACTGAGAGCCGCTCTGTACCGCTGTAGAGGACCAGTAAAGTCAGGGGGACAAACCAGCTCCGGTAGGAATCCCCAAACTGCTCCAATCATATCGTACAGCCTATATCAAATTCCAACAGTAAACAGCAAACACATGAGAATATCATTTTACATTTTACAGGGACAAAGATGCAAAAATCTATCACCAGTTACCATGGCAACTGTATGAAACGTCACACGAAGCTGTGAGCCCGTTCACGGGGAGGGCGTGGCTTCAGAGAGGGAGAGAGCAAGGCACTGTTGCAGGTAGAGAGACCCTGAGAGAGAGAGAGAGAGAGAGAGAGAGGGGACGCGAGTGGAGGAGCTCGTGCAGGAGCTCGTTCACACCTGGACTGTGTTGAAGCAGCTGTCCTCCTCTCTGTAGCACACAGCTGTTACTAATGGCCACAGAGAGAGGCAGAAAGCAGGGCTAGTTTTATTTTTCTGACAGAAATCAACAGGGTCTCCTCCAGCCGCGGAGAACACAGCTGAGGACGAAGACACGGACTGACTTTGTCTTCATCTCCTTAACGAGGATTCCAAAGGCCAAAACCCCGACCGACACAGATACAGTCCTGTACCGGGGCTCACTGCTACTGCAGCCCGCTGTGTGCTCAGGAGGACCCGGGAGGCTCACTGAACACCGCTGGAAGATGGAAACAAGCGTTATGACTGACACAGAGGCTTAAAGCTGGTGTGTGTGTGTGTGTGTGTGTGTGTGTGTGTGTGTGTGTGTGTGTGTGTGTGTGGACAGACTGAAAGAAAAATGGTCCAAGTTTGCGGAGAGGAAGGACATAAAGCATGTTTCACAACCGAATAACGGACATTTCTCCTCATTTAGCAAACATAACTGAATGTTTGTCCGGCTGGCCACATTTCTGTCGGAATGTAAACAAATAACTTCCCGGTAAGTTATTTAACCGCTCTTAAACAGAGGCACAAATATGTTCAACAAATATTCAGTTAGGTTGTTGGTAGGTTTTTATATACAGCCTTTGGGCCTTTTGTGATAACATTGGGTTAGGTTTAGCTGCTATTGCTAACTAGCTTATTATAGCAAAAAGGTATGTTGTTATTTTGTGGCTCCAGGCTGAAACGTGTATTTCAGACTATAACGTTAGTTTGTAGACTAAATACTGTGGAAGGTATGTCATTTTCAAATCATCGTAATACCTGTAGCAAGGAATTAAGAAATGCAGTGGTACATGTATTATATATATATTATACTTGTACTAATATATCACAGTATGGCAAAATATTACAATTTCATATAGTTTAACAAGCAAAAGGAATAAACAAATACCAAATGTGCTGCCATATAGTGTGTGTTAGGGCTGTGTATTGGCAATACGATACCTATCACGATACAGGTTTTACAATTTTTTTTAAATATTACAGTTTAGGAAAACTGTTTTTATGGAATCAGATTTGTATTTATCACAGTCCCTGTAACCTCCAACATCATATATATCGCTGTATATCAATATATATATAGGTTGGGGATATAAACATAAAAATCAACACTGTTTTTGAGAATCATTTTTGATACTTATCCAGCTCTGGGTCAGTCAGTATTATATAAACGAAAAAAAAAATGAAATAATATACAATACAATTACATTTCCACAAGAACTTCAGTTAAACAGACAACAGGTGGTTCTGCCGATAAAGAACATCTTAAAGCTTTGACGAACTAACAGTAAAATCCTATCAGAGATGTGAATTCTAGATAATAATCTGCTCTGAAATGGAATTTATGTGAGCTCAATCTGTGCACATGCACTTTTTATGATGGGCTCCTGTGGATCAATCTGTACGTGTCCTCTTAATCCTGAGGGCTGGCTGTCAACAGAAGAAGGTCACTGGGGAGTTTTATGCTACACAAAATGCACAGCCAGTGGCAGTAACAACCATATAACATTGGTATCCATCATATATAACACTTTTGTTTTACCCTGCCATTATCAACTTAGATATTGCTCTATGACAGTTCTGTCAAACCAGCCTAATCAGTCAGTGTTAGCCATTGAACACTGATTTGACTTCCCCTTGTCTTTTCTTTTCCTCTGTTTATGGATGTGGGCATAATGAAATAGAAAACTTCAAGTATCAGAAGCTTCATTTGAATCCAGGAAACCGACACAGACCGACTCTAATCTGAATGGAGTTGTGTGAGACGAGGGATGAGCTCTGTTAGCACGGCCCTGCTGGGCAGCAGTGGCACCAACTACACAGCTGACACCTCGGGTCCGGGCTTCACCGGCCAGCTGGGCACCGCCACACCTGTTGTGCCGAGGTAAAGTCACTCTGTCCATCCAACTGTTCATCTTTCCTTTCTGCTTTGGAATTAGAGCTGCAACAATGGGGCACTTGCAACATCCACACACCCTTTCCTGGGGCTACAGTAGCTGACACAAACATGTTTTTAACAGTCAAAATAGAGAAAGTAGCTCATTTCAGCAGAGAAGCAATTAGTAAGAAGAATTGATTTTATATCTCAAATGTAGAGTAAACTAATGGCCTTTAAAATAAATCAGATATCAACCCCACAGTATTAGTGTTGTCATTACAAATGATGAACTCCTCCAGGACTTATATAAATAAACATCTATAATTGCTGGCATGTTCCAGAGGCTCTGGGAGCCCTGAATCCATCAGGGTTTCATGGTGACATAAGAAATCACAGTATGTGTGCGATATTTGATTTTTTATTCACACTGTATGTAGTTACCCCCATTTTCAATGTTTTATTTTAAAGGAACCAACCGTTAACCAGCTACACTGCTAGACACTGAGGTGTACCTCCACTTATTGTTTTGCAGTAGACAAATTTAGATCTTTCTATATAACTTTTATGTTAAGACTGTGGACAAAAGTGTAGTTTTTCTTCCTCTTCGTGTCATTGATTTCAGGGGGAATCCAACCAAATTCGACCCGGTGGCAGGTATTACATACATAAAAATATTCTCACATCTGTAAGTTGACTTGCAGAAATAACAACTGTTAAATTCATATTTCATTTAATTATTTCTTTGATTGTAAAATGATGTTGGCTGGATGAATACATCACTTGCTACTGCTTGGTTAAACCATTGACATACAGTCATGGAAAAAATTATTAGACCACCCTTGTTTCTTCAGTTTCTTGTTTATTTTAATGCCTGGTACAACTAAAGGTACATTTGTTTGGACAAATATAATGATAACAACAAAAACAGCTCATACGAGTTTAATTTAAGAGCTGATATCTAGCCATTTTCCATGGTTTTCTTGATAATAACCAAAATCACTTAAGTTCTTACATCAATAGCTATGGCATTGTACTGCCAAAAGTGCTTTTAGGCATTCCATGTTTTCTTTTCTGTCTGTTTTAGTCACATGACTTCTGACATTGTTCTGCTGTCACAGCAGCCCATTCCTGTTGCAAAAATTCAAACAAATTTGCTTTGTTTTTGGGCTTGTGGTTCTCCATTTTGAGTTTGATGATGTTCCACAGGTTTTCAATTGGATTTAGATCTGGTGATTGAGCAGGCCAAGGCATGGTTTGAATGTTCTGGTTCTCCATCCAGGCTTTAACTGACCTTGCCGTGTGGCAAGGGGCATTGTCTTGTTGGAAAATCCAGTCATTCGAGGCAGGAAAGAGTTTATCAGCTGATGGAAGAAGACTGTTTTCAAGAGTAGCCCTGTACGTGACCTGGTTCATTCGCCCTTCACACAATTGCATTTGCCCTGTTCCACCCATACTGAAACAACCCCAGATCATCACCAATCACCCCCCATGTTTTACTGTAGGGGTATAACAGTCTGGTTTGTAGGCTTCTCCAGGCTTCCTCCTAACCAGTAAGTTGGCTGGAGTGGGCATCAACTCAAAATTGGATTCATCACTGAAGAGAACCTTAAAACAAAAACTTTTCCTTTCCTTTTTTTTTATTAGGTTTTTTTCTTTTCCCCTTTGTGACTTCAAACCACATTTAAAATTTTTTTTTTTTTTTTTTTTTTAAAAAAATTTTTTTTTTTTAATTCCCCCCCTTTTTTTTTGGGGGCGGGGGGGGGGGGGCGAATTCCAAAAAGAGGGGGGGGGGGGGGGGGGGGTTTTGGGGGGGGGAAGAAGAGGTTTCCTCCCTCCACCAGCTAGCAATTTGGTAGTACCATGTTGGCTTCTTTTTCTTGGTGTAATGAATGGCTGTCTTGGAGATCTTCAGTTTTTTGGCTACCTGTCTCTCACTCATGCCAATTTCCAGAAGTGCCAAGATGGCTGCCTTTGTGGCTTCACATTATTCTTTTTTTTAGGCATTATGTGAGAGCTGACATCTTCTGAGTTGTGCTACGGCTTTAATGTAAGCAGGAAACCACTCTAGGCCTTTGCATGTGCAGTGCTGCTTATGACATGAAATGGCCTCTTATATACCCTGGGAATACAATTAAGCTCAAGCATGTCAAATAGGACATAAAGTATTAAGTAGTAGTAATCAGCTGCATTTTTTGTCGTGTTCATTTCATTTTTCAGGTAATATACCTTTAGTGGTACCAGGCATTAAAATGAACAAGAAATTGAAGAAAACAAGGGTGGTCTAATAATTTTTTCCATGACTGTATATAAAGATTGACATCATGACAGCTGTCCAAAAGTGAAGCCAAGTTAGCAGATGTGGCATGGACCAAATAAAAATAATCGAAGTACACGTAAAAATGTTTTCCTAAAGATAGTTTCTTTCAGTTTAGGTAGTTCTCATCATGCTGATGTATGTTCAAGTGTTTTAATGAGTTCTTTTGAAGGTATAAAAGGGGGTTTCACGTCACGATTGGCAGCTGAGCCCGAGTGTGTTGGCAGGGTGTATGGGCAGGACTTTGATACTGCGGTGCCAACCCCAGTAACTACTGCGCAGACTCTGGCTCTGAATGACGAAAGATAGCAGCGACCTTATCAGGGATAATTTGGTTTCATCTTTGTACAGTGGGAGGAAGTTGAGACGTGACAGCCATCTTTTGTATGTCGATAGGTCAGACTATAACTAAAACCTTGACAAAATAACACAAACAGTAGTATAACACCAGGCTGCAAAGCACTGCTTTACTGCTGTCTCTGGTTCAAAGCTTCAAAACAGGGCCATCGTTTATCACAGTATATCTATGCACTTGGAAGATGATTGGATGAACCATCCATCTATCACTGTCTATCACAGCTCAGACCAGCTGCCTAGCAAGGTTCAAATAAATCATCAAATCTTGATAGCAAGATCAAGATAGTTTTGGTAGCAACCATCTGCAAAAACTCCCAAAGGCTTGTATTAAATGTCTCGCTAAGATTCATTATCTTATTCATTCTTTGGTCAGATGAGTTATTATTCAAGCATGAATCTGCCAATTTTATTATTTCATTTAACTTTTAGATACATATATATAAGATAAGCATGCTTTGCCTGTTCACCTGTCTAACCCCGAGCGTGGTTTTGTCGGACGCTTACCAATATGTATGATGGACTCCGCTTTGGCCAGATTGCATTCTTCAAGGCGGTCTTATCCAAGCTGTCCTATACTGTCCAAATGGAGCACCCAAAGAAAAGAAGAAGAAGACAATTAAATATGATCAAAACCCAGTGCAAAACAGAACTGTTGTTCTCCTCTTGGCAGATCAGACCCCATGAAACCCTGCAGAAATGATCACAGTCCAGACACAAATAGAGAAGTCTGGCTTCTTTTGTTAAATGAGAAGGAAGTTTTTGTTGAAAACCTCAAAGTAAGGTATTGAAAACAGTATTGTTTTGGTATCAGCACTGAAATGCAGGTACTGAATCACACTAGTATCAAACAATCTGAACCAAAACCCAGTAATAATAAAAGTCTTTTATTTGTTGGGATTATGAATGAAATGCTGTTAGTAGTGTGTGAACATATTGTGCCAGACTATGCTGATTATGTAAGGATTTCTCCCTCTTTTCTCTTGTTGTTTTGGTTCTTTAGGGTTGTTTCCATAGTGACTAGCCTAGTGACCGTCACCACAGAGGCCACAGTGGGAACCACAGGGAACCTATCAGCCTTCAGAGACCAAAGAGGGAGCGAGCTCAGTCAGATCCATCAGGCGTTAACCCCATCGGTGCTGAGCGCTGCTGAGAGTAACTCTGTCTTGCAGGGCATCACGGTGGCAGCTCAGGCCCTGGTACTCCTCTCCATCTTCCTCCTCTCCAGCCTTGGCAACTCGGCGGTTGTCATCGTAATCATCAAGCACAGGCAGCTTCGAACAGTGACCAACGCTTTCATCATGTCGCTGTCGCTGTCAGACTTCCTCACGGCTGTCCTATGTCTGCCGTTCTCCTTCGTCATGCTCTTCAGTAAGGATGGTATCTGGATGTTCGGGGATAGATTCTGTGTGGCCAACGGCTTTTTCAACACCTGCTTTGGTATCATATCCACCTTGACAATGACTTTGATCTCCTTTGACAGGTACTACGCCATAGTCAGGCAGCCACAGGCTAAAATAGGGCGTCAGAAAGCAACACAGTTGTTGATAGCTGTGTGGTTAACTGCAGTCATTTTCTCTCTGCCTTGGTATCTGTTGGTCCGAACACCTCCAGAAATCCATAAGCGAGGTTTCTACCACTGCATGTATGTGTTCCACTCGGGGACCTCTCGCATGGGGACGGCTTACAGCATCTCCCTTATTGTTGTATGTTATTTACTGCCCTTCTCCCTCATGTGTTTTTGTCATTATAACATCTGTAAGACAGTCCGGCTCAGTGAAATCCGAGTCAGGCCGGTGACAACATACGCATACTTGCTGCGGTTTTACACTGAAATGCGAACTGCCACCACGGTTCTGATCATGATCGTTTTCATCATTTTTTGTTGGGGGCCATATTGCTTAATGGGGTTGGTTACAGCGATGGGGGACTTCACGTTCAACCCTGCAATGGACACAGTGGCCATCTGGCTAGCCTGGGCAAACGGAGCCATCAACCCTCTGATCTATGCCCTGAGGAACCCCAACATATCCATGTTGCTGGGGCGGAACAGAGAGGAGGGCTATCGGACCAGAAATATCGCTGCGTACCTCTCCAGCCAAACCCAGAACCGTGAAATTCGGCTTAACCAAGCAGAGAGGATAAGGGACCGCTATGTGAGTCGCGTAGGGGTGAATAATAACAGCCGGCTGTCAAGTTCAAGTCCTGGAAAAGGAGGAGGGGGAGGAGAGGTGGCAATGTGGGCTTGTAAAAATCCTGCTGTGTTCTTCTGCAGGGACGCCCAACCCGACACTGCAGCACTACCCAACTCTGTCAGCGCTCCAAAGATGAAGACAGCCGACACCAGCCTGTGATATTCTGGACGAGTTCCTAACCATCTAATGATTGTGTTCATCTCATCTGTATTTGTCGTTGTGGATCTAGAGACTGCTATCACCAGTTTGTCACATATTTGGAAAATACCTGATAGTATTTATGTGTCTTCAGATCATAGACCACCACTAATTTTTTGTTCCAGGAATTGAAAAACACCACTTCAGTTGTTCATGTACTAGTATTAAACTGCAGAACTGTTTACAGTATGTGGAAAGACAAAAATACGACAGTGAAAACTCTGTTGTAGCTGCAGCTGTTGTACAATAGCTAATGACAGTTCAATAAAATTCCTTTTGGAGGACACCATGAAGTCCTCTCAAGAATCCATGGCACTTCCTCTGGAATCTCATTGATTAAACATGGAAGGGGATGCAAAACATGTCGGTAGACACCCAAGACAAGTTTGTGCTTGTGCTACAGGTCTTCATGTCAGAAATCATTTCATATGTAAATGCAGCATGTGGATATGGAAAACTGATCAAGTATCTAGCACTTCCTTAATCCTTAACCTTCCATGCTTTAAACATGTACTGTAGGCCTACATGTCATTTTCAGACTCTCACAGTTTGTTTACATGAATAAAAGGACCTGATACACTTACATTAGGGGTGGCTGTGGCTCAGAGGCAGAGCGGGTTGTCCACTAATTGGAAGGCTGTTTGTTCGATCCCCGCCACACGTCGAAGCATCCTTGAGCAAGATACTGAACCCCAAATTGCTCCCGATGCTGTGCATCAGTGTGTGAATGTGTATGAATGAGTTAGTTTCTGTTTGATGGACTTTGCCATCACTGAGTGAATGTGTGTGAAAGGGTGAATGTGGCACGTAGTGTAAAAGTGCTTTGAGTGGTCGGAAGACTAGAAAGGCGCTATACAAGTACAGGTCCATTTACCATTTACCATTTACACTTTTCCAACAAGCCACCCCTTGCTGTGGTGACTAATGACTGAGTGTCCTCCTTCAGAAGCAAAGGCCAGATAGAACCTCTGACAGTCTGGTCACACCAGAAAGTGATTGTGAGAATGCATTTTAGTCAAAGCATTCCACATCTTTTCCTCTCCACACGGACTGTTGCCTGCATGCAACCAAAGCGCGCTCAAACATGATTGCTACTACTAGTACTAAGTACTACTTGGACTACAAATGGAAACCAGAACCCTTCTGATGCCAAATCTCAGTTCATTTATTGAAGAGGCTTATCGTCTCTCAATCATCTGCAAACCATGCGTCTTTTGTGACCAGTTCATACTCCAGCAGGGCATGGTAATAATAAAGTGAATGGTGCAACATAGCTAGTACACTAAGATAGCTTCCTTTGTTTTTTACAGTTGGCTCTCTGTTGCCATAAAGGTCACCACTGTCAAGACAGTTTGCTACCAGTTAGTGGCGCACATATGTGAGCCAAAGTTCACCCACGCTGACTTGTATGGATGAATTACAAATGAACTGCACACTGTCGTTGTGGAAGACACTGACAGACTACCTGTATTGTCCCCAAAGTGTGAAGACTGCATTCTCTTTGTAGTTTTTTATTAAGTTGTAGATTTGCCTTTCCAACTAATTTTTTCCCACTTACAAAGAAAATGCGTCACTAAATGCAACGTAATGTTACAAAGCTGCTTGTCATGGTCTGACAACTGTTTTGTTCAGTTCAGCCGGTCCATATAAACTTTGTTAATTAGGTTTAATGGCTCAGCAACCACCCATCTGCACCCATGCACAGTATTTAAAAGGTAAAGAGAGCTTCAGACTCTGAATGACTTCTGAAAAACATCATTTTAGATGCAGAGGTGGAGCTATGCTTGGCGGGATACAGGGGAAAGACCATTATCCACATGGGACCCTTCGACTAATGAATTAAGAGACAGGAACTCAGTCTCAGATATTAACTACACCCACCTGAATGGCTGTCTTTTTGTTATAGTCATGCATTTTATCCACCATGAAATGTACAGTATAGCTCCACTGTCTGCTGGGGGTGGGCGTTAGGAATAGTTTTTGTTATTACTTTGTCCTGCCTATAGCTATGTGTAAATGCATTTTTATCACACTTTTGTCGTCAACAATAAAGAGGTTAGATTTTTTATTTTCAAATTCCGTTTTTGGCTCTTCGTTTTTTCATGACTGTTTTTCTTGCCGTCAACAGCTCATCTTTATCATGGAAAAAGAGGTCATTTACTAATATGTCTTTGGAAGTTTCTGGTAAAACATATGCAGTTTTGTACAGGGAAATAGAGACAGGGTTTATACATTTTCACTGAACTTTTTTCAGTTAATTACATAAATCTTGCAGTTCAGCAACATACAAAAATGTATTTATAATAATAAATTAATAATTATGTTTTTAGAGAAGTCTTTCAAGTGAATTTCTTTGGAAATCAGCAGCTGCTTCGAAACAAGGGCTGCACAGTTAATCGAAATATTATTAATATCACAGTATGGCCAAGTGTAATATCCAAATCGCAGAAGCTGCAATGTATTGATAAAGGTAAAATGGGTGACAAACAGCATTATAATGCAGTACTGTTTTTCTGTAAAGGTGCCCCTAGTCCACAATTCTTGTTCTCAAGATTCAAGAAAACATTGTTTGGTACAGACCGCCATTTTGTTATAAACTCAACAAAATTAAATCCAGTTAGCCTCTTCATTTATTCTTTATTTTCCTGATAATTAGTACCAAATTATACTGTAAAACTTCCAATAAAAGCAGGGTCCCTAATAGACACAGGTCTCTTTTAAAGCCTGGTGTGGCTACACATTTTGACAAATTAACGCAGGTCTCCAATAGAGGCCTGGTCTGGATTTTATAGAAATTATCTCAATGTATAAAACCTTTTAAAACCTGCAAGGTCGCCCGCTTGAGCGAGTTTTAAGTCATTTCAATCTCTTACACAAATATAAATGTTTAAACTTCTGTCAATATGTACATAATGCACATAGATCAGTTATAGATTCTCCACAATTCAATCTTTCACTATATTTTACGAAAACTATCAACACCAAAGTATAACGTTAATTCATTCTGACTTACTGGTAACATGGTAAATGAGAGACGGAAAAAAAAACTCTGAAGCATCATAATCATCATGTTAGCTGTTAAATTTGCTGAACATAACTCGAGAGAAGCAGCAGTTAGTTCAGTTTAGTTTAGTTTAGTTTAGTTTTGTGCTAAAGGAATTAAATCCCAAATAGAGGCCTGTCCCCAATAAAGGCAGGGGGAGTTCAGTGATTTAAGCAAATAAACCCCCGGGCTATTATTAGAAGGTTTACAGTAGTTCTTTCCAGGAAACTAGTAAATGATATCAAAATAAAAGAGCCCTTGTGTTTTCAGTCCATGAAACAGCATGCTGTTTATATGAATACATTTGATTGAGTGGGTTCTATGTCTGTGATGTCAGCCCTATCTACACCAGATTGGGCTTCAAATTCAAAATAATAATAACCATTTCAAGCAAATGTAATAAGTGATCTGCACTTTTAAATGGTACCTAAGAAAGGAACAATAAGTTCCTGTCTAGCAGGGCAGCTGCTGTCCTGTGTCATGAATGCTGTTCACATCCTGTACTGAACCCTAAAGGTCATCTGTCTTTGAAGACGCACTCCCTACAGGGCTATTTAAAGACAAACACAACCAGGATAGGAGATCTGAGAGAGGACGCCAAAGGACAGCACCTTTGCAGTTTTATTAGTATTTAAAAAAGCCAGCCTAACAGATGGAGGCAACATTTGGGGTGATGTGCATGTTTCATCCTCTCATATATCAGAGTTGAGACTGAAAACCTTACCATTTTGACACATGATCACTTAAAAAATTACCTGCAAATTCAAAATGGAGCACATTCTAACTCCTGCCTACCGTTATTTAATCTCCATAGTTCGTGTTCCTTTCTGCCTCCAGGACACGTTTCTGAAAATAAAACTCCCTGAGTCTCTCTTGTTATTGTAGTGCATTTCTGTCAATGAACATGTTGGGAATAAAAATAGGTGACTTTAGAGAGTCCATTCAAACTGAAATGCAGTGGCAGAAGAGCTCTTTATGTAAGTAAAAGAAGGAATACAAGGTATAACATTAGCAAAACATACTTTAAGTATCAAATGTATCAATACTCCTAATGCAGGAAAATGGCCCTGTGAGTGTACTGAACTATTCTTTTGGATTATTATTTTTACTGTGTATTCAGCATGTTATTGAAGGATCATCCAATTATAAGCATTGGGTAGTTTAATATATAACAATGCATCATATTTTACTAGCTTATATGTTTAGTATGGTAAATGAACTTTACACTACATGTCACATTCACCCGTTCACACACATTCACACACTGATGGCAGAGGCTGCCATGCAAGGGTCCAGACTTTTTTGACTGGGGGGCACAAGTGGGGCACTGACTTATGCAGGTGTGGCAAGTATGCAAGTGCAAATATCTCAGCTTTCCAGTCATTCCTCATTTTATGTAGTTCCAATACTGTTTAGGGGCCGCACTATGCAGAAATATTCACGTACACTATACCACATGCAAAGAACTGCATGGTGTTAGCATAAAGTGGGCATATCTGCAAAGCGGAGACTCATGGGTACCCATAGAATGCATTTTCATTCAGATATCTTGAGGTCAGAGGTCAAGGGGTCCTGTTGAAAATGGCCATGACAGTTTTTTCATGGTCAAGCTAGACATCGAGCAAATATATGTATGTATACCAATGGATGCGTTAGGTCATCTAGTGTCATATGATACCAGCATCTTCACTCTAGCTTTAAAACTGAGCCCACTACAGCCTCTGAAAGACAGTGGGAGTAGAAGAGGTAAGGATAATGGGGTGGCCAATCGGATTTCCGGGGTGGCAAGTATTACCCCAGCCCAATCCTTTCTGGACACGCCCCTGCTGCAATACAAGGTGCCAACTGCTCATCAGAAAGTAACAAAGAAACAGACCAATGGCACAGCCTTCGGGGGTAATTTGGGGTTTGGTATCTTGCTCAAGGACACTTCAACATGCAGTCTGGAGGGAACTGGGAATCGGACTGCTGATCTTAAGATTACTGGATGACCCACTCTGTCTCGGAGCCACAGGTGCCAGGATGTAAAATCACAAGTTACTGCAGTTAGATGTAGTGGAGTAAAAAGAACAATATTTTCCTTGTAGTAGAATAAGAGTAAAAAGTAGTATAAAAAGGAAATTAAATTCTCAAGTAAAGTAAAAGTACCTAGAAATTGTACTGAGGTGCAGTGCTTAAGTAAGTGCACTTAGCTACATTCCAGCACTGCACAACTGCTTCTATACACATTTTACCATGACACTTCACTAATTGATTACTTACTTCAAAAAAATTCCTTTTTAATACATTTTAAAGGTCCAGTGTGTAACATTGAGGAGGATCTATTGTCAGAAATGGAATATAATATTCATAGGTATGTTTTCATTAGTGTATAATCAGCTGAATATAAGAATCATTGTGTTTTTGTTACTTTAGAGTGAGCTGTTTTTATCGACAGAGGGAAACTTTCACACTCTTGTATTTTAAAAATAAGTTAACAACCTGTAGTTTTTACACACCTGATGGTAAGAAAGGTTGAGATGTAGTGAGCAAAGATGGATGATTTAATGTTTCATAGCTCTGTTCTAATTAAATCTAACTAACATCCTCATTGTTTACAACAACACAAGCAGTTCGGATCCTCATTTATTTTTTCTTCTAGTTCACTTAAAACCTAATTTGGCTTTTATAGAACAGCAATCAATCACTTTGCATAAGTATTAAAAAAAACCAAAAAATATTATGGACTGATAATTTATCGCCTGTAATAACATTATCCTTAAATACATTAACATACATTTCACATCATCAGCCGATAATTTATCCGCCCTGATAATTTCACTGATGATATTGTCATTAATTGTGCAGCCTAAATAAAAACCACATGCTCAGCAAATGCAGATTTTGTTTTTATTCAAGCACTAACTGTAACAGTGAGTCTAATACAAACGTTACTATCAGTGCATTACAGCTACACAGTCGACGTGTGCTACATGCATACAGAACATTTTAATTTAAAGAGCAACTCAATCCATTGATTTGTTCTGCTGTTCAGTCAGGGTAATATAAGCTGGTTGTTGTGCATTGGCCCTCACGCTTTTGTACTGTGTGTTGTACTGAAGATTGTGGCCTCCAGGGGGAGCTAGCAGTGTATTAGACTAGTACTGTGTAATGTTTGCTGTTTGAGAGTAATTCTGAAACCTGATGTTTGAGTGCTGCTCATAATGCAGCTGCAGTTGATGCACATTTAGTGAGAATATCTGTGTGGTCCTTTGTAATAACTGCATTAGCTCTATTACATCATCATAAACACCATCAGAATACCTTTGTTCACTCCCACTCTCTTTCTTACTCAATTTAAACTCAATTCAGTTTGCTTTACTGGCAGAGACAAATTATGAATTATCTTGATTAATGGCATGTATACAAACTTAAGAGCAACATGTATAACTTATTTTTCTTTAAATAAATAAAAAGTTTAATAACAAGAAATCATAAATAAAACAAAAAATTAGAATTCATAAAATCAAGAACAAAAACTTTGCTGTGTGTGTGTGTGTGTGTGTGTGTGTGTGTGTGTGTGTGTGTGTGTGTGTTTGATTGACAGAGATTGTGGAAGTGTGTGTTGAAGTTGCTAGTTGAGTGTGTGTGTTAGCCAGGTGACATTCCAGCACACACTTGGCTGACACACTGTTGCAGAGCAGTGAAGGGTGTTGTTCTTTCGTCTCTACCAGCAGCCTGATGGGTAATGTCAGCTTAAAGCCATTATCTGTGAAGCTGTCACATTAACAGTCTGCTTCAAACCGTCCGCACACACACACACACACACACCTACACACACCTACACAACAGGACTGCTGAGTGTTTGACAGGGACACACTGTTTGTGTTAGCCCTGCTCTGGTATATGAAATAATATCAGATATAGGGATGGGAATCGAGAACCGGTTCTTCTTCAGAACCGGTGCCCAGTGAATCGATTCCTTGGAACTGTTAGCGTGCCTGCTTAACGATTCCGCTTATCTACTTGTGGTTCCTATAGTCTCTAAAAGTAGAACAGGAGCCAGAGCCTTCAGTTACCAAGCTCCTCTCCTGTGGAACCAGCTTCCAGTTGTGGTTCGGGAGGCAGACACCCTCACCACATTCAAGAGTAGGCTTAAGACATTCCTCTTTGATAAAGCTTATAGTTAGGGCTGGATCAGGTGAGTCCTGAACCATCCCTTAGTTATGCTGCTATAGGCCTAGACTATCGGGAAGTATTATTATAGCTATGGTTACTGTTGTTGCTGTTGTCACTGCTCATTGTCCCCCATCGTTGCTGTTGTCATGTTCACCATCATCAGTCACTACTATTAGTGTAGTTGTTGCTACTGTTGTTTCTGTGCACCTGTCTGTCTCTCTCTCTCTCTTTCTCTCTCTCTCTCTCTCACCCCAACTGGTCGAGACAGACGACCACCCACCTAGAGCCGGAGGATCTGTCCTAGGTTTCTGCCTTTTAACAGGCAGTTTTTCCTTGCCCTTGTCTCCAAGGTCTTGCTCATGGTGGTACTGTTGGGTCTCTGTAATTAATGTTTTAAAGAGTTCGGTCTAGACCTGCTCTATTTGAAAAGTGTCCTGAGATAACTTCTGTTATGAATTGGCGCTATACAAATAAAATTAAATTGAAAATTGAATTAACGGTTCCGCTCTTGCAAATGCGTTTGACGTTATAACCTGCGTTGTTTTGGCAGAACACAGCGAACAGGAAGAACCCTCTAAAGTTGATATTTGGCAAATACGGTCACTTGCAACACTTGTAAAGTTTCCATTGCGTCAAAGGGGGAACTACCTCCAATATGCAGAAACATTTGGACACAGCATCAATTCATTTGCAGGACTGTCGCGTGTTTGATACACTAACGTTACTACTTAGAGACACAAGTGAGTGAAGCCGCAGCGGAGCTAACGGGACGCCATCTGTATATAAATAAGTCATTTCATTGGTTACATTTTCCTGTCCTGACCTATCAACACATGACTCATTTTAATATTCAAATGAGCTATGTGTTGATTCGCCACGCACTCACTGCAGTTGCTACCACCAGGCTGTCAATCAAACTCTCAGCGACAGAGAACATAACGTTAGCCTTTATCTATCCAGATAAAAACATTAAGAATAGTTTCTGTATGTTTATTAGACCTATGTAATCTGAATTGGAAGGCCACGTTGTCATGAGCTGTATCTTGTATATTTATTATTAGCTATGTGGTATGTGTATGCACCTTTATGTAATCTGGTGGAAAAACATTCAAATTTAAAACCGGATCATACCAAACAAATATCTGCTTGCGTGTTCCCCATGTATGCAAAGTGTCCTCCTGTTTGATGTGAAGGAAATGGCCACCCTATTTCAGTCTGCGTTTTTAGTTTTTATGGCACATAATGGCAGTTGGGCTTAAAAAGACAAACTTCTTTTTGTCTGGACCAATTCATGTGAAAATTAAGAATTTCCTAATCCTAAGGCACTCTTGATAATCTTTCGAGGCACACACTAGCGTGCCATGACATACTGGTTGAGAAACACTGCCCTAGGCTATGGGTCCCTGGACTTTACTTTGAGAAGTAGCTCACCTACTGTTAGGTTTGTTCTGAGGTTGCTACACATAATTTGTGTATACTCTGTGCTGTGTCTTCTGATCAGATATTAAAGCGAGTTAATACAAACAAATTTGTACTTATTCCCTCACCCAATGAGAATCGATAAGAGAATCAATGAGGAATCGGATCGATAAGCAATATCGATAATGGAATGGGAATCGTTAAATTCTTATCAATTCCCATCCCTAATCAGATAGGATGAATACAGTTTTTAAAGTAAACTAAAAACTCCTCTCAGTCAGACTTGTATGTGTTCTAATATTATATATTTTAGTTTCTTAACTCTTCCTTCTGTCTATCTTTCTTTCCTCCTTCCTTCTTTCCTACTCAGATCATTCATTTATTTCTCTTCTCTTTGCCCTTTCTTCCTTCCTTTCTCCTTTTCCTTCATTCTTTCTTTTCTTTTCCCTTCCTTTCATTCTTTCCTTCTCTTTTTCTTCCTCCTCCCTTCATCACTTTGTTTCTTTCCTTTTCCACTTATCTTTTATATTTTCCTTTTGTTGTTATATAGCTGTACATTGCTCTCTCTCCTTTTCTTTCTTTCTTCCTTTGTTCATCCCTTCTGATCTCTCCTTCTCTCTCCCCTTCTTTTCCTTCCTTCCTTGTTTTCTCTTTCTTTGCCCTTTCCTCCTTCCTTTCATCTTTCTTTCCTCTTTCCAGTCTTTCCTTCTCCCTTCATTCCATTCTTTCCTTTTCTTTTTTCTTCCTTCCTGCATCACTTTGCATCTGTCCTTTTCCACTTATCCTTGTTGTTGCTCTCTAAATCCTTTTTTAACAACCTCCTTTGTCAGTCACTTGTAAAGCTCTTTAAATCGCATTTTATTTGTGTGAAAGATGCTTTATTAATAAAAGCTGATTGACTGATTGTAGATTGTATTAAAAAAACCCACATATTACTTTTAATTCTAGAAGTCTAATCTCCCTCTTTATTTACTCTGCACCCACACTGTCAATAACTGCTGCTACCTTTGCCCTCAGAATACACAGCTGTACATCTCTGTGTATGTCTGTATTATGTTCATTGTGTAAGTGTCTCTGCAGTGTGACATATTACATTTTATAGGAATTAACAAGCTTCAGAGAGATATTTTTACTTGACTCAATTTCTCAGAAAGCTAGAATTAGGAATGGTTATAATGGTCTGAACTCAGTTTAGCAGTCTGGTTTGGCTACAGTCTGTACTCTGACATGTTAAATCCCTGGTTGGAACCCACAATGATTCCCAAATTGATTGACAGTCCTTTTAATACAATGAGAGTCACCACATCAATTATGTGAAACAGTGTGTAATTTAATAATTAGGAGAAATAGGATCAATTATTGAGCCTGATTCCATGGGACATTTATACAACAATAAATGCCATATTTCCTGACTATTTGATATGTATATTTGAATGCAACTTTAACCTGATAGTATTTTACCCTATATTCTTAAATTTCAAAAACAAAATGTAACTGAATATACGAGCTGAGTTTACTCAATAGACTTTTTTTATAGCAGGATTTGTGACATCACAAATAATTTGGAAGTCAGTCCTGGTCCAGTATGCAACTTGTACAGTGTGATGTAGAAACGTAATCCACCGGTGCACATCCACTGAGAATGGACTTTGAAGTAGGAAAAACTGCAGGAAAACTGTTGGAATTAACATTTGCATATTCTGGAATTTTTAATGATGTAGAAAGAGTGAGTGACCTTTTAAGGAATGTGGAAATTATACTTTCTTTGTGGAAAAAACATATCAGACACACATTATTGTTCCAAGCAGACTGTTTGTATATATGTCTTAATACATGTCTGGAGGGGATCTTTAATTAGTGTCATTGGTACAATTGGAAAGAATGAACTTAATTCAATAATTTAAATAACTAAGCAATTCTGTTGGTCCAACTAAATTTAATGGGGTTGATTTGACTAGCTTTACAGTTATTAAATAACACTAGTAAATTAACTTGATCCAACCCAAGTAGATGGCCCAACAGAATAGCTTAATCCTGAAAGAAAGCTGTTTAATCACATGGAAATACTTTACATGATTTAATTAGGCTAAGTAAATTCAAAGAATAATTTTTGAGTGTAACTACATAAAGTGTAACCTGAAATGATTTGTTCAACACAATGGATTAATTTATCACTAACATAAATCTAATTTGCTCATTAAACACACGTAGGAGACATCTTGTTTCCAGCAGGCAAACTTTAGAAATGAACAACATTTGCATATTCACAGATTCTGGAAGTTTTAATGAGGTAGAAGGAGTGGATGACTTCTTAATGTGGAAATTATACTTTTTTCCCCAAGCAGACTATATGTCTTTATACATGTCTGGACAGGTTCGTGAGTACCACAAAGAACTGATTTCATTGGTGCCTGATTCATACCATAAAATGACACTGTAAGTTTTATCAAAATGGAGCAAAAATGTTGAAAATCAATGTCTACGTTGGTTTGTCCAACAAACATGAACCAATCATTTAATGAACGTGAACACAACAGATTCATTTATTATTACCATAATTCTAGTTTGCTTATCAAACACATTCCCCAATTGTTTGTTTGAGTATAATGCCTGTGTTTACCCTTCTATTTCATGTCAAAATGTCTGCTGTGAAAAATATCTATTGCTATGGAAGAGGAGATGAATTGACATCTTGGGACCTATTGAACCTCCATCACCTGATAATAGGTATATGAGGGAGATGGTAAACCTGTATGTACTGTGTTTTTGGATATTTGGATATTTGGATATAGAAGTTTCCTCAATTTAAAATCCCTTTTGAAAAGTTCATAATTTACTGCAACTATTTCCTCATTGACACTCACTGTCCTGGCTGCTGGGATCCCTTTCAGTATGTTGATTACAAAGAGTGGGAGCTGGTCGCAGGAGCAACAGTGCTATTGAGGGCAGTAAAAGTTAGTAAAACTGGTTCTGAAGGCAGCAGGAAACATTTGTAATCTGCTCATCTACAGCTGAAAATCTCCTCATTATCAGACATTATGAGATGCTGTACAGATATTATCTCTCTTACTCCCCTCTCTCTCTCTCTCTCTCTCTCTCTCTCTCTCTCTCTCTCTCTCTCTCACTCACACACACACACACACACACACACACACACACACACACACACACACACAATGCAGTGGGTGAGGTCGGTGCATGACTGCCTCCACCAGGAATGCAGTAGTGTGTGTTTTGAGCTCTCTGCATACTGTACACTCTCGGCCAGGCTGATCTGTCAGTTTCTCCTGACAGACAAGAGAGACACAGGTTAACGCTCATGAAGACATCAGAATGGAAAAAAGGGAAAAGAAGAATACAAAGGCAGAAGAGCGAGCGAGGTGTGGACAGACAGAGCAAATGAAAACAGAGGATTTGTATTTTTCTTGTTGCACCTGAAAGTTTTTGCCAAACTTTGAGGAAATCCCTGTCTGAATTGGCTCTTGGGGACTTCTCTTTCTCTTGTGGATTTTAAATTTACCCGGTTTGTAATTGGAAACTTTTTGAGGATTGTGACTTTGTTTGAACATTTTGAATTCAATTCCAGCCCTACTGAAAGTGCCACAGGCTGATTTGAGTTTTAGATGTTTTTATTTCTGTGTTTAAATCTGTACTTCATTTCAGCATCACTTTACTTTAATTCCCTTGTTTTGCATTCTCTCGCTCCTTTTCTTTGGATTATATAAATCATGTAAAAAGAAGAAATCCAGTGATAAGCAGCTGTGTGACACAGCACAGTGAATGATGTTCATCTGACACCTGACTGCTGGAGCCAATCATGGCATCTCATTACGTCACGTAGACGTGTACCACAAAGGTAAGAAAACCTGTGATGATCCACACACGTTATGCAGAGGATGATGACATAGATTCATAGGCTTTATCAGGCCCGTAGGCAGGATTACCCCAGCACAACCCACTCCTTTACAAAAGCCATTTTCAACATTTTTGCTCCATTTTGATAACACTTTACAATACACATTTGTGGTATTGTATGAATATAATAAATAAGTTCGTAGTGATATTTAAAGATTGCCTCCAAACATGTATTAAGACATTGCTGCTTAGAACAATAATGTGTGTCTGATATACTTTTTCTGCAAAACAAAACAAACATTTCCACATTAAAAAGTTGTTTAAGTAGTTACACTTTACTTAATTAAGTAATGGATATGATGTTATTGGTACACTTTTTTATGTAGTTACACTCAAAAATTATTCTTTGAATTTACTTAGCCTAATTAAATCATGTAAAGTATTTACATGTGATTAAATGGCTTTCCTTCAGGATTAAGTAATTCTGTTGGGCCAACTTAATCTACTTGGGTTGGACCAAGTTAATTTATTAGTGTAATTTAACAACTGTAAAATTTGTTAAATCAACCCTATTAAATTAAGTTGGATCAACAGAATTGCTTAATTCTACATCACACTGTACAAGTTGCATACTGGACCAGGACTGACTTCCAAACTTTTTGTGATGTCACAAATCCTGCTGGTAGGCCCCGCCCCTTAAAATCAGATTTTCAATGAGCTCAGAGAAACTTTCAGCAGATGGATGTGAGAATATCCTTCTAGAGTCAAACTCTGCACAGACAGCATTCAAACAGCACACTGTAGGGACAAGAAAACAAAAAACCCCGATTTTTGACTGGAGGGGATTTGAAGGTTCCATTCCATGTAGCAGAGCCTTTCCAGTGAGCCAACATGCAACGTGTAGGTAGTTTAGAAGAAAACAAGACAGTGGGGAACAAAGAACAGGATTCAGTACTGAACAAAACTGAAGTTTGAACATTGATATTCTGCTGAACCTATAAAGTAATTATGTTATAACATTTTTCAAAATCATATAGAGCAGTGATCCCAACCTTTTTCTTCAGGGGCCCCTTTTCTATCATTGAGTAACTGACAACCCCAGACTAAATTACATATGTATATGGATATATAATATTATAAACTCTACAATGAACCAAAACAGTGAACACAATAACTGCACGAAGTTTGTGTAAAATGAATTTTGAGCAGATTATTTCCTGATGTTCCTAATATTGCGCAAGAGATGAGGTTAACAGATATTTTTATTGGAATGCTGAGATGTGAATGAAAATAAACATACTCTAAAGCCAAAATCTGGAAATATAAAATTAGGTCACCCGGAATGTCACCCTGTGTCTGCTGACACAGACACCGAGGCTCATTTCATCACCATGGACAGTGCTATGAAATCACGGCGCATTACAAATCATTCACACATTGACAAATAAATTCATGAGCATCGTCAATCTACAATACAATTCAAAAGCACAATACGCCAAAAGTTACACAAAGCTGGTAATACAAAGACTATTTTTTAAAGTTGCAATGAAGTGCAAATGCCTCTCCATGCGCAATTAACGTATGACACAATGAATACCCATGTCAAATAAATTGAAGTCACAACTTTTATTTATAGGTTCTACTATACCTCCTTGATTCTCCACAGGGAAAGGGACAGACAAGTGAGCATGGGGGGAATAAAAACCCTCTGAAAACAAAAATCCAACCACACTCTTCGATACGTTTTCAAACTGACCGTCGCTTGCAGGTGTGCCGCAGAATCTTGATGTCGGTGGGCTGACTTTGTCAGATTTGTAAGGCTGACAAATCCGCCGCTGACCCAGGTAGATGACTTATCACTTGTAAAAAGTAAACAACTCCAGCAGTACAGCCTGTTTTCTTACAGCCTGTCATTCATGGATATCGCTGATCATTTTTGGTCTTGAAATGCCTTTCCACTTTCTTAACCTTTTCTTTTAATTCCAGTTCTGGAGTTGGTCAGTTTTTTATTATTTGAAGTTTTTCTGTGAAAGGCCGCCTTGAAAAAGGCAATGCTATCAAGCTAGCCACAACATCATTCTCGTCTTCCGCCATTTAACTCTGTCTCTCAACCGCTCTCACCACTCTGCAGAAATTCCGATGTTCGGACTTCATGAAGGCCTACGATCTTTTGTTTTTTTCCCTCCCACTTGAAATCAAACCGTGATTGGTCAATTTGCCCGTCACTCTCCACACCAAAACACAAAGCTTGGCCTTCCCCGGGATTCGTGAAGTCCTAACCAATTAATGAGCCAGCTAACCGGGCCTTAATAGAGACAGACGATTCTGATTGGATAACATGTTTTCAGGACATGAACTTGGCAGTAAGCTTAACTTTAGTAAAAAAATATTATTTTTTATTTTTACACTTTATTATTAGTGTTATTATTATTAAATTTATTTTTATTATTATTTTTTTTTAGGCCTTCTCTGAAGGCGTATAAGGCCCTGAAGGTCCCCCACTGGTGCTAAAAAAATTGGTCATATGCAGCTGTTCTATAGAGTTGCTGCAGTAGACAGAGCTATGTTAGGCACTCCTGCTTCCTGAGATAAAAGTCCCATTTGTTTTCTCCATAGACAATGTTAGCTGATTGACAATTGGAGCTTGAATTGGGACAAAACTCCCCCAGCTGAATCATCAAGACGAACAGCTGTGTTAGAAAATATCTGGTTCTGTGATAAAAAGGCAAAGGTACAAGCCTGAAACCCCTTTAGATTCAAGCTTTGCATGAATTGAACAACATAAAAACAACAATTTCAGTTCAAAGTCTGAAACAGAAATTAGAATTTTTGTTTGGCATACATTGTTAAATATGGGTACAACATGACTAATCTTAAAGGGGTAAAGAGTCCTTTTTCATTCAATCTGGAGTGTACGCTACATATTTTCACTGCTTCAAGGTAATATTAACATTTGCAAGGTAATATTACTGTTTTTATCAAAGGAGTCTGGTGGCTCTAAAGAGAGTGATATAACGGCTTCAGTTCCGTGTTGGAAAGGGTGGTTAAATACATTTTTCTGCAGCCCCCATCCACAGCAGGATGCTGCCTAGCATCCGTAGCTTAACCCCAGTCTGCTTCTCCAAACTGGGGGTGATTCTTGACTGTGTTAGTGTTCTTCAAATAACCTCCATGAAACCATTAAAGCTGCAGTTGGTGACATTTATAAAAAAATAGAAAAAACATTTAGTCTGAGAAAGCTGGTTGATTGTTGAGTTTCATTCCTAGGGCATCAAAGAGACTCAACAATCAACTATCTTTAACCCTGCAACCCAAAATGTTTTTATATCTTTCTCGGCTCTGATTGGCTGTTTTCGGTGGATTCTTGCAAATACCATAGGAGCACTAGGAAGAGCCAGGGGAACCTGATTTTTTCAGATATTTTCTGTCTCATGTTCTATAGGTTATTATGAAAATTTCAGCAAATATGACAAAAGTTTATTTTTTATAAAAGTTACCTACTGCAGCTTTAAAAATGGCTCACCAGGAGACAAAACAGTCATCGGTTTGTTTGCTTGATGAGGACACGAGGTCAGCAGCCTCATCAACAACACACACTCATGTTGGGAAAAAACAACCTCCAGCAAACATTTACTGACTGAATTGTCCTTGAGTGAGACAGTGAAACCCCTCCAGCTCCAGGGACTGCTGTTATGTCGCTGACATTGACCTTTGACTCCTGTGTGGAGGGGGGGCTGGAGAAAACACACTTTCCCTATAGCGATCGATAAAGTATTGATTAAACCCTGCGACCTCTGAGCTGCCGGCTTCATCTTATTATAACTCTGTCATCAATATATTACACAACATGTACACACACACACACACACAGTGCTGATCATTATTAGAGTCCTGCAGCAACCATTGACATGCATGTGAAAAGCATTTATATGACTGAGGCAAGGGCACTGACAGTGTACGCAGTCAACAAAACATGCATGGACATAAGTTGTAAGAGTTCCAGGACTTTAATAATTTACTCTTTGTGTATTCATGGCAATGTCAGCCAGTCAGTGAGTCAATCTGTCAAACACTTGTTATGGTCCCCAGAGGATCAACCTTATCTTTTTCTATTAACAGCCAATGGGAAAACATTCTATTGGAGTAATAGCCAGTGGTGGAAGGCCATTAAGTACCATTTACCATTTACAAAAAATCCTGATCAGCCGCAAATTAATCAACTGGTTTCTTCTGCTTCAAATAAGACCTCAAAGCTACGGAAGCCGAGAACGGCCGTACTTGCACTTATTTTTTAAGGCTGTTATCTCAAGCAATGCATGTTCCTCTGTGCGGTGTTCATGCTATTGAACCAATGCTACATCTGAAATACGCCATGAATGCATGCTGGCATGGCAGTGCTGATCTCTCATAAATGTATCTTAATTATGGGTTGATTCGTTATTTCGCGATAACAAAGCTTTTCTTATAATAATGAGATAATTAACTGGTGATATCCAGATAACGACATTTATCACAATAACATTGTTTGGTAAACAGCATACTCAGTCCAGCCTTCAACACTTTAATTTTAATTTCAAAGCATTACAGACCCCAGATCTGACTCTGGTTAAGCATCACTGGTTACATCACTGACTGTCCTTGATCAGTACACCTTTCTCACTGAGGGTGTGTCTTCACTTGTGAAGTCAGTATGCTTCACATAACCACCCTGTCGCTCCTGAACCGCCTGTCAGCCCAGTCTGGCCTCAGCACTAACCTGTTCTCCACTGCTGGCACTGGAGCCAATGTTTACTCAATGACAGAGGAGCCAATTATCAATCAGCATTCCCTCTATAAACCAGATTATCATCAGTGTCAAGGGCAGAAAGCAGATGGCCGTGTGTGTCTGACCATCACATATATCAAGACTCCAGCTAGAGAATGAGTGCTGATTGTCTGGAGGATTACTGACTAGCTGCACGTTCACAATAGTACGTTATTATGCATTTTTAGCTGGTTGGTGAACAGAACAGAATTGTATTGTTATTTCAGTTTCGTAAGTTTGTTTAAAGTTTGTGCATTAGGTCTGTGTTCTTAACTGAACATTTAAGTTTCTGCCTGTAAACTGTGCAAAACGTGTGCGTTTTGTTATTTGCTCTCAGGTCAGGAGTTAAAATGAAGCTTCACAGTGATCCCTTGTGATCGGAAAATTCTGTACAAATCCAATAATCGGTGGGATTAAATTGGCAACTTAATAAAGTCAGCATGATGTTAAAGAGTTAGCTGCTAGCTATTGTGTAACAAGTTATCTTCATTTAAATATCTTTAGGTGTGTCCTAAATCAGTACTACATTCTAACTTTATACTCTACAGCAGTTGGTCCCAACCCTTTTCATTAAGAGACCGCTTTTCTATCATTTAGTAAACTGATGACCCCTGACTGACAGATTCTATGGATATTTCATATTATATTCAAAACTGTACAATGAACCCAAACAGTGAACTCAGTAACTGCAGGAAATTTGTGTAAAACCAGTGATTTGGATTAATTCTGAACAGATTATTAACAGATATTTTCTGTTTACAATTCTCTGTCTTTATTATGTATTTCCTAACAATCATACAGACTTACTTTTGACAAATTCAGTGTTTTCTGGTCTCTAGTGCTTGGCCATTGTTCTATTAGACAATTTACATTTTCTTTAGATATAGGCCTACTGTGGATATGTTTTATGTTTTCTTACACCCCTTAAAATCAAGAAGGCCTTGTGGCCCCCATGAAGCTTTGGTGACCCCTAGCAGAGAAAAGACCATGTCATTGTTTTGCAAGTCTCAGGTCTTTGCACTCAGGTCCCAAGTCCTAAACCTTGAGTTTTATGTCCTAAACAAGTTATAATGCGCCACATTCACTGATATATATTAAAGAGGTCATATTATACTCTTTTCCAGGTCAATACTTTTATATGGGGAGTCTGCTTGAATAGGTTTACCTGCTTACTTTAATGTTCAACAGCAATATGCAGTTTCATACCGCGTCTATGCAAATAAAATTATCTTTGGTATAATTTCTTCTAACTGCCGCTCAGTAACGTAACGTTAATTCTTCATGGTCCTCTCCTGCAACTTGATTGGATGCTGTCGGACTGGTTCAAACAAAGCGGCTCTGGTGATTAAGTAGCATCAGTTCATTCATGAAATAAAGGGAAATGAATTGGTTAGTGTCCCACTTTTGAATAACTTTTTAATCTTTGACCTTTATCAAGTATTTTCACGTCAGAAGGGCTCAAGTGAAGTCACGAGTCATTGGTGTTAAAGTCCTGACTCGAGGAAAGGAATCAGTAGGTGCGCTACTGTATGTAAACCGACCTGTGATATTAGAACCTCACTAAGTAAAAGTAAAATGGTTTTCCAGATTTTTAAACCATTGTTTTTGGTTTTCTGAGGTTCTTATGGAGCTTTCCCACAACCATCTGTGATTTATGTTTAATTCTTGCAGCTGATAGCAGCTTCTCCATTATGTTTGTGAATTGCTTTGTGGAGAAATATTGTGTATCAAAAGCACAGCAAAAAATACAGTATGAGTGTGCAAATACATACCCACCCATTATTGTTTTTGCCTCACTGCTAATAATATTTAAAAATATAGAATGCTACTGGTATAAGTTGTCTACACTCACAAAACTAACACCGTGTATAAACAAAGTATAAAAGTCTATCCTCAAACACACCTTTATAAATTATTTAATGTCAAAATGTCAGACTGCCAGCAGCAACAATGGCTAACTAAAAAGAGACTTTTGAAAGTTAAGTTAAGTTTGATATAGAGGATCATACATCAGATATCAGTATCCGTAAACATCTGAAAGGATGATTGACTTATACTGGACGACAATGATGAACAGTGTACCTGTCCACCTGAAATAGGGACAATCAAGTTCTTAGTAATCACCATTATCTCCTTACATATCAGTTTGCTTTTGAAATCAAGCTGCAAATCCAAATGTATTCACAGAATAGAACATATAACTACAGCTTCTTAGTCAGAGGCTTTCAAAGTGAACCTCCACATACAGTAAAGTGTACAAAATCAGCCTGTTTTTGGTGTATGACTTTGTGAATGAGGCGGGCTGAATGGAAAAAAAATAAACCGGCTGGGCTTATTACAGTTAATTAGTTAATTAAGTCCACCACGTTGAACCCTCATGTCTCTACAGTAGCCCAGAAGGGACAAACCAAACACTGGCTCTAGATAGGGACATTCGCACTTTTCACGTTTTGCAGCCACTGTGGTTTCTTTTTCATGCTTGGCAGGGGAGGGTGAAGCGAGGGAGTTGCGATCTGCAACTACACTGCTAGAAGCAACTAAATCCTACACACTGAAGCTTTAAATGTTATCCTACAAAGAACCATAAATTAGAGTAGTGTATTGGCAAGAATCTGGCGATACAATATGCATCACGATACAGGGGTAACTGTAACAGGCCGATATATTGCATTAATATCAAATTTTAGGAAAACTGTCATAGTATAAAGAACACAGGGCCATATGTATAAAATCTGAATAAAGAAAAGTTTACAACACTGCTATCTAGTGCTTGTAGGTTTAAACAAAACATCTTTAGTGTTTAGTTTTTGAGAATACAGATACTGTATGTCTCAGAACAAAACATTGTGATACAATATTTTTTTTTTTACATATGTTCTTACACCCCTAAATTAGACCAATGAATGTGCCCCGAAAACTGCAACATAAGTACTATAATATAATATAAAAGTGTAGAGTATCACCAAAAAGAGACACAAATAACCAAAATGTACTACAAAAATCATAAAGCACTATAATATGTGTTAGCACATTACTAAAGAAATAAATGTGTAGAAAAAACATGTTTGTGACTGACTTCATATAAGAATCAGAATCAGAAATACTTTAATAATCTCAGGGGGAAATTATTATTAAGGAAGTGAGTGCGTACCTGTTATTCCCATCAGTGGAACTATTTTTGTGCAGCGACATACCAAAGTGCTGTTTCTATCATAAATCAAATCCTTACATAAATTATACATACACACAGGACTGTGATGGAAGTGCAATGAGCCACACCTCATGACTCAGCTAGGTGAACAAGACAGAACTGTTCCAGTTGTAGCTTGTTAATCACACCCAAATGTAAATGTGTGTGTGTGTGTGTGTGTGTGTGTGTGTGTGTGTGTGTGTGTGTGTGTGTGTGTGTGTGTGTGTTTGATCATGTGGCTGTTGATGGATAGGAGATGTGTTTGTACAGCCTGTACGATGTTAGAGACAATGTTTGTGGGCATGCAAGCCAATAAATATTTATGATCATTTCATGTATTGGAAGTATCTAACATGGGAGTGCGTGACTGGCAGTTTTGTAATCAAGACCAAGTCCAAGACCAGGACTAATTGAGTCCAATCTGTAAATAATATTATAAGGAGTACAGTTTGTCCTGTTCTGTATGAAAAGTGTCCTGACATAACTTCAGTTATGATTTGGTGCTATATAAATAAAACTGAATTTAAATTGAATTAAAGCTTAATGCAGAAGTGTTTTAAACCTTGTTTAATTCCCATCACCAGATTTTCTGGCAATCTGTCTATTACATTTTAACATTTTCTAAGTGAAAGAACAAACTTTGGCACCTTACAAACTGTCTGTCTGAGCAGCTAAGCAAATTTAGCATTTGCTTGTCAGATGTCAGACCATAGCAATTGCCAAAATGACAACACATTTTACATTTTATTTTTTGTCTTCCTCTTTAGTCAATAGTTCTGGTGAGGTCCCCGTTGTAACCATGGCGTCCCGGATGAAGCAGCCCCAGGGGGGTGGCCTGTCCTCTCTATTTTCCTGCTGCTTCAAAAGTAGTGAACCACCAGAGATCACCTACTGCCATGATAACACTACCACTATGGCTGTACTGGAGCCCACCCTGCCCATGCCCCCCCCTAAAGAGCTGGACTCTATTTTCACTGAGCTGGTGGTGAGTACAAGACCAGAGTCAATCATCCTATTGTGCCTGCAAACACGCAGAATTCCTTCCTCATTCTTCCTCTCCATCCTTTCTCTCTTGTATCCTAGGATGAACTGGACCTCTCAGAGGAGCACAGAGCTGCCATGTTTGCCTTGCCAGCAGAGAAAAAATGGCAGATCTACTGTAGCAAGAAAATGGTAAGAAACTACAACTACAGCAGCCAATTTACTTGTTGCTAGCACTTAAGAATTCAATATACTCAACAAAGCGACATACAGTCCTAAGTCCGATAGTATGCAGGTCATTCTCAGTGAGTCCGTCCAGCTCAACGCACCAAACTCAGATCAAACTGTCAAACTAGGCAGTGCTGATCAAATATGGATCAAGATTCTGTTACTGAAACATATTTTAGTGTACTATTTTATCTGGAATACAAAAACTTGTGTGACCAGGTAAGCTGTCATTTTCTCCTATGGACGAGTTGAAACGAAGCGCAGCCAATGAGAACAGCTCAGCTCAGTATGTCACCTCCGCTGGCTGTAAAAACCGAAATGGTGATGGTATAAAACCAAACTCAAGGCTTCAAAACGGTACTCCACAAACCAATGGGTGGCATCACAATAGAAGACAGCTTGAAGGTTCTCATCTCTACCAACAACTGTGTGAAGTGGATGTGAATGTCGTATTGTTAGTTTCAGGAAGTTGCCCATTTGGAAAGGAGGAAGGTGCTTTGTTGATGTTGATCTATGATCAGACAAGTATTTAGTTTGAAGCATTCTGAAGTCTTCACATTCCTCAAGGAACAGACAACAGTGTCCTGGCTATTAAACAACACTACTGTAGTTGTAGATGTAATTTGCTAACAATCACAATACACAGTCTGCAGATTGAGCAGTCTTATCTACAGTAGTTGTACAGTTTCTACAGGAGCCCATATGGAAAAACCAAACACTGGCTTTCATGTGTTTTTTGCAAATTTTGCAGCCACCATAGTTTCTCCTCCACACTTGGAAGGCGAGCGGTATTCAGTTGGTTGCAGTCTGCAACTTCATCACTAGATGCTGGTAAATCCTCCACACTGGTCCTTAAAGCAACTGACAAAGAGAGGCACCTGGTAACTCACCTGGTAGAGCGTGTGTCCCACGGGCCAGAGCTGGCCGGGGTTCTGCTGCGTTGTCCCCCCTCCCTCCCTCTCTCTCTCTCTCTCTCTCTCTCTCTCTCTCTCTCTCTACAGACGCTACTGTCAAAAAGAAGCACAAAAGATAATCTTTAAAAAACCCCAAAACGAAATCTAAACCTATAAAGGTCCCTTCAGAATCCTGTGGGGGTTGGATAGATTTCGATAAATCCCAATATGATGTTATCAACTATAAATAGTGGTTTATGATTATGCACCCAAAGTTTTTTTAAATTCTTAAATTTATAAATCTCCACAACATCTGCCACATATCATATACAATGCATTATTTTTTTTGGAGATGTTGCATTTGTTGTCTGGTACTGTATGGGTGAGTATATTTATGAGCCTGACCTGTGTGTCTGTATATGTGTGTGTATTTCAGGAGGCAGAGGAGAATAAAGGAGCAACCAGCTGGCCAGAGTACTATATTGACCAGCTCAGGTCCATGGCTGCTGTGAGTAACGCTCTAAAGTCAGTTTTCTTCCCGCTGTTCCCAGTTTATCCACAGACTTTGCTTTATTACCAGTTTTCTTTGTATTGAGGATATTTAGAGCCATTTCTGAGTAAATGTTTTTTTAAAAACTCCAAAGCTGGCACCCCCTTGCAGTAGCATTAAAAGGGACACTGTACAGCTGACAATGCAGACCAACAACCACAATCATTTTACACATGTGGGGCTTTTTGTTTGATTATTTTCAAGATAGATATTTTCATACATATATTGATACATCTTTGTTTTGAATAATAATGTTAATGTAAATGGCATTACAGCTTTTTGTAACTTAAAATCACCTATCATCTGTCCTATATTATAAACTTTTGGTTCTAGTGAGGCCAAACTCTTCCTATTATTGCCTCTGAGTGAGTATACAGCTGATTTAGAATTGTAGTATTGAGGGATTATTTTGTTCAATCCCTCTTTTCCCAGAGGAGGACTCTGCTGGCACTGGAGGATGAGGAAGATCAAGGAAGAACTAAGATTGCAGATGGTCTAAAGACGGCACTGAGGACCCAGCCAATGAGGTACAACCTCTAACACACATGTTCTTCTGAAAATGTTGAGATTTCCCAAAGCTGGGTGAGCTAAGGAATAACCTTAACCTGTCATTCTGATTCACCTCCCCCAGATTTGTGACACGATTCATTGAGTTGGACGGACTGTCTTGCATCCTGAACTTCCTCAAGTCAATGGACTATGAGACCACCGAGTCTCAGGTCCACACATCACTGATCGGCTGCATCAAAGCTCTAATGAACAACTCTCAGGGCAGAGCTCACGTCCTGGGTCACTGTGAGAGCATCAATATCATCGCACAAAGTCTCAGCACTGAAAACATCAAAACCAAGGTACATAGACCCAAACAGCACATAGGATACGTTGTAACTTTCACTTATTCTAAAATCATGAGGCAGTACTCCATGGTTGTTTCTTGGTTTAAAATGAGCTACCACCCTGTATGAAGAACACAAAAGGACTACAAAGAGACACAAAATAACAACATAGAAATGAAAAAAAAACCTCTCCCACCTACATTTGAGATGATACAAAAAATACACAAAGACTAAGTTGTTGCCCCTTCCCATGGATGATATACTCAAGTCTCAAGTTACTTTAAAGTTTGGATTTAATGATTTTGTTTCGGATCAGTTTTTTTAAAAAATTATTTCTTTAAGGTCAAACAATAACTATGCCCCACAGTTTTCTCCTTCTCATCTGTAACTGATCCTTCTTCCCTCTGTCCTCAGGTTGCAGTGTTGGAGATCCTCGGTGCAGTGTGTTTGGTGCCAGGGGGCCACAGGAAAGTACTAGAAGCCATGGTGCACTACCAGAAATTTGCCTCGGAGAGAACACGCTTCCAGGTCTGCTTCTGTTCTGTTCATTTGTGTGTGTGTGTGTGTGTGTGTGTGTGTGTGTGTGTGTGTGTGTGTGTGTGTGTGCGCTTCATTTAATTTCCTGCAAAGGACGATGCAAGTGTGGATGAAACAGATTCTTCTAGTTTCCTCACAATAAATACAAATGTCAAATTATGGTATTAAAAATCTAACCCTAACCCCAGTCCACAATTATTATTATTAATAATAATAATAATAATAATATTAATAATAAAGCAACCACTACAGACAAACTAGGACAGGACACATTGTTCAAGTGCTCTCAATGACCCATCTGATTGGAACTCAGCTGTAAAATAAGGATTGCAATTTACATTTATTTTTTAATATTATATAATAAAATCAGGCCAGTAGTTTTTCTGTAATATTGCTGACAAACAAACAAACTGCCAAAACCATAACCTCCTGGACAGGATGAACAACATACTGTTGTAGGCGGCCCTTTCAGGATTTCCCAGGCTTTTTTTGGGATCATTGGGGCCTAAAATGCCTGATTTACTAATAAACATCAAAAAGAAGAACAAATGATATTTATCAAACATGTTTTTATAACTTGCATATTTTCTTTTTGCTGTGCAGAACCTGCTGACAGACTTGGATAGATCCACAGGCCGCTACAGAGATGAAGTTAATCTGAAGACTGCCATAATGTCCTTCATCAACGCTGTGCTCAGCCAGGGAGCAGGAGAGGTGAAGAACTATCTATCTCTGTCTCTCTTGAAGGACAAGACCATATTATGCAAATGTTCAGGTTCATATTGTATTGTATTTGGGGGGTCTACTAAAGTTTGCTTCAACATTTTGAACATTAAAGCTTTAAAGTGCTTTAATGTTAAAAAAACAATTCATATGGTATTGCATGTAAATATTGTATAAAATCCTTAAAAATACACTTTAGGTAACTACTTACCGTAAGTAGTTACCTAAAGTGCAGAATTTTTTGTATTCACTCTCTGACACACTGTTTGAGACAAAAATGGTCCACTTCCTCCCACTGTACATAAATAAAGCCAAAATATCCCGGCTATGGCTGCTGCCATCTTTCACCAACCAGAGCCTGCGCAGTAGTGGTCGGGTTTGGCACCGCGGTATCGAAGTCCCACCCGGCCGACTCAATTACAAGCAGGGCTCAAATAACTTAGCCAAACTAATCAGAATAATTAACACTTGAACATACATCAGCATGATTAGGACTACATGAAATGACAGAAACTATCTTTGGGAAAAATGTATTTGACGTGTACTAACATAGAGGCAGTGGGCTGTATGACCTATACTGCAGTCTGCCACCAGGGGGAGATAGAGATGTTTTGGTTTCACTATTGGACAGCTGTCATGTCGTCCATCTTTATATATGTCCATGGTTTGAACCAAAGACATATATACATAGACGCCGCATCGACTGCTGCCGCCCACTAGAGCGGCGTGCCTACAGGGCGGCCATCTTGGAACAGGGCTAGCAGAGGCAGCGGTGCATCAACCTACGATGGAAAGAGGAACTCCTCAATCTCAAAGTAGAATTATTCACTGAATTTTTGACCGATTTCCAAACGTATAGATTTGTTAAAATTGTCACACATGTAGCTATGATACAGGGTGCTTGGATATTTTAAAAATGCTGGTTTTACTACCCAAATACAAATTCTACTTAATGTTATCAGCAGACGAGCTTCTGACAGAAGATTTGTGAATGAAAAGATGCCGGACTTCTGTGCCGCGTATGGATGCTCTATTGAGAGGAGCATACAAACCAGATCTCGTGGGAGACAGCAGATCCTATGTCTACAATTATAATAATAATAATAATGTAGGCACACCGCTCCACAGTTGATGTGGCGTCTATGTATATGGTGCTATCCATTTGTCTCGTAAATCCCCCGTCCGAGTTGCTCTGCCGCGAGAACGTGATGTCATTACCTGGCTTGTACCACTTATAGCGTTCCATTTGTCTTTGGGCATTACGAGTTGGAAAGAAGTGCAGCAGCTGTGTTGTTATTGCTTGTGGCTCTTCTAAACAAGCTCAATGTGAAATAATATGTTTTTCTACAGAAACACTAACATTTCAAGTAATTCCGTTATATGCCAGTATTACATTTCAATAATATTTTGCCATTTTCGCCTATTGCAATTTCAAGTGCTGTGGCGTTTGTCTCGAGCCACCAGGGGCCACCAGGGGCCTCCAGGGGCCACCAGGGGCCACCAGGGGCAGTGGCAGGCTAGTGTTATTGTTAGCTACATTAGTATATTTAGCAAACCAGCTCGAAAACTAAACTTTACATTGTATTGCACCCACAACAACACCGTGCAATGCATAAATTGGTGACCGGACTAAAGCAGCAATGTAAACAGTGTAAGAACATTTAAAATCGACAATAAAACGAACGTAGTGGGAAACAAAGCAATGCCATCTTTGTTTTGGGCGCTGTCTTGTGCGTTGCGGGTCCTCGTTTCCCCACAGCTCGGTGTACTGTGAGGTACCCCGAGATGGACGGCTGAAATTACGACCAAAAGGGGGTGTGTCTCTGTGAAATGTCGTGAGATAGCTGCGAGACTTACACTTTCCAACTCGGGCGGGGGGTTTACGAGACAAATGGATAGCACCAATATATGTCTATGGATTGAACCATATAGTGTCAGTGGTTTGAACTCCTGCCCGGTTACACAGTTACACAAAAAGCAACATGAAAAAACAGTTGCTGGCATTCAAACTACTACTTCAGTTTTTTAGCTTCAAACCCAGCTTAATGTTGACAGTTTCTCTTTACTGTCCCTCAATCTTACAACATTAGTCCAACATTGCCCCCGGCCTGCTAGCCACATTACACCTGCGCAACATGCTACCACCAAGTTGAACACCTACTAACAACATAAGCAGGGCAACTTCTCTCCTGAACTCTCTTTACCTGTCCTTTTTTACATATTGTCTACCAAACAGATCATTTCATTATATGGTTACACTGTATTGTATGTGTCTTTTCAGACCAGTCTGGAGTTCCGTATCCATTTGCGCTATGAGTTCCTAATGTTGGGCATTCAGCCAGTCATTGATAAACTACACTCCCATGACAACGCCACCTTGGACAGGTAGCATTTGGAAATATCAGTACTGTCATGGAACCAACAAATAAGTAGCAGGTCTCTTTGATTTTAAACTGCTTTCTGAGTTCAGTTGTTATTGCTGTTTCCAGACATCTGGACTTCTTTGAGATGTTAAGGAACGAAGACGAGCTTCAGATGTCCAAACGCTTCGACGCTGTAAGTCATATAAAACACACCAGCTCGCCTTCAGTGTAACATTTCTCCTTGACGTGGATTAAAATATGAAAATGAAAATCTGATGTGTAATGTGTCTGGCTCATTGTCTCAGGTCCACATAGAAACTAAAAGTGCCAGCCAGATGTTTGAGCTGATCAAGATGAAGCTGAGCCACACTGAAGCCTACCCTCACCTCCTGTCTGCACTGCAGCACTGCCTCATGATGCCATGTAAGACTGTCTGCTCACCTTGAACTGCCATAAAATGATCCCTGATGGTAGCAGCGTTTCCTCCTGCTGACCCCTCTCTGTCTGTCTGCAGATAAGCAGAGCAGCACCACACGGCAGTACTGGGTGTTGTTGGACCGGATAATTCAGCAGCTGGTTCTGCAGACAGACAAAGGTGAAAACCCTGATGTGGCACCACTGGAGGACTTCAATGTTAAGAATATTGTACGAATGTAAGTCTCCAGGGTTGGACAATGAACCCAAACAGTGAACACAATAACTGCAGGAGGTTTGAGCAGTTTATTTCCTGTGAATATTGATCAGAGATGAGTTTTACTGACATTTTTAGGAACTTTTTACACAATTGTTTGTCTGTATTATATATATTTCTTTTTAAATTTAACAATTTTACATGCTTACAAATTCAGTCTTTTCTTCTCATTGTTCTATTAGCTGTTTGGTTGTCTTGTTGGCATGCAACACCATTCACCTCTTTTTGTTGATATAGTTAAGTCAGTCAAACAGTTTTTGTAATTTGGATTAATTGTTACAAAAGAAGCACATGTAACATATTTGGGAGTGTAGCATGAATATATGTTTCAGAAACTGTACTGTAACCCCAGAAGTGTTCATTTAATCTAAAATAAATTGTTATTAGATTTGAGGAAAACTAAGTTTAGAATGTGTTAATCTAGATTTAAAATTAAGCAGGGCCCTATTGCACAATTAAAAAATAATCTCAGCTAGTAAATATAAATGGGGGGGGGGGGCTTTAACTTCCATACCATACATACATAACATTGCATTGTTTGCTGGCTATAGCTTAAACTAACTAATAACGGCTCAGCAGAGGAGCTCTAATTTCTCCTCCTTTGAGAAACACTGGCCGACTTAATGGAATGATATGGCCAAATAATAGAGCATAAACCAAAATGGACAACATCACTTTTTGGAGTGTTTCCCTTAACTTTCTTTGAGGAACTTGATTATTTTACTCAATCCATCTCAAAAAGGAAACCATTTAAAGTTAAAGTTAAACCTCAAGTTTAAAGTTAATACTGGATCACATTTTAAAGTGGGGTTGAAAGTTTTGCTGCAACAGAACTAAATTTTAGATAGTTTTAAAATTTTGTGTCAAGTTAAACCATGATTTAATTGGATTTTTTTAAAAATAATTAGTTGTAACCCAGGCTTGTCCTATGTGTGTGTGTTTGTGTGTGTAGTAGTAGTAAACCTGATGACTTGAGTAATGTAATCAGTTTATTTGAGTTGAAATAAGATAGAATGTAGTAGTAGTAGTAGTAGTAGTAGCGTGATGCGAAGCATGATTGGAAAATTTGTTGTGTGTTTGTTTTTACAGGCTCGTCAAGGAGGACGAGGTCAAACAATGGAAGGAACAAGCTGATAAAATGAGAAAAGGTAAACACACAAACACCGTATATGTGTAAATGGAGAGCTGACATTTTGGGTCACTTTGGATATATATGTTGCTCCCATAATCAACGCAGGTTGACATGTGCAAAGGAATGATCCAAAGCAATTACAAGAACACATTTATTTTTACTATTAATGATTTGATCAGCTGGAGATAAATGCTTAGTAAATGCTAATGTCATTATAAATAATAACACAAACTAGACCTGCAAGTGAATACACCAGGGTTCGAGCATGCAATGCAACTCAGAAGCAAAATCATGGTAAATAAGTGGAGATGCAGAAAGATACGCTGCCTGTTTGTCGTCTGTGGCTCCTTCGCTCATCCTCTGTCCCAGCAGCTCCACCATCGAGAACTCAAACAGCCTCCCATGAATCACTCTAGCTGTCTCACCTTCCCTTCTCTCCAGAACATCAAAACTTACAGCAGCGCTTTGAAAAGAAAGAGAGGGAGTGTGAGGCCAAAAATAAGGAGAAGGAAGACATGATGGCGATGTTGAACAAGATGAAAGAGAAGCTGGAGCGGGAGAGCAACGAGCACAAGCAGGCCAAACTACAAGTGGCAGAGCTGTCCGCTCGGCTGCAGCAGCTCAGCAACGTACGTTCACCAACACAGCAATACGGCTCTGCATCACAATGATCTGTCCGCTTGATAATGAATCCATCTTTGTTTTGTTCTTTTCTCTTGTCAGACCTCCACTGTTCCTGGAGGACCTCCTGTGACCTCTGGTGGTTTAGTTCCTCCTGGTCCTGTCCCAGCCATCCCTCCTCCCCCTCCTCCTCCACCACCACCTCCTCCAGGAGGCCCACCATCTTTTGGCATGGCCCCATTTGCCCCACCACCTCCTCCCCCGCCAGGGGCTCCAATGGGAACTGCCCAGAAGAAGAATATTCCTCAGCCATCGAATCCACTGAAGTCCTTCAACTGGAGCAAACTCCCTGAGGTAGACTTACACTGCATTCACATGGATACAGGCATCAGTAGACGGCAAACCGAATGTCATGTTAGTGGATGAAAGCAGGGTGGTACAGTTGGCTGAGGCTGGAAGAGAATATAGGCAATGGTAACGGTAGACTGCATTGCCGTCCAAGTGTGAACGTTTTGCCGTCCTCTGCGATGGTATTTAAAACCAGATGTTACGTAGCTCCCTCACACAAGGAGAAAACATGGACAATCTGGACCACAAGACACTAATAATTAATACATTACATAAATGCTGCCCAAATCCATGTGACTGCTGAGGAACTGCTGCTACAGCTCCAACTTTTATTATACTATTACACACAGATATACTACGTTTATTACTGCATGCTGATACTACTATAGCAGTCTCATCTATCTAAACAAGACTAAAGCCTCTAGTTAAACAAACTAACACATTGCTAGGAGTAAGGAAAATATAGACTAACACCAGACTGATCCTTTAATGGGTGAATACCAGCCAGCAGCCTTAATCTTCTTTGGGAATAAAAAGCTGTGAGATGCGATCACTGGAAAAAATATGTTAATTGAACTATGAATTAAAGGTCCAGTGTGTAGCATTGGGATAATCCATATAAATGGAATATGATATGCATAGGTATGTTTTCATTAGTGTAAAACCACCATGTTTCTATAGTAGCCCAGAACAGACAAGCCTTTTTCGCAAGTTTCGTGGCCACCGTAGTTCCTCCTACACACTTCACAGCCGTTCTTATTCCCATACAGAGTACAGACGCGAGGTGTTCAGTTATCTTCAATTTCACCACCAAATGCCACTAAATCCTACACACTGGTCCTTTAAGTTGTTTAGTTGAGTGCATTATTGTCTGTTTCAGAACAAAATACAAGGAACCATATGGAAAGACATCGACGACCTCAAGGTGTTTAAAGTTCTGGACCTAGAAGAGTTCCAGAGGACCTTCTCAGCCTACCAGAAACCACAAGTAACATATTACACACTGGCACTAAACAGAACACTTTCAGCAACACTATCATTCTCTTATTTGCTTTTTATTTGATGTTCATTAATTATTTGGCATATCTATCCATCCATTTATAGATGGCCTTCAGTGTGTCACAGATATTGACACTGCTCACGTTCAGTTAATTTAACTAATTAAGGTTTCAAGTCTTTTTTTTTAGTATTCAAACAGAATTCAAGTCCAAGAAATGCACCATGACAGAGGAGGACTCACTCAAAAGCCAAAAGCACTTTTGGTTGCTAACTTGCTAATGATTTTTTCAGATGCTTTTCTCAAGTTTATTAGTATTTTGTCACAAACCTAATAAATCTATTTTATAATTACACGATTCTTTTGTTGTTGTAAAACAGTTAGAGATAATGATATACATGACTTAAATGTCATGTTCCCAATCCTGGCATCATAGAGTTTTGTCATATTGTGCTGAATTTTCCTGCATATTAACCGAAGACTGCTGAGGACGACCAGAGTTATGCCAAGAAAGTCAAGGAGCTGTCGGTTATTGATGGTCGGCGAGCACAGAACTGTAACATCCTGCTCTTACGGTGAGGGTTACGAATTAATGAATGAATGAGTCATGGTTATGTTGTTCACTTCCTTTTCATTTTAAACCCCTGTATGATATGACAAGATGCAATCTAAATTTCTGTGTCACAGGCTGAAGCTGACCAACGAGGAGATCCGCAATGCCATCCTGACCATGGATGAACAGGAAGACTTACCTAAAGACATGCTGGAGCAGGTGCCAAGACATACACATATACAAACACACACAACGACATGCTCCATTTATATTACCAGAGTATTGTGAGAAATACAGATGGGAGGGCGGTTCCTTAAGTAAAAGTCCTATTCATTTGACTAAATGTGAAACTACATGTACCATGACAGATAGACTTTAGAAGCTTCATTCGATTTTAGATTTTGGGATAACGCTGAATTAGCAATTATGATGCATGTTTATAATTGAAACATCCATATTTACTTTGTGCTCATGCGTAGGTGATAAATAATTACTTACAGAACTTTTCAAATCAAATGCACTTGATATGTGATATGATATTTTGTGTGATATGTGTCTGTGTGTGAAGCTTCTGAAGTTTATTCCTGAGAAGAGTGACATTGAGCTGTTAGAAGAACACAAGCATGAGCTGGAACGTATGGCCAAAGCAGATCGCTTCCTGTATGACATGAGCAGGTACGCACCAAAAAAACAATCCATACACACAGCAACACTTCTGAACACACAGGCTGTATATATCATCCAACATGGCAGTTTATAATAGCAAGACCGGCTGCACACTTTTAACTCCTCAGTAAATCCTGTATGAAGGAAACGCACTAATCAATGCACTAACTTCTGTTGAGTTGGACACACACCCAACATCACAGCTGGGTGTGGGGCGTAAAATGGGGATTTACATGATATGAAATATTGCTCCATCTCTTTGTGCCGGTACAGTTGCCAGTGACTGACTTATGCTGTGTACTCTCTGTCCTCACCCAGCATCAACCACTATCAACAGAGGCTCCAGAGTCTCTACTTCAAGAAGAAGTTTGCTGAGAGAGTGGCTGAGGTCAAACCTAAAATCAAAGGTAGTCTTTTCTATTCCAACAGGGCTTTAGTTCACATTCAGTCAATGGATGAAATTACATTTTTAGGAGGGGACTACATTTCAACCAAAGGTGAATGTCACTAACAAGTATGAATGCAGTTTTTTAAGTACTGTTTTGTACGACATATTGTGAGATATTAGACTGATTTGAGTGCTGTCTGTGAACATACTGTATATGGCATTCCCTCATTTTCTCTGTGGTTTCAGCTCTGAGTCTTGCGTCCAGGGAGGTGGTACAGAGCAGGACACTGCGTCAGCTCCTAGAGGTGGTCCTGGCCTTTGGGAACTACATGAACAAAGGACAACGAGGAAATGCCTACGGATTTAAAGTGTCCAGTCTCAACAAGATAGCTGACACCAAGTCAAGCACTGACAAGTACAGTTCATAACATCATAGGCTTTTTTCAGGAGATTTTGATATGTGGCAGTGGGAAAAGCACAGGTGTTAATAATACAGTGAATGATGTCTCAATGCAGTTTCAGGGTCCTTGTATTGTAAGGCAGCTGGCTTGTGTCCAACCACAGTGGTTTGGACCAATCATTGTCCTTTGAGGAACCACTGGGCACTATGGGCTAGGGCTGTGTTTTGGCAAGGATCTGGCGATATGATCGCCCCTGTATCACGATACAGGGGTTATAATTCAATATATTGTGATATATTGTGATACTGTAAGCAAGGCGATATATTGCAATGAGATCTGCATTTGTATTTATCACAGTCCATGCATGTTTTTAAGAATCGATACAATATCAAAGTAAAATATCGCAATACGATTTTTTAAATATGTTCTTACACCTTGTGGCACAAATTCAAAAATGGCGACTGCTAAAGAGGTTTGCGTAGATTCTGCTAGCATCAGTTCTATCAAAACTGGAGAGTATTTCTTCATTAAAAGAAGAGCAAAGAACGGCACTGAAGGCTTTTCTCCATGGAAAAGATTTTTCTCTCTTCTCCTGACTGGCTTCAGAGTTTTACCACGTTAGATGGTTCATTGATCTGATTGGTTGAAATTCACCCGTGACTGACAATGATAGACAGATGGTTCATCTAATCACATGCCAAGTATTTTTTTAAAGTGCCTGCCCTTTTCCAAACAGTTTCCAATTACGGCTTCCCACATGGTTCTGTGTAACAAGCCATCTGGCACATCAGGCACATGGCACATAGTTTTACCTACTGTATCACCAGTGAAAATGTCTGCTGTCAAAAAAAAGTTTAGCTATTTCTTCTAAACGCCACTGAGAAATGCTAAATGATTGATAAATGTATGTGGTGTGTGTTTTGTAGAAACATCACCCTGCTCCACTACATGATCACTGTACTGGAGAAGAAGTACCCTAAGGTGGCAACCTTCAGCGAAGAACTACAAAATGTGCCAGAAGCTGCTAAAGTCAAGTAAGAACGAACAGACACACACACACACACCTGGTGATAGTGGCGGTTAAATGACCAGTGTGTAGGATTTAGTGGCATCTAGCAGTGTGGTTGCAGATTGTAACTCACTCAACCTCCCTTGCCAAGCACGAAGGAGAAACTATGGTGGCCAGAGAACGCATTAAAAACGTCAATGCCTTGTGTTTGGTTTGTCCATTCTGGGCTACTGTAGAAACATGGCAACTTGCGGCATTTGTAGATAAAAACGGCTCATTCTAACAAAAAAACTAAATGATTCCTATTTTCAGATGATTATACACATACCTATGAATATTATATTCCATTTGTGACAATAGATCCTCCTAAATGTTATACACTGACTGCACCTTTAGTAGTAGATGTTGAATCAAGTCTATTTAAATAATATATTTAGTAGAAATAAATAGTTGTTTATATTGAGTTGGTTTATTCATATCTATAAAACTAGAATCAGGATATTTAACCTCACCTTTTTAATTAAGTGTACGTGTAAGTACTGTAAAGCAACACTGGGATGGTACCAAATGTGACAACCTCCACCTAAAACCAGTAATGTCCTAATAAAGTAATGTTAAATGTATTAGGTTTAATGCAGCTGGCAATGACCGACTGTCATGTTACTCATTACCTCTACCCTTCCTCTGCCTCTTTCACTGTTTCTCCAGTATGACAGAGTTGGAGAAGGACATTGGCAACCTGAGATCTGGTCTAAAGAGTGTTGAAGCGGTGAGTGAGCTCAGTAGAGTTCTTGAAAATCTGTTCAGTATCATCAAAGGATGTTTTATCACCCAACAACCTGGACATCCACTGTAAATAACAGCAAAAAAAATTATGTGAAAAGTCACATGTGAAATCAGTGTGCCTGTATCTGTACCAGTCTCACTGTCTGGTGTGTGTTTGTGTCTCCAGGAGCTGCGGTACCAAGAGGCTCAGTCCTCTCGCAGTTCTGCAAATAAGTTTGTCTCTGTGGTCAGTCAGTTCATCACTGTGGCCTCCTTCAGCTTCTCCGATGTAGAGGAGTCACTCACTGAGGCCAAAGAATTGGTGAGTGGGCAAGAGATAACTGTTATTCACATTCATTTTCAGCTCCAAACACTTGTATCATTATTGTAACACTAAGCAGTCTCAAGGTATAAATACACTGAGTAACCAGGAACCCAGTTAAACATCTATGGTAGATTCTGGAGTGACGTGTTACACAGTGCTCTCAATCACTAGACTAACACTGTTCCCCACTGCTTCCAATCTTGATGCTAAGCTAGACTAACCATGTCCTCTACAGCACACAGACTTGAGATTGATCTAAACATCTCACTGTAAGTAAGTGTATCTCAAATTGACGACATTAAGATGTGCCAGTGGGTTGCCTATTACTGTTCCAACACATCTCACTCCCTAGTCCTCACAAAGTGGGATCTAACAGCATTAACCATGCAAGCTTTATTTTGAAGGTGTCTGCAACCTTTATTATCACAATAGCCATTTTTGCCCCCGAAAAAAAAAATCTGCAGCAAAAATTTTTTATTTTATTCCAAAAAAAGAACATTGGTGGTGAAAGCAAATCTGTATACGTACTATTAAATTCTCAGTTTTACTCTGAGACTTTTCTTTTTTTGAATTTGGATATCAATTATAGCATACTAGCCTAGCTAGGGAGACCCACTGTTGAGGTTCAGCAAAATGTAGAGGAAAAGGAGCCAGGACAGTTTCTTTTTGTTTCTTTTTTTTTTTACAATTGGATTGTTAGATTAACTTTAGACATAAAACAATAATACAAGAAAATCTTTACAAAAACGTAATTTTCATTACCAAATCATTGTCAAAGCCACAGGGAGCCACTGGAGAGGGACTAGAGGGATACCAATAATTTCTAGCAGAGGGCCACTGATCAAGGGACCGTATTTGATGAGTTGTTTGCCTTCACATTTCATTACAGCATCATTTCCCTCCAGTACACAGACCTCAGAACAAATCTTAAGGTTATGAGGGCACTGTGATTTATGCTTCTGTATAACATACAAATGCATCTGCACCTTATTTGTGCTGTTCTTTTATTGAAGCATCAACTTAGTGTAGGAAGTTCATTTATAGCCTTTGATTAAAGACGAAATGCAGGAAATGACAGAATAGCCACCCTCACACATCACATCTCCTGTTGAAGTTTGGAAAGGCACTGAGGCACTTTGGAGAAGACATGTCCAACATGCAGCCGGACGAGTTCTTTGGGATCTTCGACACTTTCCTCACATCTTTCTCAGAGGCCAAACAGGACAACGACAATATGGCCAGACGCAAGGAGGAAGAGGAGAGACGGGCACTCATGGAGGCACAGGTTACAAGACATTTTATCGGCTCAGATAAGAAGGATACATAATGTTTGAATGGTTCTTTCTACACTTTACAAAATTTTCAAAATGTGACAGTCATTCATAAATGTAAAGATGTTATGCAAACATGAACCCTAGCCATCCATCCTCTACTGACATGATCTCTCTCTCTCTTCCTCTCCAGCTGAAGAAAGAGAGGGAGCAGAAGGCGAGGAAAGCAAATGAAGAGGAAGGCGGCGAGTTTGACGACCTGGTATCTGCTCTGCGCTCCGGAGAGGTGTTTGATAAGGATCTGTCCAAAATGAACCGAAGAAAGCAGCGGAGACATAACTTGTTTGACGGCAGCCGCGAGAGACCGCTAACAAAGCTGGACCAGTAAGAGGACACTTGATGGACAGCAGCACCTCACTGACTGTTAAAGCCCTGCTGAAACACACATAACGCTGTGGTAGGCTCAGAGTTATCATTTACACTGAAGTCCACATTCTGGTTGATGGGTCAAGGTTGTACAGGATGGATTTTTGTACTTTTGACCTTTCACTCTGCTACCATGCAGGCTGAGAAGACTATTGGTTACTAATAATCTTTTTATGCCATCTGTCACAACTTTCTTGTTTACTGGAGAAAATAAACTGCTTTCATACGGTGAGGACTCAAAGTAAAAGTTAAACAGTTTGAGAGTCCAATCTAGTTGCTTATACAGGACATTATGGAAAGAACTATGTTTAAGTGGAAGTTTTGTTCCCAGTGCATAGCCATTCTGGAGTAAGTACACTGGGTTTTTTCTGCATGTATATATGCAGTGATGGGATTTTTCATGTGCAGATGTACACATCTATGTTATGGAGGCACGAATGATGCAGACGTTTCCCATGGAACACAACAAATCTATCAGTTTGGGAAATACACTTATTGGCTTTCCTGCCAAGACTTTAGAGAAGATTTATACTTTCATGTCAGTGCTGGTAAATGTGAAGCTACTGCCAGATAGTTACAAAGGTCACAAAGTCCACCAGCAGCATCCGTAAAACTCACTAATTAACATGTTATATCTTGTTTGTTTGAACTTTATGAGCTTTAAAGGTGTTGGTAGGTGTATATTTTTCAGAGCCAGGCTGGCTGTTTACCCCTGCTTCCAGTCTTTATGCTAAGCTAGGCTAACCACGTCCTGACTCTAGCTCCACAGTCACCACACACAAGATTGACCCACAAGTGTATTTCACAAACATAATGCAGTGACGAGACAAAGAGAAAATATAGTTTTCCTGTATAGATTCAACTTGCACTTCCCTATATATATATATAAAGTTTGGACACACCTTCTCATTTAATGTTTTTTCTTTATTTCCATGACTATTTACATTGTAGATTCTCACTGAAGGCATCAAAACTATGAATGAACACATATGGAATTATGTAGTAAACAAAAAAGTGTGAAATACTTTTCCTTAGTAGTGGTTTTTTAGCAGCTATTTGACCATAAAGGCCTGATTCGCGCAGTCTCCTCTGAACAGTTGATGTAGAGATGTGTCTGCTACTAGAACTCTGTGTGGCATTCTTCTGGGCTCTAATCTGAGGTGCTGTTAACTTGCGATTTCTGAGGCTGGTGACTCGGATGAACTTATCCTCAGCAGCAGAGGTGACTCTTGGTCTTCCTTTCCTGGGGCGGTCCTCATGTGAGCCAGTTTTGTCGTAGCGCTCAATGGTTTTTGCGACACATTCAAAGTTTTTGCAATTTCCCGGGCTGACCTTCAGTTCTTAAAGTAATGATGGACTGAATGATGGGTTCTTGCCATAATATGAATTCTAACAGTTGTCAAATAGGGCTGTCAGCTGTGTACCAACCTGACTTCTGCACAACACAACTGATGGTTCCAACCCCAATAAGAAGGCAAGAAATTCCACAAATGAACCCTGACAAGGCACAGCTGTGAAGTGAAAACCATTTCAGGTGACTTCATCATGAAGCTCATTGAGAGAAGGCCAAGGGTTTGCAGCACTGTCAACAAAGCAAAGGGTGGCTACTTTGAGTAATCTAATTTATTTCACACTTTTTTGTTTACTACATAATTCCATATGTGTTCATTCATAGTTTTGATGCCTTGAGTGAGAATCTACAATGTAAATAGTCATGAAAATAAAGAAAAACCATTAAATGAGAAGGTGTGTCCAAACTTTTGACTGGTAGTGTATATATATATATAAATGCTTGCTTTTATGCCATTTGTGTGTGTGTGTGTGTGTGTGTGTGTGTGTGTGTGTGTGTGTGTGTGTGTGTGTGTGTGTGTGTGTGTGTGTGTGTGTTATAAGTGTATTTGAGTCTAGAGCATTGAGAATGAATGCTTGACTGGTATGTTTTGCGTTTTCTTGTGTTCAAAATGTTCCTGTACAGGATATTTTGCACAATATAACATAATATAAAATTGACCATGAGTTGTATTGATTGATTTGACGTGGATGAGAGAATTGAACTTTGGAATGTGATTGGCAGACAGTGGAGATGTCTGAAACTGCAGATACATTCTCTCACAATGTCCTTTATGTAACTTAATGAATGTATCTCAATGTACTGACCTGAAGCAGAACACTGTTCCTTTTTGTGCAATTATAATAACTGAAAATGGCTTTTCCAAAATGGTCTGCTTTGCCCGATTTTGAGTGTTTCTATATTCTTTTAACATAAATGTTTTTGCAAAACAGAGACATACCACACATCAACATGTTTTCATATGTTTTACAAATTATGGTGTTATAATAACTCTTGTATATTTGCCAAAGTTAGCACACCTCAGGTTTGATAGTTCCATTGGAATAGACCTTTTTCACAACAGCCATTTTGACATGAAATTGTAGGCTAAACACAGGTGTTACCAAATTAAGGCTCTGTTACATTTAGTGTAGCAGAGACTTTCCAGTGAGGAAACATGTGCAACAACAGCACCCTGACTCTGTCTGACCTTTTGTGTTTTTGTACAATTGGTAATACCTGTGGTTACCCTACCCTTACTATTTTATGTAAAAATGGATACATAAAAAACATGTCTGTCCATCCTCTAAAACATTGATTGATCAGTGAAAAATACACAAACAAAAAGGCAATCCAGGCACATTCCTTGAAGACACATACCGGTACCTAGCTAAATGCTAAGAAAACAGCCCTAACCCTAACCTTTTTTGGTCCAATTCAGGCACAAAACCATCATTGCTATTTTTTGAGAGTGCCTTGGTTTAGGGCCTTTTTGTTTTTTCCCTGATTCTAAGAGCACCTGATACAACTTCTGATCTACAATCAAGTATTTTAAGCAACTTGTCCGCTCCCTTTTCCTACAGTAAAATGTATACCAAATTTAAAAAGTGAATCATTTATTAACTGTCAATACGTTCCATGTGTTGAAGTCTCTGTTTGTTGCTGCTGGATCCATCCATTCTAAAACACTTTGTTTTTAGGGTGGATTTCATGTAAATGTACTATTACAATTCTCTAATAACTAAAGATCAGTATTATCAGTTGATATGGGTATATATACAGCAGTCAGGTGTAATATGGGTGAAATGATATTATTTATAAGAATGACAGTCTCCAAACAAAGCTTATTCATCAGCTGCTGCTATATTTTGTCCCATGTGTCCACTGATGGCTTTCAGGCTTAGTGCACTCAATGAAATCTCGACAGCTCTGTCATTTTTGTGTTAATGCTCATTTACACAATGGGTCTGATGTTCTGGGTTTGATTTTAAACAAAGGTGAGCATTGTCAGTTTTGAAGTCTCATTGTGTCAGATGTACAGATGGTGTTCTGTCCCAGACTCAGTCTGAGAATGTATCCTTTGAAGTGAAATGGCTTCTTTGGTTGAAACTGACACTTTACTCACATGTTCCACGATCTGGGTCCATTACATAACAACATGACATTTCTACTCCAAGAGCTCAGAGGATCAAGGTTCTTCTGTCTGAGGAGAAAATGCATTGTGGGGTGAAACACTTTCTCAGCTGTGTGGGATATTTGGACTTTGATTTACTGTAACTAAAACAAATAATGCTTTTTCTGTGTGTCAAAAAAATTGTGCTGCTGGCAACAATTAATGCCACCAATGTCACTGAAATGTCTAATGTCAGTAAAAGTGGAAATAACATATTTACTTATATGTTTTTCTGTCATTTTCTATGATTTCTTTAGGAACTGCAGTAGAATATTATAAGCATAAAAGTGGACAATCTTTACTGCTGCATCCAAGGGCAACACAAACGTTATGTTGAATGTGTGTGAGTGTGACTTTTATAAAACACTATGAGTGACCCTAAGACTAGAAAGGTGCTATATAAGTGCTGTCCATTTACTTCTTTTACATTTGCGGGTGGAGAAAAAGTGGTAAAGTCCCTAGGGTGCTAATCCTAACCCTGAGTAAGCTGTTTCATCATAAATGCATCACACCTTACTGCAAGCTGGTGCCCTTTTTATTCCTTTCACCCTGCTGTCACTAGTTAGCTAATGAGAACTAATGTAGGACGTCCAAGCCAACATCAGTCACATTCTACACAAGCACAAGATGGCACTACACTTAACTTATTATTTTATTATTTTATACCAGGTTCACCAGGAATTAAACCTATATATATACATATATACATATATATATATTTAGAGTGGGGATTTATCTGGTAGGTTATGCTAACTACATATATATAGTGTTTCATGTCCACTTTAAAGTTGAACTGAAGTAGCAGAACAGGAACTATACTGTTCTATACAATACTGTACATTTTTATTTTTACACTGAGGTACGATATACTGCATTTGGGTTTTGTCCCACAAATCCACTTACAGAGTGAGAGAGAGAAAACACTGGATGATCAACTATAATATGTCAGTTCAATATGTCTGATATCATAATCACTCTGTAGTGTGAATAAATATGTCATTTAAATTATATATATATATATATATATATATATATATATAGAGAGAGAGAGAGAGAGAGAGAGAGAGAGAGAGACTACAAACAGATACACCGATCACATAACATGATCACTGACAGGACACTGATTAGCCACCTGCAGGGGGACATGTCAGGCAGCAAGTGAACATTTTGTCCTCAAAGTTGATGTGCTAGAAGCAGGAAAAATGGACAGCGTGAGGATAACACACCATAACCATAACCTGGTGGTCAGAATGTTATGGCTGATCGGTGTATATCATTATCCCTGTAGAATCCATATGAGGCTGGTAGCTCTGAGAAAGGATAGGATAAGACTTACACTTTACTGATCCCACACCAGGGAAATTTGCTTGTTACAGCATCTCTATATAAATCACAATAAAAAAACGTGTGATAGATAGGAAAAAACACATGTAATAAAAATAAAAGAGAAAATACAGCATTTTCCTTCAGATATGAAACATCAATATATAAGAAAAAAAATATTGAAATTGCACAAAGATTACAACAGGAGGTAGCTGTACTGTGCGAATACATATATAAATGAGATATATATAATGATATATGTAGAGACTGATAGCTTATAAATACATATATAGGTATAATTGTACTGTACATGTGTAATATAATAATCTTAACGTGTATTGTAAATTAAAGGTGCAAGTCACAATTACACAGAACACATCTGGGCTGCTTTTTTAAACAGTTCAACTAAACTGGAACAGTGAGCTTTTTAAAAAGCAGAGCGTGTTTGGACCTGACTGCAGAGCCACAGCAGCACACAGTCAGCACACAGTCAGCAGCACTTCTATGTATGATGGAGTCACCCTCTAAGCTCCGCCCACATGAGTCAGACCCGCTGAATAATGCTGAAGGCTCACAGTAATGTTCATGGTAAATAAGTTTAATGAATACAAGCTGTACGGGGTCCTGTGGGGGGGGGGCTGTATACTGTCCCGTGTATGGAAATATTGTTTGCCGCCCCTGGTGGAGGCTCTAGTGCACGCAGAAAGAAAACAAAGCTGCATTCAAGACCGCGCCACCGCGGAGCGCTTGTATGATACGGCTACTATTATAAAACTACGAATTTAAACCACAGCTCAAACATAGACTTAAAATATGCTCGGCACTCTTAAATCAATCAAAATCCCGGGTTAACTTGTCGGAAAGGCTCCGTTGTGCGGGTTTCCTCCCCCTCTACGCAGTACGTGGGACGTTCACGAGCGCGCAGCCTCGGAAGTTCCAGTAGGCAAAAAGGCTGCGCGAGCCGCTAATGCTACTTCCTGATTTCGCAGCAACAGATGAAAAGGGCTTCTTCTTGGGGGCAGGAGCCGACTAACCTCGAAGCGTATCGTTTTGCTCCGATAACCACAAGAAAAGCTTCGGGGTTTAACTCCAGCGTCGGCTCGCGTTGAGGAGTGTCGCCGCGATGGTGGAGACTCCAGCCGGCTGCCTGTTTGAAGACATCCAGTATGAAGACATCCAAGTTGAAGCGGTAAACTTACTGACCAACAACAGCTCTTAACGTTAGCTCTGTCCGCTTTGGGACGAACGGTCCAGGAGTTTAAATGCAGCTGTATGTTCTGTCTGTTCATGAGCGAAGCTGGAGTGATATAGGCTATAGGATAAGTCTGCTGGTGTAATTGTGTTGTGTTGTAATTACTGTCCTGTTGTCCTTTAATGTGAAATACAGAGAGAGTTTAAACCACGAAACACAAGAGCAGCGTTTGCTATTGAACACCCTAAATGCATTTTAACAAGCAAAGCGAGGCCCCAGTGTAGGAAAGGGCAGACTGGTCGTAAAATGGGCACACTGGTAGAAGCCAAGTAAGTTAGCTAGCTGGTTGTAAATATATAGTGCATTTAAAAGCTCTCCCCCGATACTGGGGTCCTGTTTACCAGGGCCAGACCTTGGGGCGTCCAGGGCGAGAATGAGTTGCCCCCTGCTCCTCCCCCTCTCTGGGCATTGTGTCCTGAGCTGGAGGAAAAACTACCAGCACGTTTCCCTCGAGTAAAAGTAGAATGACCTGTGTCAACATGTACTCAGTTAAAAAAAGAAAGTATAATAGGATATTTAATAGAAGTAGTCCAATGCATTCTGACAACAATAAATCCCTTTTCCTTATATGGACATTTGCAGCCTGTGTATACAACTGTTATATACATATATGATTGCCTTCCTTATGACTTTAGGACAAAACTCAGACACACTGACTGACCTATCGCAGACATATCGGTATCAGTGTATATGCTAGGGCTTCCCCCTAATAGTCGACTTAACCGTTAGTCAATGAGAAGACTCTCAGTCGACAAACTTTTCATTAGTCGGATAGTCGCTAAAAAACAAAAACAATGTCAGACTCCGTCCAGGAGCTGCACCTTGACCCCGGGACGAAAGAATTGTTTGGAACATGGACCTTTTCTCTTGTAACACAAGAAAGCAGCCTTCTGGGTACCTGTGCAGACACATCAGTGCAAAATCAGTGTCTATTTTCTTTGCAGCTCAAATATTCCCTTTATCGGCTGCCGTATTGGTACTCCTCTAGAGGGCTATATCTGTCGGGCCATATAAATAAAATAACCTGCCACTCTAACAGCAGAATAAAGCATCGCCAAGGCAGACAACACAGAGATGTACAGACGGTTTAAACTAACAGCAGCTGCAGCCCACAAACATGCACATTAAAGCAAAGGAAAATAAAGAGCTTTGTTTTTTATACTGTTCACAAGATGCTAACCCTGGCCCTGGTGTGATCACACCTCCCGTCCCACCCAGACACTCGGCCAGTGGAGGCAAACATGTGGAACATGTATGTTTCCCAGAGTATCATCTGAGTGCAGTGTCTCCTCTCTGGAGCTCTGCCCTCCTGCAGCTGCTGCTTCAGCTCCTTTTATTCTGTTCCATTCTCACACAGTTTATCAGGACGCTTGTTTTTACGCTGTAATCTGAAACTTGATAAAAAATACTCAATAAAGTATGGCTTTGTTACAATAACAAAGTAAATGTCATGAGTTTCTTCAAGCACTCAGTATGATATTGTGTGTCTCTTCAGGCTGTTGGCAGAGGGACATTTGGAGTCGTCTTTAAGGCCGTGTGGAAAGGAAAGGACGTAGCAATCAAGACCATTGAGAGTGAGAATGAAAGGAACGCTTTCCTTGTTGAGGTTTGTTGTTTTGTTGTTCTCAGTGCATTTCCTCTTTTTGGTGTAGGCTGCTCTGATAGTGAAACTGATACTGGTGCATTCAGGTGCTGTGGGACTTTACAGATGTGAGAGTCAGCTGATGAACAGTGGCTTATTTAGTGGAAGATGACATTATTGTATTTAGTGTAATTCATTAGACCTATTGTTAGGCCCTATGAGATGATGATGTCAAATAAATTTTTATCTTATAAATTTAGATTCTGCTATAACTTTTAAAACTTAAGCAAGCTTTATACCGACACTTGAATGCACCACGAGCCACACACACATTGAACAGGAAGTGTTGCTTTTGTATACTGGTGTTTTATCACAAATACTTTGGATACAGGTTACATTACATAACACCCATAATAGTCCAGTGTATGCAGACATACACACAACATAACTTTATCTATATAGTGTATGTATATAAATATATAATGTAATACAAACAGACAGAAATATTAATATATAGATGGATATATTTATGGTAATATGTGTGTTGTGTTTGTGTACAGCTCCGCCAGCTCTCCAGGGTCAATCACCCCAACATTGTTAAGCTGTATGGCTCCTGTGACAATCCAGTAAGTATACAGCATTCAGAACTGTGGCGCTGATTACTCCTGTATTATGAACATACCAGTGCCCCTCTCTATGATGTGTGTGTTGAAGGACAAGTGAATGAATTTCAGAGCTGATCAACAGGGTTTTAGATAAGAATTGTTTCATTGACGTGTTTGTCCCTCCACAATGCCATCAGGCATCACCTCGGTTGACAGCAAGGTCAGAGAGGGAAGCACTGCCTTTTTCTCTGAAGCATGTGGTGGCTGTTAACTGTCAGTGGAGATTCAGTGATGGACTGTTTTGTATTCAAAAGTTAAAGCTCAGTACTCTCTTCGCCTTCCAGGTGAAAAAATAAAACAAAATAAAGTTACTAGAAGTGCTTCACAGACAGTTCGTCAAATTAAACATTCCCTGTGTTTCTTGTTAAGACAGATTCCCTTGGAAGAGGTGTGCCAACTCTGCATGGAAATATAATGTACTCACATAAAAATATATCACTGACACAACACAATATTACAATGCCGGAAGTGTTAACATGTAGCCTTCAAAATAAAAGTCTGAGCTAATTTATTCATAGGATTTATAATGCCCTGTGCTTTCGACAACATACACGTGGAAAAAGTTTTTTCAAGATTTTTTGCATATAGTAGTGCCATGTCCCACTCACTGAGATAAAGTGTTGACACAAAGTAACACAGTGGTTGTATAAGAGCAGAATATTGTGGAGTGTGTGGGTAAAACACGGTAACATCAATAAACATTTTGTGGGTTAATACTGCATTATTTTAGTCCATCATCTTGTTGTTAATATGAACATGTTGTCAGGGAGTTGCAGATTGTAGCTATATTTACAGGCAGACATATGACCGATGCCTCACTGTCATGCTTTCACTGCTAAGGTAACATCATTTGTTTTGTCAGGTCTGTCTGGTCATGGAGTATGCAGAATGTGGATCTTTATATAACTGTAAGTAATATTATGTCTGTAAAAAATATAGTTGATTCACATTGACTGGATGTCATGATCAACAGCATAAGATAGTAATTATTCTTAAAGGGATTAGTGTCTGAATCACAGGATAATTCTGGTTATTTTTATTATTTATTATTATGATTTTGTTGGGCAGAATAGTTTTTGCCAATAAATGATTATATATACAGTATATGATCATACAGTATTATCTCATTCTTTGCTTCTCTTTTTGTATGTCACTTATAGTGTTGCACAGTGCAGACCCACAGCCCCACTACACAGCATCCCATGCCATGAGCTGGTGTCTGCAGTGCGCACAGGGAGTAGCCTATCTGCACTCTATGAAGCCAAAGGCCTTAATTCACCGGGACCTTAAACCACCAAAGTAAGACTCTTCATGATCAAACAGTTTTTGTAAGAACTCACTGGTAGGTATGTGGCTGTCACTTGATCTATTGATTGATTTGATCATTGACGATCACAAGTCACAAGAAGGTTTAAAAGCTGCTTTAAATGTAAATATGTGTAATATTTAGATGATCCCTAGAGGATTCATTAGAAGAGTCATCAGTAAAATATATTTGTGAATGAAAAGTCTCTAATCTCTGTCCACTGTCCTGTTTCAGTCTGCTGCTCGTGGCCCGTGGTACCGTGCTGAAGATATGTGACTTCGGAACAGCTTGTGATATTCAGACGTACATGACCAACAATAAAGGCAGTGCAGCCTGGATGGCACCAGAGGTGTTTGAAGGTGAGCCTCAAACTCTACTTTCTACTCTACTTTCTCTACTTTGCAAACTAAAACTACAAATTCAAAAAACTGATATGAATGTAAACAAAGCCAAATCAAGTGATAGATGTTTGTTCATTTTAGTTGTATTATGCAGATTTTCTTGTGTTGCACAGTCAGTAACTGCACATACAGTATGGTACAGTATGTGGACCATTCTCTTTTATTTTGGTCAGCTGTTAAAATATGTGACCATTGTTGTGATTAGCTTCCAAGATACTGACTTGTACCTGCATTTTGCTAGTTGTGATTTTTTTAGTTCTGAATACAATAAAAATAACTTAAATGTGTGTCTTCCTCAGGCAGCAACTACAGTGAAAAGTGCGACGTGTTCAGTTGGGGCATCATCCTGTGGGAGGTCATCACACGCAAGAAACCCTTTGATGAGATCGGAGGCTCTGCGTTTTGTATAATGTGGGCCGTCCACAGAGGTGAGCCACAACTGTACCAGCTGCTTTGGTGATGTGCTTTTTCATTTTGTTTTAGCTCCTCACTCAGATCGACTATGTAAACCTAGGTTAGAGGAAAACTGTAGTGAACTGTAGCCAAATCACTGGAGACGCTGCAGAAAAATCGGCTGTGCTGAGAAGAATAAAAAGCAAGCTAACCCAGAGTGTCCCATAAACATCATGCAACTGCATCAATAAAAAAGGAGGAATAAAACTGGGAACAATGTGTCTGTACTAGGCATATACTGGTAAATGATAGGACCATTTGTGAACAAGAGTTAAAAAGAGTGGGAACCCCGACAGAGGAAAAAAAGGCGGTACTTAGGAAGCGTCAAAATCAGTGATCAATCATTTTATGTTATTTCTACATGGAAAAGAGTGTTTCACCAATAGTTCAAGCAGCCTAAATGAATGCAATTCCAGGTGGGTGGATGTTGAAAAATGCCTGATACTTCCCCACACTAGTTAACTGTGTCTCTCTGTCCCGTTGACACTGGGCAGGTAGCATCCAATCAGTTTGTGTCAACTGATTGGATGCTGATAGGATTGTGTTGTTTCTAAAGTGAAAGCAGCTCTCTTGTTTTACTATGAGTTTTACAGTGAGAGCGGTTTAAAGTTGACCATAGTTCAGTAAACCAAAAGAATGAGCTGAAAGCCTCATAGAGCTGCAGACTAACTGTTGTTCCTTCCCTGCAGTGATCATAAGCACGCAAAGCTTATCACATTTAGGCATTCCAGGCCCCTGACTGACTGACTGTTTACTGTGACGTAGGTACAAGGCCTCCTCTCATCAAAGACCTTCCAGAGCCCATAGAGACTCTGATGACTCGCTGCTGGGACAAAGAACCTAGCCAGAGACCGTCAATGGAGGAAGTCAAGAACACCATGAGCAATCTGATGAAGGTATAGTTCCATCACACTTTACATTTCTGTTTGGGTACAGAACAAACTAAACATAAGATAAGAATTAGCTTTAGAGATGTCAGTGGGTGTATTTTTGTAAGCCTTGGACAGAAAGTAGGGCTCATGGTGAGCCTAACAAACTCAACTAAGGTCCAACCGTCTCATTAAGCCAACTCAGAGTTGATGACCAACTAAACAACCATATTTGGAAGTTCATCTTCCTTCAACTGGATATTGTTGCTCTGCTCTGTAAACATAGGCATGAGAGTCACATTGATATTCTCATCACCAATCATGTTACCCAAAATGTTGAAATGTGCTAATGTTTTGTTAACACCAACACGTTTGGATATGTTTTTCCTTCTAATACGGCTTTATGGTCCAGATCAAACTGTAATGAGCTCTTTGTAAAAGTTGGTGTTGGTGTGTTTGGATCTTCCAGTACTTTCCAGGCTCTGATGAACCACTCAAGCTCCCTCACCAGTCTTCAGCCACAAGCTCAGGTAACTCCAACTTCTACTAGAGCCTTGGTTCATCATCATCAGTCACTACTATTAGTGTAGTTGTTGCTACTGTTGTTGCTCTCTCTCTCTCTCTCTCTCTCTCTCTCTCTCTCTCTCTCTCTCATGGTGGTACTGTTGGGTCTCTGTAAATGTTTAAAAAGTTCGGTCTAGACCTACTTTATTTGAAAAGTGTCCTGAGATAACTTCTGTTATGAATTGGTGCTATACAAATAAAATGTAATTGAATTGGTCATACTACATGACTTTCAAAGTCATCAGATCTCTGTACTGTTCACACTACAAGATCTTTCACAACTAGTCTGACTACGTTTCATCAAGAGTAATTAATAACAGCATTAGCAAGCACATCATGTTTAATTAGGAAAGTTTAAACACACAAACACATTTACAGCATACTGCTGTTAGAAAGTACAATTTAACTGATAATGATCCCGATTAACCAGTGTCAGGAATCAATACACACATTATTAAACCATTAATAAAACTGATAACTAACCGCAGATAACATTATTATACTTTTAAGTATTTTTTGGCTTTTATTGCCTTTATTGGATAGTGACAGCTGAAGACAGAGAGAGAGGATGACATGCAGCAAAGGGCCGCAGGTCGGATTCGAACCCTGGGCCACTTACCTTGTGTTTGTGTAGTGGTGACAAAATGTTAAAAATATTTAATTAAACATATCAGTTTGAATTCAACCACAAGCTCCCTGCGCCAAACTCCCTTTAAGAAATATCCCATTTTAACAATTCCTAATGTGTCTGTAACAACAGTTAACTCTAGAAACACGAGCTAAAGGCCATTATTTGTCTTCTTCCATAAAGATAGTGTAGTAAGGTAAGTGTATTCTGTACAGTCTTTGCATTTTAATGCTTCATTGTGTTCAGCCTCCATTGTAGCTGTGCTCTTTCAGTGGGAGAACACTGTGGGAATGAGAGGCAGACCGTTTCAAAAATGAGGATTTCTCATTAAAAGAAGTGCTGGTTGGTGGATCAGATACACGCCCAATTGAGCACAGGCACACAACCCTGTTAATTCAACGTCTGTTATGTGTGTGTATCTGATGAGCTGTAGCTCACTGCACGCCCCCCACAGTCATCTCTGACACGCCAAGACATATAGCCGTCTCACAGGGGCACGCAGCGGTTTGCCTCTGATCTGGGGGCATTTGCCAGTTATCTCCCAAACTTGTCAGCCTGTGGAAAATCAGGGCTGAAATCACATTTTGTGAACTGGGCTTAATGCATCATTGTTTCGGTGAACTTCTGTCAAGTGTCTATAGCTAACAATTGGGTCTGTGTGTTGAATTCAGAGAAAGTCTATTCATGAATCAGTGTTTGCTGTCTGCAGGCTCGTACGCTGACTATACCATCAACAGTAACAAAAGTGACGACAACGCAGAGCTCAGGAACTCAGTGGGCAGAGAAGAAACTCTAAAAAGCTTTGAGGCCAAATTTCCACTACAGTTCAAACCCTCAAAGGTAATGTAACCACAAACTGATCATACATCACATCACAGCTGCTTTGCTCAACACAGTTTTATGATTTCAGCCTTTTTTCTTCCCCCTTAGACAGCCACATTGCGTACTGGTCTGTCCAGGGTTTCCAGTGTAGACAGTCAACCAGGACGCTCCCAAAGCCCCACCCACTGCACCAGCCCTATAACCACCACCGGTCAGTCAGAGCTGAGGATGACGATTAGTCCCACAGGTATGGAAGAACAGTACTTACTAAAGACTGAAATCAACTTGGTGAAATTTACTCTCATGGTGTGGCCACAAGCCCCCTGCTTTAGTATTATTAAGTAGTAGTTATTTAATAAATAATAAAATGAAATGCTGCATTTTCCATTGAAGCCCGCCTAAGGTATTTTTCGACCTGGACATTATTTTCCCATGTTTTTTGTGTTGAATTTGGGCCAGTATTGAGTGAGAGTGCAAAACTGGCTACTGTTTTTGCCACTGACAGGCTTCGATTGTTGTAAGTGTCTGACAACATAGTGGACCCTACAGACAAATTAAAATGAAACATTTTTGGTACCTTTAGCTTGATTCTGTCTGTGAAATCTCCTCCGTGGGCACAGGGTCACAGCACCCATAGGAAACATCCAGTCTCCCAAGTTTCACAGCCTTGCATCAGCTGGTTCACCCTCCTCTGCCTGTTGCCCCCACTGTCCTCGTCCACTCTTCGGTTTGTAGTCTTACCTGTATACTCAAATAAATATGGGGGGCCATCAAATTCAAAGGCTGGACCTGATTCAAAACTTCCCCATCCGTCACTTTGACACAAAAACAGGAAAAGAAGGTCCAGGTTGAAAAATACTGAAGCTGACCTTTAATAACACATATAACAGACCTGGGGTGTTTAGCAAAATCTCTGCCAACTTCCCACTTTAACAGGTTGACTTGATCTGACTGCTCCTGGATGCCCACACACAGTCAGAGCTTTGACTCACGTTGCACTGTCCACACTCCACCACTAAGAGGCATTACAGCTCAACTTACCAGTGTCTGTATCTGTGCAGCTGTCTGTGTGCTTTCTGCTACAGGAGCTCTTTTACACTGACAATGACTGTGTGTGTGTGTGTGTGTGTGTGTGTTTAGCTACCAATGGTTTAGACAGCTCCATTCCCATGGCCTACCTGAAACTGGATCACAAGTTACAGGTAAGATGAAAATACGTTGTTGTGTTCATTTCATAAAAACCTTTCCTTGACATTACACTACTACTATTGTTATCAATAATAATAGGAGTAATAATAATAATAATAATGTCTCTGTCTAATGAGATATTTTCAAGTTATTTATTATTTATTTTTATAATTTACAAAACAATGGAGCATGGGTCAGTAGAATACTATTATCATTGTCTGCTTTAGAACAAGGTCCACCCCCAGCTATTAAATTGTTCTATTCAACAGTATAAGCTGATGCTTCTACCAGTGTTAAATGAATGCAATACTTTATGCATGTGTATTGCTTCCTAAGAAACAGGAGCCTGTTACACCAGCTGTGTGAGTTCTCTCCTACGTTAGGGTGTGAAGTCGACTCCAGAGGCTCAGTAACTACCAGTGAGTTAGTAATTAAATCAGCTACTAAAATCAGTTGCACCACCAATATTTCAAACATAACTAGTTTGGAAGTAAAATCATAACTAAGGCAAGTGGCCAATCAACGATCAAGAGAAGAGTCCCTTCACCATGGTTACCGTGCACATTAGCTTTCTCACATTTGCTTTAAAACTACCAGCAGCTTCTCACAGTATCACTCTGAACCGGTTGATGTCGTCATAAACGAGGCCTGTTAGGGAACCGTGTCTTAATGTCCGTGCTGTCCGTGTGCTTTCAGCCTCTGGCTCCGTGTCCAAACTCCAAAGAGTCCATGGCCGTGTTTGAGCAGCACATCAGGATGGCTCAGGAGTATCTCAAAGTCCAGTCAGAGATCGCTCACCTTGTTCGGAGGAAGTAAGTCAAGTCACATATTGTGTGTTATTATTTTCCTAGAACGCTACACTTGAATATATAATATATGAAAATATATGAGTTAGTTAACCTAATTTGTGTTCATCATGCTGTAACAACTACAAAACAAAACCATCATGGAACCAATACTGATTCTCCTTCATGTCCTTACCAGTATGGACGTAAAACAGGTCTTAAATTGCATTTGTAATGGTCTTAAAAAGTCTTCAGTTAAACCTGTTGAAACCTGCAGAAACCCTCTCCTAAGTGATCTGCGTACACAACATATTTCTCTATGCAAGAGCATCTGGTAACCATAGTAACCTATGTGCATTGGTGCTGGGATTGTCCCCTGATCAGTTAGAAAGTGAGGAGTTAAAACAGAGGTGTGTTGTGTGTTTGATCAGTTGCTCATTAAAAACAGTGAGAGCGACAGAGTGACCACACAGTATCTGTTTGATCCTGTCATTACTGAGGTCCACTTCCAGTCTGGACTGACACATTTCATTATCACTTCTCTTTTGGTGAGTTCTTTGTGACTCCAGAGAAGATAATAAAACACATTAGGTTCAGTAAAGTGCTGCTTAACCTAATAACAGATTCTGAAATACATGAGACATCTTCAAGGACGTCTGCTGCCGCTGGCTCCCCTGTAATTCTAATTCTGCATTTAAAGGAACAGTTCGACATTTCGGGAAGTAGGCTCGTTTGTTTTCTTCTTCTGAGATGAGAAGATGGAAAACAATCTCATGTCTGTGTGTTAAAGCTGCAGTAGGTCATTGTTTTTTCATATTTGCTGAAACACTGAAATACATGAGACAGATAATTGAAACCAACCAATCAGAGCCAAGAAAGATAGTTGATTGTTAAGTCTCATTCCCCGGGCATCAAATACTGATGCTTTGGGACCCTGGGAATGAGACTCAACAATCAACCATCTTCAAGCCTCCAACCCAAAGCGTCTTTCTATCTTTCTTGGCTCTGATTGGTTGTTTTCATTCAGGCCCGGTGGATTCTTGCAGATACCATCAGGAGCACTGGGAGGAGCCATCGGAACATTTTTTAAATTTTTTTTTTTTTTTTTTTTTTTTTGGGAAAAAAAAAAAAGTTTCAGTGAATATGAATATAAGTTATTTTTATCAAAGTTACCTACTGCAGCTTTAAGAATTGGAATTAGGTTAGGTTGTTGTTAGCTCACTGATTAATTAAGGCTAGCTGTTTCCTGATTCCTGACCGACCTGTAAAATTGACTTTAGTTGAACATAAAGGGGTTGGTTTAGAAAGTGTCCATGATGTACTGACAGCGGCTCTGTGCTGCTCCCTGTTTAAGGCAGGAGCTGATGTCTGAGCTGGAGCAGGACCAGAGGGAGCAGCAGACGTCATCCAGACTCATCCAGGAGCACAGCAAGCTGCTGGAGGACAACAGCAACCTGTCGGCACACTGCCAGGGCCTGAGGAGCAAACTGAGCCTGATCAAGAGCCAGAACCAGCACCACAGCTAGGACAGGGGGCTGGGCCACAGCGCGTAGTCCACCTCTTTTTACTCGGTTCTCTCCCAGACTGCCTTTTCCTCTGAAGGATAAGAGGAATCACTCTATGAACTGACTTTAAAGTAGGGAAGCCTGTTATCCTGAGAAAATATATTTAACTCACTACAAAACAATGTATCAAGATAATGTTAGAATTCCAGTTTGGGATTGCAGGCTTTAAAGTCCAACTGAAATATAAACTATAATGATAAGGCAGCTATCAAAACTGTTTTTGGATACACTTTTGTGGAAAGCATAAATGTGTAACAAGTGAGAGCTGGTGCTAAAGGTAAGTGGTTAAAGGAAAACTCTGGTGTTTTTCAACCTGGGTCTCATTCTCAGAATCGACCTTTTGAGCTCCAACAGTTGAGTAAGCCTCGGTCGGAACCTCGGTCAGCTGTCTCCCTGCCTGTACTCAGATATGCTATGTGCTAGGCTAATCTGTGATGAAAGAAAGATGAAGGTGACATCCGTATAGTCACATCTTAAGTTAGCTGATGTTAGCAAAACGCTAGCTAACTAGCTAGCTAATGATCGTTAGTTAGCTTGTGTTTGCTAACATGAACTTTTATCTTTTAGCCATCTTAAAATGTGGTTAGCTTAGCATATTGAAGTACAGGAACAACGAAGCTGGCCGAGGTTCTGGCTGATGCTTGCTCAGCTGTTATTGGAGCTCAAAGCAGAAAGGGGCGGGACTTAGGAAGGGTCAGTTGTGTGCAATCTCAGCTCTGTTGTACAGATTTGGAAAGCAAAAGGTAAAAACCCTAGCGAGTCATTTGAATCTTTACAAATAAGCTTTAATTTTACAAACATCACCACAAATGCTTGTCTCTGAGTTTGACCCAAAAAACCACAAAGTACCTCCCTAGTGAAGCTAGTGTAGCTAACTGCACAGTGATCTAGGTCCAGTGCAACCTTCCAGCCAATCAAACCAGCAAGCAGTTTGTCCCAATATACAGTGCATTGTTCTGCTTGAGTTGCATTTCCTGAAGATGATGAATGCAGAGTTAGCATGACCTATAAGTGAGGAAGGCCACAATTCTGAGAATAAGAACCAGGAGGAAAAATGTCAAAGTTGAAGCTAGTTAGCGTCATTTGCTACCGTTAGCCTGTCTTAAATGGGTCTACATCGCGGTGATAGCGATCAAAATGAAAAGCAACAGGTGGACCTGTGAGCTCAGTACTCACAACAGGACTGTGTGGTTTGAATCACAGTGAGGTACGGAGTGCTGAGGGGGCTAACAGATTACGCACTCACCGTTTAGACTGTTTGAATTCAATTCTAAGCAAATAAATGACAGTAAACACATTTTTAATTAGTTTTAAATTCATTCCTACAGAACACCAGTGTAGAAAGTCTTGTCACTGCAGGAAATTCCGATTTTGACCATTAATGTACAAAACCGATTTCCTGGCAGAACTGAATTTCAGTTTGACTTTAAATAAAAGTGAGCACGTTATCGGGCAGTGTTTCAGTTGTGACAGATGATGAGCTGAAGACAATAGTAGCTACCACTTCTTTGGGCCTCCGTACATTTGATTGTGAGGTTGAGCATAAAAGTCCATGTTGATTTCAGTGTGTCACAGTGGTGTTGGTATGGTGGGACCAAAGAAACTCAGTTGGACTTGGACTCTGAATTGGACTTTGCTTCAGGTGTCACTTCAGTGTGGGGTTACATAACTCGCCCTTTTCGCCTGTGAGTTCTATTTTCTTTTCTGAACTACAGCCCTTTTACACATTCAGTTTATCACACCCATTTTATTGTGTTTTATAAAAAGAGGGATGGCACTGACAGTGTGGGCGCTTTCATTTTAAAGCAATTGTACTGTGAATACAAGACTCGCCAAAGGAATTCTGCCTCGGAGGACAAGAGAAGCTTTGTTAAAGGCTGTTAAAGATGGAACTAACTGTAGAATAATTCAAACTATTTGATCAGTTTATTTCTAGTTTCTTTTTACACACAGTTATATTTCACAGAATTATATGAACTGTTATTCTGCACTGCACTTATTGGGGTCAAAGAAATCTCACGCATGTGTTATAGTCAGCGGGGCACTGTGGGATGAGTTGTTGTTTAAATGCATTTGTTCAGACGTTGCCTTAGGATTGTTCTTGTACAGTTTTTCTCTCTGGGTTTATTTTCTGAATGCTTTTGATTGAAGCCTAATAGAATTCCTGAAACATTTCTCTGTAATTTTAACATGTACAGACTGCAGTTATATGCTTTTAGAAAGTTAAAGCAAAGTTTGTAGTATTTTGTCAGTTGTCTTCATTTATTTTACTTGTATTCACTGTCTGAAGGAAGACCGTATGAAAGCGTGTGAAGCTGCCAGGCAGACAGTGAGAGAGCCCACGCTCCTGTTAAAGGCGCTGTTAACTTATTTCTTTTAAAAAGAAGTGTGAAATAGCTCTGCAAAGAGAACAGCAGCAGTTCAGTGACAGGGAGGATGGAGGGGACTGCTGACTGCAAGGATGTGCAGGAAGTTGGCCAAAATGCAGAAAACACAGGAAATAATCTGTTATCACAAACTTCCTGCAATTACCGCGTTCACTGTTTGTTTATTGTACAGGTTTGCATCAAAGGGTTCAACGAGCATTTATGTGTGCTTCAGAGAGTCCAAAATGATATACATTTAATAAGCCTGAAGCCAGCAGGCACCATTAGTTCCTCTGTGTTCAGTGTGTAGTGACCACAGTGAGCGTTGCTGTTGCAGGTCGAGTGGTGATGGGGCAGCGGAGCTCAGCGGGTTCTGCAGAGAAACAGCTTGGTCTGCAGGACCGCGACCAAAACCTCCCACTCATAAATCTCCAGCCTGTCCGGGCCCCGTCTGCTGAGCTCACTGCCATCACTCACATTCCTGCAGCCACTGCCAGTGACACTGCTAGTGACACGGCCTGTCTGTCTAACTGCAGTTAAAGAGCGCTCTATACACAGACGCTGTCATATTTGTGATTTTAGTACCAGGAGGAAGGATGGGTGTCAGTCAGTCCATCCAACACTTTGGTCCTAAAAACTGTAATCAATTATTGTGATTTGGTGGCTGAAACAGGGTTCCCGCTATTTCCAATAATAATAATAATAATAATAATAAACAATAATTTCCAGGATATTTTATTCAGTAACTGTTCAAATCAAGTAGAATTTATTGTATTTTAAAGAAAATATATATTCTGGAAAGTTAAGTGTTCATTGCACGTATTAGCATCACCGTTAATGTTTAATTATTAGGCTGTATGTATGAAGAGAGCTCTGGATAAAACAGACCAAAGGCACTGAGCCAGGCAGTTCCACTCTGCATCTGGTTAACCCGTCATACAGTGTATCCCACCCACAGTCCAGTTTCAAACTCTATACGGGGCGATCTGAGTGGGGGGCTGATTATGTCATTGTAATGCACGTACTCCCATTAATAACGTGGAGTTGTTGCTTATGGTGAGCCGTCCTTATTACTAACAAAACATTCAAATCAACAACACCTGCAGTCTCTTCCTGGTCCAGGTGTTAGTGGGAATAGTGCAACGGCGCCTACAGAGCCAGACAATGTCAGCTGCAGAGAGACACACAGGCAGTATGAGTGCTCGCTGACCCTTTCTAATTAACTGGGTCACAAGAACACTAGATCACAATCAGAACCAAGCTTCCTGTCCCAGTGTGTGTTAAAGTGTTCTCACTACAGAGTGCTCTACATACAGTACCTACAGAGCAGACGGCGGGCCTTAAAGACCAATATAGAGTTCTTTTTGCATAGAGATGGTTTGTTATTGTATTACAAATATACATCTTCCCTATTTGTTACACTGCTTACTGTTCATTTGTAATCAAACACTGAAAGTACACAAAACTCTTGTTTTATATATATAAATATATAGAAAGGTTGGTACAGCAAACACTGGCGACGTGCACCATAAGTCGACTAGTCAGATACACGTTGCTAATCTCACTAGTCGGTTAAACTAATTATTCTATTTTATGAACGTACATCGCGGGTTGATGGTGTCTTTATGTAGCCACCAGCCGTCCCTGCACTGATATCCTCTCTGTCCCACTTTAGAAGTTCTAGTCCTAACGTTTGGTTCCTGCGGTCTGCTTTGGGATTCTAGCAGCTGATGTCACTCTCTACCATCTCACCTCACACAGCTCATCTGTTAGAGATGGCTCTGTTCAGGGGAGAGAGGATGGTGGAGCTGGAGTGGAGAATAAAATGTATGCTAATTAAGGATGTCACTGAGCACTGAGAAACTAGCAATCACATTATTAAACAGCGGTCAGAGTCACACTCTTTAAATCATCATCAATACAGCACTTACTCACAATAGTGGTCAGCATCTATGGGACACCGTTACCAATTGACTAGTTTTCCTTTAACTAACATTCATTTAGCCAGAGCCCGTAAATAATAGTTCAAATCAAGTAGAATTTATAAAAATAAAATAAAAAAGTGTTAGTTGCATGTACAATCAACAACATCAACAACAAATGTGATCATTAAGAACAGGCTGGATGTGTGTAGATGTGAGCGTCTGCAGCATTTCCAACAGACTGGATGCCAAATGTTCTCCACAAGTGGTGTGAACAGCTCTGAACTGACACAGGAGCAGTTTTGGTTCTGCTTTGCGTCTTTGGTAAAAGGTTCACAAAATCTGAGTGAGGGGCTGAAATACAATGTTGTATTAGTTAGTATATCAGTTAGTTTTCAGAGAAACCCTATTTAAAAGAAAATGTCACCATTTACTTTGCAACAGCTGAACAAAGTGGACTCGACATTCAGTCCAGAGACCTGGCCTACAGGAGTGGGCGTGGTACTGCCCGGCTGCGTGGGGCTAGCTGTACGGACAGACTTCCCTGGAGCTCAATGTGTTCACCGTGGGGTTCGGACCTGTCCTCGAGCGAACACTGGACAGGTAGCTGCCCGTTACGTCAGCGCAGACAGATCCTTTGGGATCGGGATCTTCAGCACCTCATCTGCATATGGGCCAGGGTCCGGGAAAACCTTGTAAAAGACGAGGTCCAACACTTCATCCACGTAATCTGAGAAACCAAAAAGCAAATTATGTTCACTATGTGAAAATATCCAACTGCACTCACTGGCTTGATGTCATTTATTTTTCCCTTGTTGTAAAATGGCTGCGTGCTCATTGTTGGACTCTGAATACGAGCTTTATCTTACTGGTTGACTGTGCTCTCTCTGGCCTCGCTGTGCACTCTCCCGTCAGCTCTCCGGCTGATGCTGCTGCCTGTGGACGTCCTGCATTCTCACTGAAGTGCAGGGCCGCCAGGTATAGCCTTGGGAGGAGAAATGATAACAGATAAATAAAGATGGAGAGCACGTATAGACGTTACAGTATTCAATGCTTTATTTTCACATAAACCGTCGCAGAATGCAGGGCTCCAATGTCCACTTACCACCTTGCTGTATTAATGAGTGGACATCGGAGCCTTTTCCTTTGTTCATTTCAGGATTTGCACAGCTTTAGCTCTGCGCCAGGCAGGTTTTGGTTTGAATGTGTGTGCATACTCCTATCTCTAATAATATAGCCGCTCTTATTTACCTGCACAGCATTCCAAGGAAAGGAAAGACAACATTCTTGGGCGCAAAACGACTCTTTGAAAAGCGTCGAGCGATGAGGTCGGGTAGTGAGGGCTCAGCTTCTCCACGTCCTTCAGAACCCTCTTATTGGTCAGTACCTTCTCCAATCTGCAGAAGGCTGGTGTTCCTGTAAACCAACGTTTTCTATCATAAATCCAAAGTGTTTAAAACTCTTACAGTAACACTGGCTGCAGATGATAATGTGTACACACCTGCGGTCAACCATTTGCCCTGATCCTTTGTAGTGTGGGGTGGGTGAGAACACTGGAAAATGGGGTCCCGTGGGTGAGAATGTCTCGGGCATGTTTCAGGATGGACGTCCACTTTGCCACTGTCTCTGGCCCTGATGTAGAGGAAGCAGCCGTCCAGTACATGTGGTTCTTTATACTGCGAAGCCACTTCTTTAGTTTCTCACACTCCTTGTACTGTGAGATGTTCAGCAGTTTCTTGGACAGTCCTAATAACAGCTAAAGTGTACACGAGTCACTCACAGATATAGAGCGTATATTAATTACAATATTAATATATAATAATAATAATAATATTCTACAAATGATACACCATCACGTTCTAGCTAAGTCGAACCTCTTTCCATGTGACACACGTTGTAGTATTGTGTGATTCTGGCCTCCCTCAGGAACCTCTGGACCCGGGGGTGACGGTCTGTGACAATACTATCCAGAGTCACACTATGGTCCACCAAGAGAGCAAGGCTCCTTTTCAGACCCTCTTTCTCCATGTGGGAGCCCCCACCAACCTCACTGCTCTGATTCTAAAGGAAACACAGTTAACCATGTCAGCCCCTCTATTGCAGCACTGACTGAACGTAGCTGAGAGCAGATCTCCTCACTAACTTGAACCAGCTGTAGATCAATAACCGTGTTGCTCCGCAGGTCCATCATTGTGTAACTGCCATGCTTGGCAGAATGACCTTTAAAAACAAATGCATTACTTTTACATACATTATCTTTTATGTATGATTGTATGGTGTATCCATTTTCTAGGAAACCCTGTCATGCAGTGGTTTGGCTCTGTGATCCGTGTGTCTTAGGGATACAAAAAGTTGTTTCTCCACTTGAAATCTGCTGCAACCTGCCTCTGACCGACTGACCTCTGGTGTGAAGTTGATCCAGACTGGATTGTCCCTGCTGTTTCTGTGTCTGACTTTGTGTGGCAGTGTTATGTACCTGCTAAGTCAACCCTCAGGTCACCACTAAGGATGACATTCTGCTGCTGACTGAGCTGCTCCAGCATGGCGTCCTGCGCCTCCTTCCACCTGTGCACAATGGCAGGCTCTAGGTACATCCGAGCGTGCCTTCGAAAGGTCTGCTGACTCAGACGAGGCTGTGGGAGAGTCTGCAGGGTCGTACGTACTATCAGACGCTTCTTCAACGTCCGACGATGAGCTGCCTTCAGAAGGGTTCTCCTCTTCCTCCAGTTCCAAACGAGGTCTCTTGCATGGCCTCTCTAGTGGTGTCGTGAATGCAGCAGTCGAGGTGCCAACATCGGTGCAGGACACTGTTTTCTGTGCTTATTACTGGACGGAAACATAAGAAATCATATCACAGTAACTGACTGTCCACTGACCTTTACTTCTGAAGTGAGTTGCGAGAGTTTTGATTGAAAGCTGTGTTCCTATTGTGCACCTCTTTGGTGGGTCCGTACTGTGTCTGCCTAAACACCAACAGCAGCGATATTAAACGCATGCCTTTTTCTAATGTCACAATACAGACACACACACACTGCATGCATAAGTGCAGATATAACTCTAATTAATAGGGAATTGGACAGAACACAAGCCTCCCAAACACACACACGTACAAGTGCAGTAATAGCAAATAAATCTGGTCTAATCATTTAAAGGCAGTTATTCCGTTACAATGTAGTATCTCGACAGGTTTGTTATTGTTCCAGTGTTACACTGTTGGTACAGTCAGATGTTTTTCAATGCTCAGATACCATTAACAGGGTTGTGTGTATCTGATCCACCAACCAGCACTTCTTTTAATGAGAAATCCTCATTTTTGAAACGGTCTGCCTCTCATTCCCACAGTGTTCTCCCACTGAAAGAGCACAGCTACAATGGAGGCTGAACACAATGAAGCATTAAAATGCAAAGACTGTACAGAATACACTTACCTTACTACACTATCTTTATGGAAGAAGACAAATAATGGCCTTTAGCCCGTGTTTCTAGAGTTAACTGTTGTTACAGACACATTAGGAATTGTTAAAATGGGATATTTCTTAAGGGAGTTTGGCGCAGGGAGCTTGTACATATACACTGTATGTATATGTTCACACACTTACTACTCCTCCGCCCGCAGTCCTGCTCCGGATGGTTGGCACAGCCCCCGCTGTCAGGACCGGTCTGCGTACCATTCCCGCGTTGTACCCGCGTTGTACCCGCCCGGGTTGACGAAGCAGTCAGACGGTGAGTGGGTAGCGCTCACCAACGGTCCCTTCGGACTGCAGCTGGGTTGTCCTCAATACACTTCAAGCGCTCTGGCATTGCGGCTGGCAGCTGGTGCAGAGCCCTGTGTTGGGCTGAGCAGCCAACGACAGAGCAGTTAGCGTCATTCAATCTTCGTGTCGACATCTTACAGGGGGAAAATGGCGGAACTTCTCCTGCTGAAGAAAAGTTCGGAAGGCTGGAGACACTCAGGTGGAGGGCGGAAGTATTCTAATGAGCCTCCGAAGGGGAGCGAGTCTTCTTCTTTCCTCTATTACTTCTTCTACTACTATTATTACTATTACTACGCCTTATCCTTATTCTTATTCTTATTCTCATAATTCTTATAATTCTTCTTATTCTTTTTTTTCTTCCTTTTCTACTTCTACTTCTTCTCGATTCTTCTCCTACTATAACTGCTTCTTCTTCTTCTTCTTCTTCTTCTTCTTCAAGGCAATTTGCAATCTCAACTTTAAGGTGCATGTCGCCGCCTATCGTACCGGAGTATGTAGAACAGGGTCTGTTTAAGTTTACATTGGTCTATTATAAATAAATACATACGTTATATTCAACCATATTCTACCAAACAGTCCTGTGTTTACTAAGAGATCTATTACCCTCTCTGTGCTGCTGCTTCTTCTTCTTCTTCTTCTTCTTCAAGATTGCAATCTCAACTTCAGGGAGCATTAAATTAAAATGAATTAATAACAAAAAAAACATCCAACCTATTGTACTACGTTCTACTAAACAATCCTGTGTTTACTAATAAATATATTACCCTCTTTGTGCTTCCCACACCTTCTCTCCATTATATTTGACACATTGCATTATTACATTTATATTATACCATTTTCACTTTTACACTACAGTGCACACATACCTGTGAATCTACTTTCCCCAATAGAAATAGTGTGTTATTTGTATTCTATAGTACCCTCAGTGTCTCCAACCCACCACTTTTGACAGATATTTCCTTTTTGCATTCATTTTTTACCCCTTTGCCTCAGGTATACTAACAAAATTAAACTCATCTCTGAATTATACATAAATATTGACATTTTCAAACATTAAATCTTCCTTAACTGACTACATAGAGTCAATACACAGCACTCCATCATCTCAGCTGTATAAACTGATCATTTATCATTATTCTGTTTCCTGAATGGATTTGAAATTGTGGAATCCTGTTTCTACGTGATCCCTTTGATCTTTTGAGCCGTCAGTAAATATCTGTAGGTAATTATTATGAAGGGGAGCTAAATCTGAATGGCTTGGCAAGCTGTCATCTGACTGAGAATGTGTACGAGCACTGAAAAAGTGAGTTTAGCATAATATGTCCCCAAACAATGCAGCACTCAGACACTAACAGCTGGCTCTAGATATTTATTCCAATTACTTGCAAATCTAGCATCCCTATATTCACAAAATATATATATATTATCTTTTCTAATTTCATGCTCAGTTTAATCTACATCTTTAAACAGACCGTTTTAGAAGATACAATTGTTTGACGGCATGTTGAGAGTGTTGTTGTGATTTGTGGATAAATTGAGAAACAAATGAGGTGAAAGAATTTGTCCCAGAGGCACTCCTCATCATCAGTACAGCAGGTTATTGATGTTAGTGCTCATTTCCACTGCAGGTGTGTGTGTGTCTGCTGTAAGTGAAGGACTGGATTCACTTGTATGCAAGGCTGCAGTTTCCATAGCGATGCAGTGTTTTTTATAGATCCCAGTACTCCCTTCAACAACAGTTTGACATGCTCTGTGGTAATTTGGTTTTACACACACACACACACACACACACACACACACACACACACACTCCTGGATGATAGGTTGGACTGAATTTGAACCCACCACCCCATGTCCCGATGGCACAACACACACATCAGCAGCTTCATCTGCCTTTTAAAGGAGGAGAGAAATCACAGGGGTGTGCTGAATGTAGTGGATTTGTCACCTCCTGCGAGTTAGACATTTTTATTGAGTTAGGCAAGTCTTCAGTACTCCTACACAATGCTAATGTACGTCACACATAAAACATGATTCTGTCTCGGAAAGCTACAGATATGGTCGGACACAGCCCCCTCCGAATCCGATGTCAGAAAGGGTTTCTGAAGCTATCTGACCATCCAATAAGCACTTCTGACAAAGCATACAACCAGTGCTTACTCTGTAAAAATAAAAATCTTAAAAAAAAACCCAACAACAACAACATTCCAACAGCTGGGGCGCCAGAAAATAACAGAACAAATGCTTATTTTACTGCTGTCACTGAAATGTATTAACACTATTAAACTTGAATTTAACAGTTCAATCTATTAAACACACAATGTCTGTGAAAAATCTGTGACAGATTTAGTCTTTTTATGAGAAAAATGGAAATCTTCTTAAAATAAGCAGTAATCGTATTTACAGATACATATTTTGTTATTTTACATTATACATGTACATTCATTTCTTTCATATATTTTAAAAATAAAGAGAAAAAATGAACAGATTTTTTGGCTCTGCTCCCAAACAGCTGACTTTTATCATTCAGCCCAATTTAGCAAAGTTTGGACAATGATTGGTGCGTGCTCAGTGCACATATATAATTTTATTATACTACACCTTAATAATAATTTGTAATATGATAAAATGTAAAATAATGTTATATTGAACTACTGCAGACAAGCGCAACTTTCAAAAGCCTTAGGATCATTCTACCATTCTGTCTTGTATTAATTGTTTTTTACAGAAAAAAATTAATTTGCTCTTGAGGGGAACTGACTCCCATCATTCACTTAAATTCATGCAATTTTATTTGTATAGCGCCAATTCACAACAGAAGTTATCTCAGGACACTTTTCAAATAGAGCAGGTCTAGACCGAATTCCATAACATTATTTACAGAGACCCAACAGTACCACCATGAGCAAGACCTTGGCGACAAGGGCAAGGAAAAACTGCCTGTTAAAAGGCAGAAACCTAGGACAGACCCTTCAGCTCTAGGTGGGTGGTCGTCTGCCTCGACCAGTTGGGATGAGGGGGAGAGAGAGAAAGAGACAGAGAGAGAGAGAGAGAGAGAGAGAGAGAGAGAGAGAGAGAGAGAGAGAACAGAGGTAACGACAGAAGGATAGAGACAGAGCCAAAGGTGCACAGCAACAATAGTAGCAACAACTACACTAATAGTAGTGACTGATGATGATGATGATGACCATGAAGAAGATGATGATGATGACGACAACAACGATGGGGGACAATGAGCAATGACAATAGTAATAATAGTAACTGTAGTAATAATAATAGAATAATGAATATGTGCAGAAAGAGAGAGAGAGGAAGAGAGGAGCTCAGTGCATCATGGGAAATCCCCCGATAGTCTAAGCCTATAGCAGCATAACTAAGGGATGGTTCAGGAGTCACCTGATCCAGCCCTAACTATAAGCTTTATCAAAGAAGAACATCTTAAGCCTACTCTTGAATGTGGTGAGGGTGTCTGCCTCCTGAACCACAACTGGAAGCTGGTTCCACAGGAGAGGAGCTTGGTAACTGAAGGCTCTGGCTCCTGTTCTACTTTTAGAGACTATAGGAACCACAAGTAGCCCAGCATTCAGAGAACGTAGTGTTCTAGAGGGGTAATAGGGTACTATGAGCTCTTTAAGATATGAAGGGGCCTGACCTTGAAGAGCTTTGTAGGTGAGGAGGAGGATTTTATATTCTGAATTTTACAGGGAGGTGGGGGGAGGTTTTTAAAGAAGGGTTTTTTTTTTTTTTTTTTTTTCCTTTCTTTTTTTGTGTTGCAGCGTTCTGTAATAATTGGAGCGTCTTAATGGACTTATTAGGGCAACCTGATAATAAAGAGTTGCAGTAATCCAGCCTAGAAGTAATAAATGCATGGATTAGTTTTTCTGCATCCGTCTGTGACCGGATGTGTCTAATTTTTGTAATGTTACGTAAATGAAAAAAGGCAGTCCTAGAGGTTTGCTTCATGTGGGAATTAAATGACAAATCCTGATCAAAGATAACTCCAAGATTCCTGACAGTGGTGCTAGAGGCCAAGGTAATACCATCTAGAGTAACTATATCTTTAGACAGTGAGTCTCTAAGGTTTTTGGGGCCAAGAACAAGAATTTCGTTTTGTTCTGAGTTTAACATCAGAAAATTGCAGCTCATCCAGGATTTGATGTCCTTAATACATGTTTGTAATTTAGATAACTGATTAATTTCATCAGGCTTGATCGACAGGTATAACTGGGTATCATCTGCATAACAGTGAAAGTTAATGGAGTGATTCCTAATAATATTGCCTAAGGGAAGCATATATAAAGTGAACAGAATTGGTCCAAGTACAGAACCTTGTGGAACTCCATGACTAACTTTAGTATTCAAACTGAGAATGATCTGATAAGTATGACTTAAACCAACTTAGTGCGGTTCCTTTAATGCCAATTTGATGCTCAAGTCTCTGTAAAAAAAAAATATGGTCAATGGTGTCAAATGCGGCACTAAGATCTAATAATGTCCATTGTCAGAAGCAATTAAAAGGTTGTTGTTAACATTAACCTGTGCTGTGATGAACTATAAATCGTGACTGAAAATCCTCAAATAAGCTATTGCTATGTGGAAAGTAAATGGTAAATGGACCTGTACCAGTAGTCTTCCGACCACTCAAAGCGCTTTTACACTATGTGCCACATTCACCCTTACAAACACATTCACACAGTGATGGCAAAATCCATCGAACAGAAACTAACATTCATACACATTCCCACACCGATGCACGGCATCGGGAGCAATTTGGGGTTCAGTATCTTACTCAGGGATGCTTTGACATGTAGCACCAGGAGCCGGGGTTCAAACCCACAACCTTCCGATTAAGGAACGACCCGCTCTGCCTCTGCACAACAGCCGCCCCCTCACACAACTGTTTGGCGACTACTTTCTCCAGAATCTTAGAGAGGAAGGGGAGGTTAGAGATCGGTCTATAGTTGGCTAAAACCCCTGGGTCAAGAGTGGGCTTTTTAAGAAGGGGTTTAATTACAGCTACTTTAAAGGACTGTGGTACATATCCTGATAATAAAGAAAGATTAATCATATCCAGTAAAGAAGTGCCAAAAAGGGGTAAGACGTCTTTAAGCAGCCTAGTTGGGATCGGGTCTAACAGACAGGTTGATGTCTTCGATGTAGAAATTATTGAAGTTAGTTAATGAAGATCGCTAGCAGAAAATCAGTCTAGGAGTATATCTGATTTTACATTTGTTCCTGAACATTGAGAGACAGTGATACCTGTTGAGGGCATTTGGTTATTAATTTTGTCTCTAATAATAATTTTATAATAAAAGAAGCTCATAAAGTCGTTGCTACTTAAGTTTATGGGGATATGTGGCTCAATAGAGCTGTGACTCTCTGTCAGCCTGGCTACAGTGCTGAAGAGGAACCTGGGGTTGTTCTTATTGTCTTCTATTAGTGCTGAATAATAGGCTCCTCTGGCATTACGGAGGGCCTTTCTAAGATTATCTTGCCAAATTGAGCGATATTCTAATAATTTGGAAGAGCGCCATTTCCTTTCAGATTTCCTAGCTTTTTGCTTTAATTGGCGGGTTTGGTGGTTGTATCACGGTGCTAGTGTCCTATGTTTAAATATGTTCCTTTTTAAAGGGGCAATAGAATCTAATGTTGTTCGCAGTGAGCTTGCAGCACTATCAACAAGATTACCAATTTGGGAGGGACTAAAGTCGTTATAGGACTCTGTTAAATTCAGACATGGCATTGAATTAAACATTGATGGAATCTCCTCCTTAAATTTAGCTACAGCACTGTCAGATAGACATCTGCTGTAGGAAGTTTTGCCTAATGGCTTGTAATCTAGTAATAGGAATTCAAAAGTTATTAAATAATGGTCAGACAGAAAAGGATTTTGTGAAAGACTATTAAATGTTCAATATCAATGCCATATGATAGAGCAAGGTCAAGAGTGTGATTAAAGGAGTCGACTCGTTCTCAAACGACCAGACAAATGTGCTGTTATCTTCTTCTGAAGGTCTTCTGCAATTTATTTTCCTCTTTGCTACTGCTGCACAATATTGTAAAAACATCATATTGTGGTTATTGTGACCCCTTTTTTGCATCACAAATTCCATATTCACTGAAAAAAAAATGATGATGATGTGAAATGTTTTTGTGCCATTTGTGTATTAACCTGCTCCTTTTAAGCAATAGGTTAAGGGTTCACCAGCTTTTGCCCCTACAAAAGTTTATTAAAAAATATTTTTATATTCGTCTTTTCATTGCACAATTGATTTCCTCAAATTCCTAAACATACAGCTGTTATTTCATATAAACATAGTGGTTCTGATTTAATACAAAACAATGGTAAAACAGAAAACCAAAATGTTCAGGAGGCTCACATACTTTCGAACCGCACTATCTACCGAATGTAGATATGAAACGTAGTTTTGGTTCAGAAATGTAGAGAGATGGTAGGTTTATTTGATTTGCAACACTGACAGTTTATTCTGGTGGGGTTGATGACGCACCACCTGGACATGATGAGAAGAAGAATGTGATTTTGTCAATTTGAGCAGCTTGTTGTAGAAATTCAAAGAATGGCCATGAGACTAGGTTGAGAAACCGAGCTTATCAGCAGCCAGTGTTGTACTGTAATAGATAATAGCAGTGTCAAATACACTCATTTCATCTGAACACAAATCATTCCTCTGTTTGAACAAATTCAAACAGTCCTCAGCGGTGTGTGTGAGCACCTTCAGGCGGCTGCTACCAGCTAGCCTGTCTTTTCTTTGTCATTCCAACTATCAGGCTACCCATGGATCCATCCCCCAGAACATCACATCCCCCCGCTGAGCTGATCTTAGCTGCCAGAGGAGCTGTACAAATCAGTTCTGGCTATTTATAACATCTTGACATTGAGAATGTGGGCTGATCTGAATCCAGCCGCTCAGAATGAGGCCCAAGAGGTGCCTGTCTGTGGCAAACTGATAAAATGTAACAGCTCTGCCAGCTCCCACAGGATTACGCTCCGTATTAGAAACCGTATCGTACCCACTGTCCTGTTCAGAAAGACCTCGGCACACTGCAAACCTGGTTTCAAATACATGGGATTTGATATTCATTCAAGCAGCAATTACTCTTCACTTAATGCCTTTCTCTTTCTTTGTGTTACAGTCTGATTCAAATGTAAGTGCTTTGTGAGTTCAGTTGCCACTATCGTTAGTGCTATCAAATAGATGAAAATGAATGGGGTAGGTAACTTTTCTATCCTGACAGTAGTACATTGTTGTAGCACTCCTAATGGCATTTGAAAGAATCCACCAGGCCTGGACGAAAACAACCAATCAGAGCCGAGAAAGATAGCTGATTGTTGAGTCTCATTCGCAGGGTGTCAAATAGAGATGCTGGGAATGAGACTCAACAATCAACTATCAACAGGATATAATGAAAGTTTCAGCAAATATGACAAAAGGTTACCTACTGCAGCTTTAATGAATAGAAACAAAGGGAAATGAACAATTAAGCATAATATTGGAGAGGAGGAAAACTTCAATTCAATTCAATACCATCCTTTTAATTCGTTTCAGAGTGCCTTCATCAGGTCACATAGGGAAACGGGATATGGAGATTTTTGTAGATGATGAACCGATAATTAGCTGCTTCTTTCGGTCGATAAGATAACTGATCAAATTTTACATGTTTGTATTGTTGTCTGCTGTAGACTGCTTCAATGCCAATACGTTGATCAGTCAGTCGACAGATGATTAATCAGCTAATATCTTGATTATCTATTAATCACTTCAGTCAGTTTTCAAGTAAAAATGCCAAACACATCTGCTTTTCTTTACAGTACCTGGAAATCTTTGGGTTTTAGATAATTGTTTGGACAAAACAAACAATTTGAACATGTCAGTTTGGGGTCTGGGGTCCAGAGGGTGGCATGGAGCCTTTAAGGGGTGGCCGAAATATATGCAAATTTAATCACAAACAATCCCATATCAATATTTGCTTGGAAAATCCCTCAAATTAAGATATTTGAACATTTTTGTGGCAAATTAGTAAAGCAGTGAATAGAAATATCTAAAGGTGGCATTACAAATCAATACATTGTTTTATTAACAAAGCTTCAGACATTTTTACAAATACAAATACATGTTTGTTTTTTTCCTTCTGAAGCTTAGTCTCAAATTAATCTAAATTACAGTGGTAAATTTGACAGCATGGCCAGAGAGTTTTAAGCCATGCTTCAGGGTTCAGGGTTTCAAGCTGGCTGGCCTTTCAAAGGTCTTCTAAATAGGACTGGGGGGGACTGTTGCACCCTAAAATGATTTTCACACCAGCTCAAAAATTGTGATTAATGTTGCAATTTTTTGCAATGAAATTACGGGAGAAAGTGAAAATTGTAAAAAATAGTTGCACTTTTTTGTTATTGGCATACTTATTCAAAAAGGCTTACAGTAAGAATAAAATCACTAGTCGTTTGTTATATAAGGCTCAATGTTTTCCAGGAGTTTTTCTTTCAGGACAGCACTTGCTGACAGTCTTATCATTTACCAGTAGGCCTTTAACATTTGTTGTATCCCCCACAAAAACAGTTAAACGGTTAAAAGGATGTGTGGAAATAGTATAGATTCTAAGTAAAGAACAGGGAGATGGGCTGCCTATCTGTGCTGCAATATGTAAGGTAAAGTGATCCCACTATGTCTTAGTTCCATTTTAAAAGGTATGAGGGAATCAGAGGGAAAACCAGAAAATATTTCCTCCATAAAATATGATCCAGTTTCACCAACATCACTGATAACGCTGTGGATTTGTGCAGTACTCCACTCCGGTAGCTAGCCATGCTGTTGCTAGCTAGCTAACGAAGTGTGAATCTCCCGATATCATTGGTTGAAATCACTTAGTTCATGCTGATGTAAGCACGCATCACATTTTGTTTTACAGGAAGACACAATGATTGGATTTAATTTTTTGGCATACATTGTTAGAGAGGGGTACAATATAATTGGGGGGTGCAATCTTAAAGGGTTAAAATGACATTTTTTATTCACCTGGACTTAATACACTGTCTAATAGGACAAAGGCATTTATCAAAAAAGAAGCTAAGTATATGATTAAAAAAAACTATTAAAAGAAATACACAATACAGACAGAGAACTGTATAAAAAGTTCCTTAAACAGGAAATGATCTGCTCAGAATTCCATTGTGCGAACTATACCATGGCTTTTGGGGGAGCTCACTTACTTTAATGGAATAATGGCGATTGGCGTACAGACTTGAGTAGCACTAAGACAGTTTGTTTTTTCTGATCTTTGTGTGAAAGTGCGTGAAGTTTAGGATATTGTGCCACCACACTAGGATGGGGATGGCAAGCATCTTTATTAAAGCAAATTAAAAGCAAATGATTAGGGACTCATACATCAATAATAGTCACATTTTATACACAAGCCATGATGATAAAGATAAATAAAAATAGGAAAGCATGGCGAAAATAGCCTTTTCTCAATATTTTAGAGAACCCCCAACATTTCACAAATGTTTTCAGAGGAGCTCATGTCCTATTAATTACTCTGCAGTATTCATCCAAATCACTCATTTTACACAACTGCAGTGACTGTAATATAACTTAATTTAACAAAAAAAAGCTGAAACTAATTTCATATAAAAGATTAAGTTGCAGAAACTCAATTTTGTAGGTTAAAAAAGATAGATTAAGCTGCTTTTATTATTCATTTTAAGTGGCACTACCTTAGTTTTGTAAGATACAGGAACAGTCCTAATTAATAACTTATTCATTTAAAATTACAACAGCTTTTACAAAATTGATTACATTCTGATGTAATCAAGTTCAACAATGTAATATATGAATCTGGTTTTACAGTGTATTTGGGTTCATTGTACAGTTTTGAATAGAATGTGTATCTCTGTCACTCTATTCTACAATTCAGTAATCCATCATCAGCTGATAAACATGTGATTACTGTACATTAATGTGTAGTAGTATGAAGCCTTCAGAGAGCGGTGCACAGTCAGGGCAGGGCTGGGGGGGCTCCAGCATCGTAAGAGAGAGAGAGGGGGGGGGGGCTCGGCCGTCGTTGTGAATGAGGGCCAGCATGACGTCAGGAAGCCAATGTCAACAATGCAGCTCCTAGAGGAGAAAAGGCGTTTCATCCTCACACACACACACACACACACACACTGACACAGGAGACGCGTCTACCGCACACCGACTGATGCCCACGGTCCGTTAAAAGCAGCGGTTCTGGCCGTGGGAGGGCTGCGGAGATAAAAACAAACAGAAAAAACGATGTGGACTCACTCTTTTTTCTGAGGAACTGAACGAAGACGAGCAGGAAAGAAAAACGGGTAAGTCGCTCCCTGCGCTACCGGGATAATAAGCAACCATTGGGGCTTTACTACGCTTCAATACACCAGACTACGGGAGCCCCTTGTCAGCCTTTGGATTTGCTTAATCTGTCTGCTCGCGCTGGCTGTCCTCGTTTGTTTGTGTTGTAGTCGTACTGCTGTTACTGGAGTTCACCCCACTGTGTGCTCCTCATTCTTCCCGAGCTGTACCTGCTGTGGCTTTGACACCGCGGCTGCGTTCGCGCAGGTTAGCAGGGATGCTGAGGTTTAGCTAGGTGTTGTGCGTAAGTGTGTTTCCCCTCAAAAAAACGTGTGTAGCCTCGATATCACGTCGGGAATGTACAGAGCTGACAAAGTGTCACACACTGCTTCACTAAGCCGTTTCGCTGTGGGTAACTTTTCCAAAAACCCCACTGCTAACAGACAAACACCAGCAGCAGTTAACGTCATTTGGAAGACTGAATATTGATTATAGCCGACTGAAAGTAAGCTATCAGTGCGCGAGTCCTTATGAGAGACCTCACGCGCGTCCGTTAATTCTACAAGGAAGTTGTCGCTCTTTGTATCACTCCGCTTGTCATTTGTTAGCTAACATATCTATGGAGGAGTAAACGGGGTGGTGGGCTGGGGGGGTGGGGGCACATGTTTTGCACGAGAGACAAAATACTGCCTGCCACAGTCGGGGCTCGCGCTCCTCCTGTCATGCTGGGGGGGAGGAAGAAGGGGCTGCAGAGGGACAAAGGACCCAGCCTCCCACCCCCTTATTCCCGCCCTCAGCCGCTGAGCAGTCGGTTCAGTAAACACCTACCTCTGAATAAAGCGAGCATTCCTATATGGACTATATCTTCATTCTAACAGTCCGCCGCTGTACTCAGCTATGGGGATTTATGTCACAATTAGCTGCCCTTAACCTTAATTACGACCTTAAAGCTACACAGTTACTGAGGTCTTGTAGTACCAATACATATTTTGATATTAAATGAATACTCAAGCCTTCAGTGTATTAGCCTCAATTAAGATAATATGTAATGTGTGGAGTTAGTTTGACTTCTTGAGGCCATTATTGTGAACAAGGCTTGTTGTGAACAGATTAGCTCTTTGTTATCCTTCCTACAAAGCCACTCTCTCCCCTCTTCCACCCTCTATCTCTCTCCCGATGGGAAAACATCAGTGTGTTCACTTGGTAGTAAATGGGAGTCTGTCTCTCTCTGCAGTTCAGCTGAATGGAGCAGATGAGAGGTGACTGAGGACAATTAAATATTTACCGCCACCACTTCTGCTGCAGACAAGTTGTCCCGGGCAAGGGCCGCTCTGATATTCCTGCTGCCCTGCTGTAAATATTGCCATTTATGCAGATATATAATATTCTGCAAATACAGAGAAATGAAAGGGACACCACTGACTGGATACATCAAGGTCTGTTTACATCTCACGGGGGGCACTGCCCATTGTGTGAAAGCAGTTATATAATGTCTTCTGTGGAGCTTTGTCAAGTCTGAGAAAAATAACCCCAATGATGTCATCAGGGTTATCTCAAGCTGTTGCATTGTGGGAAGTGTATGCTAGTTCATTCTGGACTCATACCGGGCACGTAAAACCTCTGCTGCACAGATTTTGACCATAGCCAGACCAAAATGGGATTTTTGAGACAGATACTGATTTTAGATAGAAATATATAAAGTGAATTTGTGAGGTGGAATGAAAATAGAACATGTGGATTGTGCACTGATTTTGCACCATTACACGATCTGCGATGCCACTCAGGTGGCTGCTTCTTAAAATGATTGACTTTATTCAAGAATATTTAAGTTCAATATCTATAAAGAATATTTTTGTAAATTATTCTTTTACATGTTAAATATTTTAACGTATACAGTGTCAATTCTAGTTGACAGTGCTGAGAGCTGCTTCTTCTCCCTTACTCTGTGCTGCATGCTACAGTATTGCCAATCACAGCACACTCTGCTGGATGGCTTTAAATTGATCATTATATTAATGATTACAGAGTTTATTATTACAGTGTTTGCTGAGTTGACTGTTTGGCTTGTAGGTGGCTTTAGATGCAAAACTGAGTTCAGACTCTGCAGAGCATGAATGTACATATCATTCTTTGGTATGCTGTTAGTTTCAAGAAGGATCTGAGAGTCACCAGAATCATTAGGAATGATACTGAAGAATATGACTCCATACATGCATATACATTTATATATCCATGTTGTTCAGGGGGCATTTGCAGCTGGATGGTTCAAGGTGGAAGACTATGGGGTGATTAGGAATCCTCCTCTGGGGACCAAGAACATCTCTAGCAGGTTTCACAGCACTGGTCAGTAGTTGTTCAGATGTCTTGCTCTGGCCTGTGTTGGCAGACTGCAGTGCAGAAAGGGAGCTGTTTACAACTGGAACCTGTTACTCCAATAATGTGGTATGGTGTTATTGATTAAATGTGGTTTGTCTTGATTTAAAGAACTGGAGTGTGTTTTCAGAAAGGGAAAACATTGAGAGCATGGAGATGCATGTATTGATGTGTTTGGGCAGAGCATGCAGTGCCATTTATGTCATTCTGTGTGTGTGTGTGTGTGTGTGTGTGTGTGTGTGTGTGGGTACAGGCTGTCTATATCTAGTATTGCTGAATGGAAGAACAGTTGGCGGTTTGCATCCTGTGAGGAGTGTGAAATGTGTTTTCTGTGGTCTTCAATCTGCTGTTCTCATGAAGAGGTCACCAGCTTTAACTCCTTATAAAATGAATCAAGTTTCCTGTTGGTGAACTGAAACAGTAAAGGGTTAGAACTTAAACACTTAAAGGCGAGTAGGTAACTTTTATAAAAAAAAATCTCATATTCACTGAAACTTTTACTATATCCTGACAGTAGTACATGAGACAGATCATCTGTGAAACAATCAGGCTCCTTTTCAGTAAATATGACAAAATGATGAAGTTATTTTTTATAAAAGTTACCTACTGCAGCTTTAACTCACTGTCCACTGTGTGATAATAACACTTGAATCTATTGAGTGTATTGTATACATCTTTTGCCCATCACAGACCTGACAGACATTCTATGAAATCAGCTTTAGTTTTACACATTTCCACAACAGATGGGACTTTAGAGAGATATGAAGGATTCAGGAGATGTGACTCAATATAGACATTTTGAGTCATGGCAGTATAACAGTAATGATGGGTCCCTCCCATATCAGACCCCTGGAGTGCAGCTATTATTATGTAATTAATTACACCTGTGCTTTTCTTGCTGTGACAAGTCACAGTGTCTGCAGGAACAATGGTCCCCTGCAGAAAACAACTGTAATGTTGAGAATATTCGAATAGTATTATTATTTTTACTTATAATTACAGTTGTAATATGTCACATTTCCACATTGAAACGTGTATAAACTCTAGAGCTATGTTCTATATGTAGCTGAGTTCAAACTCAGAGAAACCTGTCATTTTATTCAGGTAACGCTGCGTATCACTGGTCGCCTGTCACTGGCATCATATCCCCTTTGTGCATGCCATGTATGTCAGTTAGCAGTGTAAGGCAACTGCATTTGGGTTGGCTACGGGAACTCAGAGCCATTATCCTATGAGACTGCTATCTACCAGACCAAATCACAATGCAGATGTCGGTGCCATATTTCGGTACCAGAGTTGCATTTGGATATAGTTGCACTCTGGTGTGTTTGTTACAGGCAACAGAGGCACCACCGCACGTGTGCCATTATGACAACTGTCTCTGGCAGCAGGTAGCCTACTGCTAGTTAGTAGCTATCTTAAACATAGTAAAAATGGCGAGATGAATGGGCTGCAGTGTGGCTGTTTTTTACTCAAAAGAATTCTAACACCGGCCGGCACGTGCAACAATTATGTCTAAAGGGGGAAGCATCTGGTGAAGTGTGGGATACACCCTGCTCTACTGCCTGTGTGACCCCATGACAGCAGATGAGTGTCCCTGGCCCCAGCAATGAGCCAAATAGATATCAAACACTAGATGTGATGTGTCATAATGACATGCCATTTAGAGACCATTGATAACAACGGCAGCCTTTCCTCAGGTTAGCAAATAGGATCATATTTCTGCAAAAGAACTGCTGAAGTGTGAAGCTGGAGTTTGTAGAGTACCAACTCAAAATAGATTTTTTCTGTTATGAAAACTGAAAGTGTAATGTTACTGAATGAAACCACTGTAGTTGGGCTACATACATTTTTTTAGGTAAATTGGTCATGTAAATTTGTTGTATGTATACGGTATGCTCCCTATAAGCACATAAGATGTTCATCACCTTGTTAGTGGGCCTCACACACACACACACACACACACACACACACCTCTCTCTCTACAGCAGGTCATGTCAAGTGGAGCACAGGACAGAGCTGATTTTAGTTAAGTGTTAAGTGTACTCTGCTGTTCCACGTGCTTCTCCTGGCTGACAGTAAAACAGCACAATGCGTTTGTCTCACTAATTCCCCAGTTTTGGTATATATACATAAATATAATGTTGAAATTCATTCTTTCTTCATTGATGTTTTTTAAAGAAAACAACAATGCTGAGGCGTCCTCTTTCTGACAGGAACAGCTCTCTGGGAGTGTGTTAAAGCTAACCCTCCCAAATCAAACACAGCCATTCACATTTCTTTTTTCCCACTTTTTTTTATCACTTTATCACAATTTGTCACAGCACTGTGGAATATTATATAATACAGAGATATAATTTAAAGAGAAAGTGGTAAATACTATGATATTGAAACTGAATTTGAAAATAAGGGAAATGCTCAGTTTCTAATGTGAATTGGAAATGTTTAAATTGAAGGTTCCAGTGAAAAATAAAAACATATATGATGAAGCTTAAAAGGGAAAATGACCTTTTATTCCTGTATATTTTCACATTAATAGCCCACCAGCAAAGGAAAGGATTATGCCCTCTGAGCCTTTAGTGTTTCTTAAAATCTTTATCCCACGTAAGTACCACCATTATGACGCTAAAATATAGCCCACCCTATT